TTTCCGTCATTTTTTGGGTATATGTAGCCTAAGGTGTGATGAAATAAAAACGACTATTGTTTCTGTCATGAAATGAGTACAAAGGGTACTTTTGAGAGCTATTTTTCAGGTCCTGCATGTTTCGACCCGAACGTGCAATTTGTGTAAAAGTCGTCGTTGCGGGCAGCAAACAAAACACAGTAAATCGTGACGTAATAAACAGGACTCGTTTATGCTACTCTGCATCGGGAGTCCTGTTTATTACCTCACGATTTGCTGTTTTTGTTTGCTGCCCGCAACGACGACTTTTACACAAATTGCACGTTCGGGTCGAAACAGGCATGACAGGACTTGAAAAACAGCTCTCAAAAGTACATTTTGTACTCATGTTATGACAGAAACAATAGTCGTTTTTATTTGATCACACCTTAGGCTACATATACCCGAAAAATGACGGAAATGTCTTCGAGCATTCCACAACCTCTTTAACCAATGTTTTTTTTGAGGAAAAGATGGTGGTGTACTCATTGCCTGCCTTTATTGTCACATAAAAAAAAAATTGGTTTCGGTTTTTTTTGGGGGGGGGGCATGGCCCCCTTTGGCCCCCCCCCCCCCCCTGGATCCGCCCTTGACTTGGTAACGGTATATTGTAACGTTGTTAAATATCCTTTTAAATTGTAATTCTTAAGTTCTCTTTTGCCTCAGTTGAGGTCCTACGGAAAAAAACTAAACTTCATTGTCATTGTCATTCATAGTCATTAACATTGTCATTGTCGCACATATTGACGGTGCATTAGGCCTATAACGACTGTCACTGTAACAGGCAGTTTGCGAAAATAGCCACCTTTTATAAACGTAATCAAACATTATGTGCCGCTGGTTTCCTACCCACTGAATTTAAAGTTAGTGTCTTTACTTATGTTACTGAAACGCGGCGAATTTACGGACATCCATTCCCAAGTTTTTGTCGAAATACTTTTTCAGGATCTTCATGGTTCGCGACTTGTCTCCCTCCAGCTCCTCGCCCAACTTCTCCACACTGCACGCATCTAGTTCTAGAATCAAGATTGTCGATTGGAAATGCTGCAGGAGTTGGAGCTTCTTCTCCTTTTTCATTCCTTTGAGGTTATCAGAGGCGTTCTGCAGTTTCTTGTTCGTCGTCCAACCTAAGACACTGCACCTCCGATAAACCCAATAGCTCCACCCACGAGGGCACCTGTAAAAGCCAATTTAAGCATTTAGCCCTATGTTTAGTTTCTCACCTGACGGCCCTAGCTATATCCTTCCTTCTTCGCCCGCCCATCTCCCTATTTTTTTACCATCGTTAATGTCGGTGACATTGCTGTTGTTCTTGTCAACTATAATCTTGATTGTCATCTTTCATTCAACTGGAATATTCCTAATGCCCAGCAGACGTTTTCGTACGGTGTTCTTTCGTTGTTGCCGACTAAAAAAATAAAAAGCCCATCGGTTATACCATGCATTCAAGGAGAATTATACGGCCTCGGAATGCGCCCGTTTGGGTTGCAAAACAGCATTTATGATTAATGATATTAAATGGAAAGAGCATTTAAATATAAAAGTCAGCCCAACAATCTTTTAAAAACTTGGGGTTTTTTGTGTTGTTATTCTTGTGAAATTTAACCATGCGATAACGAATTTCCGGGGTCACATTTTTTTTCTCCGAAAAATCGAACTGTTCATTGCTAGTTGTGATTCCAGCCCGGCATACTGGTCTCATTCTGAGACGTGAGAAACAACATTTGTGTATTGTGCTGTGTGCTTTATATGACACAACGTGTATAATTTAACGTATACATTGAATGAATTCGACAGGAAATACGTATGAGTATTGAGTCCCGATGCAAACAGCCGGGATCTTTCGTCTTTTATCGGGAACGGTACAAAAAGAAGTGTAAATTTATGTTGTGTAAAACTGTTGTGTAAAAAAAAATGTGTCATTTCTGCCCAATATTGAGCGAAATAAAAATTTCGCCTGTACCTCCTACTTGTGTCAAATGTGTTACACATGAAAAGGGTAAAATAGTACCCAACACTGACTACAAGTCCCAGCAGCACAGGCAAACGGTTAAAATCATGGTGTTAATACCCAAGCGATGGGTTAAAGAAACTGGATTTACCCCACCACTGTGTAACAATTCTTTCATTGTACACGTCGAAGAGTTGAATTTACCACGACATTAGTAAAAGTTACCACTGTGTAGGGTAAACTGACGCACGTGATAACGTTTACCCAATATTGTGCACTCGTCATCACTCATGTACAAGATGGCCGCCGCTTGTTAGACCTTCAACAATTTGGGGATTTTGAAGACGTGGTTTCTTTGTTCCAGGTAAGTCAGTGAAATGAATTTCAGTGTTGTTTCCTCCAAATGCGATGCTGATGTATGAGGATTAATATCGGGGAGATTGGAGAAGTGACATGCTTACTATTTAGACATTTATTTGCAACTTGGACGTCACGGCTCTGCCAACCACGATTCCATGCACATGGTGCATGCGTTTCATGTACCGTATAGTGAGTGTTCTCAGATCTATAGAAACACGGAGTATAGTGACCGACATTTGGGGAATTGTTTTTGAATGAGTTGATTGAGGGAAATTCTAACACCCCTGCCCATCATTTAGCCCACGTTCCTCGTAATAGTCCTCATGCATCAGTACCATTTTTGGGGAAATATCATCTTATTCATTTTACTGACTTTCCAACCCTGCAGGACTCAGTTATTGAAATCCCTCGCGATTGCTGTCTCTAGCATGCCATTCACATTGCAGAGTTCAAAGTTGAATAAAACCGCAAGGATTAATAACAAAGGTACACAACAACTAATTTAAAAACAACCAAAGTGATGGGTAAATTTAGAACCCAACAGTGCAGGGTAAAAATTAGAACCCAATATCTGGGTAAGAAACTGACACAACACTTGGGTAAAAGGAGGGTTGGGTAAAGTTTACCCAATAATTGAGTAAAAAGGGAACATGGTCGTCACGTGGGTAAACTTTCTTACCCAACTTTGATGTGCAAACACGTAACACAATTATGGTTAAAAGTTACACTGAAATGGGTACTTTTCTACACTTTAGCTGTTGTGTAAAAAAGTACACAAGTTGACGACCATGTTCCCTTTTTACTCTCGAAAAGGTAGTAATTTTACCCAATATTGAGCAACTATTTTTTAGAGTGAAGACATTAGGCTACTTTCCTTTCAAATAGACCTTTGAAAAGTGTTGAAGTAAACAATTCTTAACATGACATTTCCAGGAATTTCAGGCCGTAATAACCCTTTAAGTCAGAAAACCGTCACTACACGATGACACGATGACAAGCTAAATGACATGATCAAGCTTACCAACAACACCACCAACAGGAGCGCCAATAAATCCACCGAGAACCATTCCCATTGCCATAGTTTTTTTCACCCACTTATTTTCATATCCCTTGTTCTTTTCCTCTATGACTTTGATGAGCATATCGATGAGATTGTCTGGTAATATCGGCATGATGTAGCGTACGATCCTTGAGCTTTCTTGGGCCCAGTCTTTTAGAATTACACCTGCATGCAATACACATTGGCGGCGAAAGAGTACTTTTCGTGTTGCCATGCATCTTCATTATAAAAACGACTTTCAAGAGAACACGCCCATTCGGCTCTAAAGCGCGTTTATCAGGCACAGAATATAATTAGTTGTAAAGATGGTTAAAAGTTGAAATGAACGTTTCCACAACTATAGGCCTACCTTGAAAGCTGATGTAGTTGTCGTCAACTGAAGACAGAAAGTAAAATGGAAAACGAAGATAAGCTGCTGCACTATGGTTCCTCTGTGTGAAAAGACTAATGAGGGACTTCAATAGGGATTTCTCATATATTATGAGAAATATCCTTCAATTCAAAACATCGAAGAACAAAGTACATGAATGTCTGGTTTTATCTCGTTTTATGACACACACGACGGACAATTGAAGTTCGGGTAGATAACTGTTTCGACAAAAGGGGATGATGAACCCCCCCCCCCCGAAAAAAAAGTTGATTTCTGGACTTGATTACTTTTTTGGGGGGGGGAGCTGGATTAATTTTGTTTGTTGGTATAAGCCTATTGTAAGCGCATTCTCGACAAAAGTAGCTTCGATTTTTGTATTCTTTTTTTGTATTCTGAAAAATAGCAATCTAATTTGAGGGGTGAAACAGCGATAATATAGCACGTGACGAACAACTTTAAGGAGGGCACATAGTCCAAGTCTGTATCCACAGAATCTAAAACACGTCAGCCTGAATAGCTCAGTTGGGAGAGCGTCAGACTGAAGATCTGAATGTCCCTGGTTCAATCCCGGGTTCCGGCAATCATATTTTTCTCATTGCACCGAGTCATATTAAATGATAAATCAAAGCGAAGAGTTCCTGTGTGTCTTGATTGGTGGATCCTTTGTGTAGGTTGAAATGAAAAACTCTTTTTGCGACCCCGACCGCGTTTTCGAGTTGTTTTTTTCTAGTATGGAGATTGTGTGTAAATAACCGGTACAACTTTTTACAAGTAAACGCCTGCCGAAGATTTAAACATAACATATCATTTAAAACAATTGATTAAAACTCTTCTCTTTTTTTTTGACAATTAATAACCATGCATACCATTTGAATTAGGGAAACTTTAGAAAAGAATGTCTGTTATCAAAGCAATAACAATGCAAAACTGAGCTTTGCCTTTTCAATTCGATAAACTCTGAATGAAGAAGTGCATGAGGAGCCCGATTTTTTCGAGAAAATCAACAATCAAAAGAATTTTAGAAACAAAAAACCAAAGTTGTACACTGCTAAAAAAAATTGGAAAATTTAACATAGATACGTGGGATAAAATGTCTGACCACCGGTGTGTACATGTATACAGCAATTTCCCCGTTCAAGCCACTTCATGACGTCACAATGTCATCCAGGTTAACGCGACCGCACACTCAGACGCGCGCAGAATTGTCCATTGTTCCAAGTTGAAGTCACAATTGACGAAACTTGTATTATGCAGTATCCACACCTACCGAATTTCGTCGACAAACACATAACAATCCGTTTTGATCTCAGTGAGCCAGGTTTACAGACTGCCTTCTTCGAGGCCACTGATCCCTCTGGATCTCTTCCAACGACCACCTTTCTCAAACCTCCTGGCGAAAGGTGTCATCTGATGGCACTTGCTGCGAGGTATATCATCACCCGCCGCCAATCTTGTGTCGAGTATGCCAGCAGACGTGGTAACGGGACGCTTCCCAAAGACCAGACCATCAGGGAAAGCCACTTCGGTCAGTCCTTTCGCATGGGTCATTTCTGATCCCAGACAAGTTTCAGAGGGAAATTAAAAGCGACGGTTGTAGATGAAAACTATGCCAACGTACAACCGATTCCTGTCGAACTTGCGTGTGCCAGCAAACCATGCCCCACGATCGGCGTGTCGCCTTTGGTCGCCCAGCGAGGCCAGTTGGCTTCCACCATCTTGAGCAGCCATATATGTCCATGCTGCCCAGCTTCCTTGGATTCTTCGTGCTTCCAAAAAGCCATCGCCTCCACTCCCTTGAAGATTCCACGAACTCATTACTGCGTTAATAGTCAGCGACTCTACCTTGCTGCCTATCCCGTTCAGCTGATGATGTGGGGTAGGCTGCAGTCCACGATCTTGCCAATCTGCATCCTTCTATTGCACACAGTCATCTTCGTGCAAAGTGCTGGAGTTTCTGCGCTGGCTTGGATCGTCTTGTTTCTTTGGGACGCGACCGGCCGTCGATATCCTACTATCAAGTCGTCAGGCATCACCAGCATATACTGGCTGGTCATTACCGTCCCATCACCGCTGAGAACCTGCTGCTTTAGATCAAGGCTACCGTGGAGTCATCGCATCGGTGCTTTGCAGGTACTAGCGGGGTTGTGGTTGCTGGTCCGCCTGATGGAACCACATCTTGTCAGCAAGGCTAACATGGCTGCGACCAGCGGTTTTCGCATGGTTGCCTACTACTTCGACGTCTCGATATTATTTCAGAATAAGGTGACGACGCAAAGAACATTGCAAGATGTCGGTAAGTTGATTTTGTTTTGCAAGTTTAATCCAAAAGCTACCACTAAAAAGTTTAATAGGAGGTAACACTATAACCATGTCTTGGATAATAGTATTTCAGTGTCGTGTCCAGCAAAGAGTTATTATGAATCTGAACACGAGAACATATTGGTCTCAATCCCTCCGATCCCAAATTATCACTAGACTGAACATTTTGAAAACAAAATAAGCAAACATCCGCATCGATTAAGTACGTCATAATGGATAATCAATTACATTTCAATGAGCAACGGTTACCCCAACTCAAATTTAGTTCGTTTATCAATTTATTTCCAGCCACCCTTGATTTCAACCTTCTGTGGGGATATGCATCTCCCAACCACAACCACTCCAACAATGTGCGCGGAAAGAAGTCACACTTGCAGAGTCATTGCAAGAATAACGAGGTGGTTGACATGGAAACAGATGAAGTAGACGTGGAAGAAGACATGGAGACGGATGCAAGTGCAGAAGATGTCACGGATGTTGACTATGATGACACGGATTCCATGGAGATAGATGAGTACGCAGAAGTGGTTTCCATGGAGGTTGATTTCAGTGATTGTGATGATGCTGGAATCGCCATGGGGATTGACGATGACGATGAAACTGACATGGATGTCGATTTGCATGAAGATGAAATCATGGAGTGGGAGGAACCGTGGAGGATTCGTGGAGGATGGGACCGCACGGGATTCGAGATTGAGCCAGACCATATCTTCATCAGACAACCACTGTACAAAACCTGGAGCTGTGCCGATGTGAAGACTGAGCCCATGGACTGGGAGGAAAACATAACCGAAGCAGGCTGGAAGTGGCTCAATTTTTCCTTTACCTTGAATGAGAAATCGGTTCCTAGGCCTGCTGCATCTTCTGCAGCACACATACCTCGCAAGACGCCTTATCCTGGATCAACACCGCCACCACCAACACTGTCACCTCGTGTAGACGATAGAGTGGAACCTAATCCTTCACTATCTGCAACCACCAGAGATAGATATCTTACAAGTGCGGGTGATGCCAAACAATCTGAACGCCGAAATCATCCAACACAGAGTCTTGGTCTGGGAGGACCAAGTGCTCTTGGAGATCACACCAACACGAAACCAACAGAACCTTGTAATCGGGGAGCTCACTCGCGGAAGAGATCACGGCACAGCGTCAGTAAAGTAGCAATACAAGGACGCCACAGCAGCCATAAACGACGGCAGGAACTGAGACACATGGCTTCCCGGTGTGTACTAGCTACTCTCGAAGCAGAACGAGCGAAGCGGGGCGAGAAGGTCTCAGAAGGAATCAAATTGGCAAGACCCCGAGTCAGACAGAATCATGAGACGACCAAACTCATTCGAGCGTTAGCAGAACTCGGACTAAGAGAGTACAAAATATCGTCCTCCTCAGATGCGCAACTGACCTATAAAGCTTCGGACCGTAAATACGCGAAGATGACACAAGGACTAGCAAAATGTAGCATGAAAAATAAACCAAATCGGGGGCTTACAATGCCATCAAATTGTCGCCAACCTGCATCTGCCGGAAATATTCCAGAGGAGCAGCAAACACGAGAGGTTGACAAACTTGATCGCCTCCATCGGTCTTCAGGGCTAATGAATCTCGCAAACAGTTCTAGCCAAGCCCAAGACGTAAATAATGATGTTATCAAGCAACGGCACGGTGAAGCTGGTGACGGACCTGCATGCACCAATCGCTACAGAATGAAAAGAACGACAAGAAGGACTTTTCTACAATTTTCAGGCCGCGCCGATTTGTGACACTAATATATAATGTTTGCATTAATTAAACATCATCATCTTCACCATCCCCATCATCATCTAGCGGTCGCAATCGAGATTCCATCCACAACGCCACGTCAGGAGTCTTTGTCCCTCATTAAGTATGGAAGGCCCTCAATTTCATATTGTGTGATGTCATTGATATTGTCTTATGAACATACATCCAACTAGCTGAATAATCATGATCCGTTGACGATGTGTGCTGCAAATAAAAACACCGCCGCCAGTACGTGGTGCGCGCAGGCCCGAGGCACATCCTACTTTACTTTCCATTAATATTTTGATCCCACAGGTATTTTTGAATAAGAGGTCCTTGCGGCCTATACTTGGGCCATTTTTGGAGACTTGTTTTTGGAGATCAAGCATTTGTGACTTTAACTGCCAACTTGGCACTTTTAAAGCTATAACTAGTCCTACTTCGCATAGAGGCGCGGGGATACAGTGGCGTAGCACGGTCGTTATTATTGGGGTGGGGGGGGGGGTATTGGTGTAACAAATTCTTGAAACAGGCTCGTGCACGTCGAGGTGAAATGTAGACCATCTATCGGTACCATCTGTCGATGGGGGCTTTGTTCAAAACCACCGATATGCACACTAACCGAAAATACACGGTGATTTTCAGGGCGATACATGCGTGACATTAAAAAATCGGCACCAGGAATGGCCGATGGCACAAAAAGGGCACCACTTCTTTTAAAAAGTGCACTTGACTGTTCAGAAAATCTTGAAAAACTTGTTTCTGGAGCCACCCTGCTAGGCCCCCCGGGCCCCCCCCCCAAAAAAAAATTGGCTCTAGAACTGCGCCTGAGATTGAAACAGTTTCCCACTAGTTAAATTGAAAGAAATTTGCCCTTGGGTCGCAATCTTTAATTTCAGCGAAGAAAACCTATCGCCGCCTTGCTCAGGGTGACCGTAAGGTCATAACCAAATTCTGCTAAATGCACTTCAAAAATCTGTCAGATTTATCAAAAATCTGCCAAATTCACCAAAATTACTCGAAATACACTATAAACACTTGAAATCATATGCAGATGTTGTAGTATTGCCTTAATTAAGGTTCAAATTTCATTATAAACAATCTATAGTCACATAAATCTGTTATGAAAAGTGCGTAAATTTCAGCCAAAATGCAATTGCATCACAACGAAGTTTGGTCCGCAGTGAACATCAGCACCTATAGACCAGCCAACCCTGTCCCATTATTATGCAAGGGTTTCTGTGAAAACAATTCAAGCATTTATTACGAAATGTACCATTTGTTTTTCAAATGTGCTATGTTTTCTGTCAAATTAACATTTTTGCAGAATTCTGTCAGAAATCTGCCCAAAAAAATCCATTCTGTCAAATTTTCTGTCAAACTCGTTTTCTAGCAAAATATTTGTCAAAGTTAGCCGAAAATCAGCTAAAACGGTCACCATGGCCTTGCTCCTGAGCTTCACCAGGTGGCGCTGTCTCTGTCCGATTTTGTGTTGTTTTTATTATTAAAGAGCGCGTATATTTGATGTACTTAGTGAACTCAGTTCGGCAACCACTCGAGTACACACATCCGTTGCCTGAGGTTCACCTAAACTTCTCTAGCGAAAAATGCTGTTGAAGTAAATAGAAACACTGCAAATTAATTATTGACAGTACATCAGCACAGAGAGCTGCAGCTACATGTTACAATTTGCTTGCTAAAATTTCGGACACGGCCATTACTGGGGAAAACAATTTACTGTTTGGAAGTGGAACAAACGAACATAAACATCCACTTGGTAGTAGCCGTATCACAACTGGAAATACTAAAATTAATGATAATTTATGCCTACGTACTGGTTCGGGGCACGTGTTGCATTATTCATGTATCAGTGACACATTGCAACCTACACGTAGGTACGCACAGTGAACCGTGACGCAACATAGATTACCATAACTTTCAGTTTTTCAGGTTGTGATATTGGACACGAGTGATGCATTCCAGCATGGCGGCTCGCGGGAGTTTGATTTTTTCGTTCCTCGGCTTTGTGTTTATGTCATTTTTGGCTCATGTTACGGGAGTTACGTACTCAATCCCATTCCAGGCAGATTGCGTTGGAAATCAGTATTTTGATTTAGCCGGTCTTCTATGTAGAGACTGCGATTCAGTATCACAAGTCAAAAGTGTAGATGGTGAGTCGTTTGTCATGTTGAAAGTCCATTTCTCCATGATAAGTCGAAGTGGCTATCGTTACGGCAGCCGTTGTTTAGCGCCCTCTACGATACTTTTTTGATACGCACGCAGGTACATGTATATAATTGTTGTTTCCCTACGTTTTAGCGAGCAGTGCGACAGCTCAGTCGATAGAGGGTAGGATTTTGCACCGCGACTTGGGTTCGCATCTCAGTCATGTCAGTTTTGCACTCGAACCTGGGCAATTCCACGGTAACGGAAGGACATTTTCACTCATTAAACAAAATTTCAAATGTGTGTATCACAGACAATGTTCATAGTTATAGCAAACAAATGTCACAATTGTATTGCTATAATGCTACTTTCATTTTCCACACTTTTGGGGGGCATGAATGCCTCCCCTTTATGAATTATGAATATTAATGAGGTCGGTAACGGAAGGACGGTAAAACGGACAAGGGTTTTCCAACTTACTCGCATTTTGCGTAAACTCTGTGAATTTTATGGGGCAATTATATTTTAAAGGTAAGAAATGGAATCCCTGAAGCTTTATCTATACTATACCGCCTTTCATTTGACTTTAAGTGTTTCGGTAATATAATTACAACGTTTTAAGCAGATTATGATTTGGTAACGGAAGGACGGTAACGGAAGGACAAAAGGTTTACTCAATTATAGCATGAACAAAATGTTAATTTACACTAATTATACAAGTGAAACAAATTGCTGAAATGTGTAACTGAATGTGAAATCAACAATATGCAGACCTGGCATAAATAATTATACCCAAGAAACCATTGAGATAAAAATAGAAGCCTGCTAATTAATGATAACAAAAGAAAAACGAAAACCACCCAAAACACATCATTCACGAACACAAGACAACTACAGAAATGGACTTCAAACCCATCACCTCAATCCTTAAAAGTTTAAATACACAGTATTTGAGCACTTGAGTATATTGGTTACATGTTCACCAACAACTTTTAATAATAATACCGGTAGGTTCAGTGGTTTACCTAAAGGGTGGGGGGGGGGGGGGCGACCAGCCTACATGTAAATTTAAGGTAAAAACATCTACCGGTAGAACTGATGGCTTCAGTTAGGTGTTGCTTTTAATTGAACTCTAAAATCAATGTTTGAAATCAAATTACAATGATTTAGAGTAGTAACAATTAATTTATAAACATCCAAACTGAAATTGTTAACTTGGGCATAATTTGTCAGAGATTGCACCTCACATGTCTTACACATGTAAATTGAATAAAAGTGCCCCAAAGTACCGGTACTTTCTGCCATCTCATATTTGACTTAATTTGCTTCTGGAATGGCTTCACAGAATTTGTATCTTTCTCTATTGTTCATGAATGCTGATGGCAGCAACTTTATGATTTGATTTTCTGCAACAACTCCATACATGTACATGTACTGGTACATCGGCATATATGTACATGTACATTGTACATGTTGTACATGCCTGTGCCTTCTTTTGTAATAAACACCTTGCCCTGCTTATCCCGCTTCTGTGAAGGTGGGTCACATGAATGTCCTTTCAATGCTCATAATACATGCATGTATTTGCAGTGATTTTCATTTTTCAAACATGAGCGCAAATGTCGTAACATTTGATAAAAATACGATTTGTCCTTCCGTTACCAATTTGGTAACGGAAGGAAGTGATTTAATTAACTGTAATTAAAAAACGAGAAGTACAGCAGTGTCAGTTATAATGTCATATTGAAGGCCTACCTAAACTTGCTTTGCACAATAACTTTCAATGCATTCATACTGCAAGTTTTAAAAATGAATTAAAAATTTTAATTTTTTCGGTAACGGAAGGACATTTTCAAAGGCTAAAATATTAGAAGTCACTGAAGCGAAGCAAATTACGCTAACTGTTAAAAACAAGTTTTAGTCAGTTTTTCAAGACCAATACTTTCTCATGACAGAAACTGATGGCATTAGTACATATTTTTGTGTGTGTTTTGGTAGAATACTTTCATATCACTATTAATCACATTTTTAGGATTAAAACAGGATTATTACATAATCCTATTTTTTGGTACCGAAATGTATAAAAAATAAAATTCCGACTTCAAACCTTGAAAATATAGACTTTTAGCTTTCATTTGATGCCAAATTTGTTTAAGTCACATGTATTTGAATTTGTTGGTGTCATGTCCACTTTGGTGTGGAATTGCCCTCATGTCAAATTTTTTTCCTTTTCTAACCTGAGGCTTTGGAAGATTTTTTTTAAGGCAGTGGATATTTTGCCGGAGACGGCAAACCTTCAGTAAACGTTAGTTTGCCGGATATGCACTGAACATGCGCAGTTACTGTTTTTTTGTACTTAACAAACATTTTCCGGTGACAAATTTTAGTCTGGCTCCATGCCAATATTATCGTTGTATTTCTGTATGTACAAGATGGGAATCAGACCATTTTATAATTTCGGACTTTATTTCCCTTTAAAAAAAAATCCTCCAGAGCCACAAATCTGAAAAAGAAAAAGTAATACTCTGCAATAAAATGTTTGAGACATATTAAAATAATAAAAGAAGAATATTCTTATTTATTTGGGGATGGGAAAAAAAAACCTTAAAATTGTGGCGGGGATCAGGATTCGAACTCAGGACATCCCACTCGCCAGAGTCACTGCTTAACCACTGCACCGTTTGAGCTACACAACATTGATGAGAATTTAATACATCTAATAATTCAGCCTAGCTGGAGTTACCCAGCCCTGAGTTTTATCATTGGGTTGTCTATTAGGGCTGGAGCGCATTTTTCTCAAAACTTGTAGTATTTGCAAAAAAAATTTGGAAAATGTTCAATTTTGTCCCCGTTACACACTAATTGCAACTGCAACTCACCCCAAACTTGCCTGGAATAACCATTACACAGGTCCTTGAAGTAAAACACGATCCACGATGAAGATTCAGTCTACAATTGCAGTGAAAACAGGAGGAATAACCGCTAACTTGACAACCTTGCTGGATTGGCCAGGACCGCTATTGGTTTGTGCACAAAAAAATTGTGTACAATGAATGGCGGTCGATTAACAGGCACAGAGAGCGATCGCTGTCAACTACTGGGTTTTGCCGGCTGCGCTGGCTGTTGGCGCATGACGTCACGCGGAAGCGTAACACCCGATGACTGTTTCATGCACTAGTATAAGGTTTACCACTCGCATCACAGCTTTGGTACTGGAACCGCAACCAATAGTGCATGAAACAGTCATCGGGTGTTACGCTTCCGCGTGACGTCATGCGCCAACAGCCAGCGCAGCCGGCAAAAACGAGTAGTTGACAGCGATCGCTCTCTGTGCCTGTTAATCGACCGCCATTCATTGTACACAATTTTTTTTGTGCACAAACCAATAGCGGTCCTGGCCAATCCAGCAAGGTTGTCAAGTTAGCGGTTATTCCTCCTGTTTTCACTGCAATTGTAGGCTGAATCTTCATCGTGGATCGTTTTTTACTTCAAGGACCTGTGTAATGGTTATTCCAGGCAAGTTTGGGGTGAGTTGCAGTTGCAATTAGTGTGTAACGGGGACAAAATTGAACATTTTCCAATTTTTTTTTGCAAATACTACAAGTTTTGAGAAAAATGCGCTCCAGCCCTAATAGACAACCCAATGATAAAACTCAGGGCTGGGTAACTCCAGCTAAATTCAGCCCTATCTTAAAGAGTACAGCGCCCTCTGTTGATATGGATTACTGCCGGCAAACCTTTAGTAAACGTTAGTTTGCCGGCGTTACCTCCGGCAATATATCCACCATTTTTTTTAAACGGGAAATAATGTCCGAATTTCATAACGTTCAAATTCACTTTTTTTCCTTCTAATTTTATATTTTCTTCTCATGTTTATGAGTTGCAGTACTTAAACGGGAAATAATGTCCGAATTTCATAACGTTCAAATTCACTTTTTTTCCTTCTAATTTTATATTTTCTTCTCATGTTTATGAGTTGCAGTACTACCGTAACGATAGAAAATGGGAAATGCGTTACGGCTGCCGTAACGATAGCCACTGCGTTGATAAGTTTACTTTCTAGAATTAAAGGCTTCTCTCCGTCAGCCTTCTACTACTAGTACTAGCATGTAGTCCGAGTAACTTGGACCCAACTTTAATATCGCCTTTTTAACATTCGGATATGGTCTGGCGATAGTGGGGTCCTAGGCCCATAAATGTGACTGAAATACTGGACTACCTCCGTATTAAGAGGTACAAAGCCACGTCTGCCTGTGCACGGAGCGTCCCGTTGCTAGGGCCAGTAGGGGTGCCCGAAAATTAATTAAAGATCGAAATTATTTTGTGAGCAGAAAATCAACCAGCTATAGAATGACTGCTAAATAGAACAAAATCGTTAAATTTGGTACCTACAGAGGTCTAGTTATCCAAAAATCAAGGAAATTTGTCAAAGAATGCAGACGGTTTTTGACAAGCATGGAGTCTCCAGACTGTTTCCCGGCCACCCTAATAATAGTCAAGAGGCTAAAGGGGTCAAGGAACCAGAAGAAAGCTTTAATCATCTACTGAGCGTGCGTCAATTTTGGCAAAGCGCACCGCGGCCGGCTGTTACCTGTCATTCCAAAATCTTTGGCGCTCTGTAAAGTGCCCGGATGCAATACGCGACCACTGGCCAAGAACTAAAGTTGGTCTACCTCTGATGACATGCTATTTCACAATAGAGCACATGCATGTATGATGGGACATTTTTATGCCCTTTTAAAAAAAGTTGATTACTTGTGGTCAGTGCCTATGTATATGCTGTACCACGATTTACTAATTTGCTTTGAAAAATAGACTTTTTAACACAAGTTCACTTTTTTTTTGGAGCACAATTACACGTACGTGTGACATGGTCACTTATTACCGTAACATGCACAGGAAAATTATGTGAGGCAATTGAACATGTCTAGTCATCATTTAATTTCCAGAGTATATTTTGACAATTTGGAGTCTCCTTGTACTTTAATAATGTTGTAAATAACCTTTTGCTCTGAATCACACAGGTTTATCCTGCCAGTGTAGACCTTCCTACAAGACAACCAGGAATTTTGGAGGTCCCTCAACCACAGTTGAGTGTGAGGCGTGTGCAGCAGGACAAGTACGTTCGTTAAAACGGAAATATGAATAAGGGAATAAATGAATTATTGTGGAATGGTAAAGAGCCGGGCAGTGCTGTCATATAGGATTACCCTGTCCCTGTAAACCAATGACTGGGCTAAATCCCACCCATTGGGCTAAAAACAAGTATTCGGTTTCTGGTATGGAGCTTGCCCCAAAAGTGGTGCGGCGACTCAGCTTTTTTTGTTTTTTACTTGTTTTTTTCTTCAAATGTCGGCTGATGACTGCAAATGGTGCCCGACTAAATTTAGTGCAAAATGTATGGGAATTCAGAGAGGCCAAATAAAACTTATACTCGAGCATAACCCCATCTAAAAACACATTAAAATTTTGCAGCAGCAGGATTCCAGTTAAAATAGTGAGTTTGGCGGTTTTGAGACATCATCTCACATTGAAAAAAAACCTGTTTAATTTTGCGGACGCGCATGGCTATGGCGACACGCGTGCAGATCAGAAACCGGAGCCTTTTTTTTTGCCTTATGTTGACTTTATGCATGAAAAGACTTCCAGTGAATAGCCATTATGAATCAGTTACATAGAATCTTGTGCAAGGTTTGGCTTGTCTTGTTTTACATGTAGGTGGGCACTGTGGACGGATGGAACTGCATTGACTGCGAGACTGCTGATTGCTTAAACTGCAACGCTGGTGACATTGGAGGTAGGATGCACACGTTGAGGTATATTAAATGACCAGAGCGCTGACTCGACGTACAAAGTGATGCCTGCTGGGCGCATCCATGTTTGTGCACAAACGTATTGAAAGCTCAAAATTTTGTACAGCTTTTGTACGGCTATTTACATGGAAAGAATGTTGCAACCAGACGCCACTTCAGCGGTTGTGTACAAAGTCTATGGAGAGTCAAGAAAATTTGCAAAATTGGAAATGTTTCTCAGTCCCAGTTTCGTGTCTTATCATCATTGTTGCAATGACTGACCTCCATTGAGGTGATTATATGAAGAACAAAACACTGTCAGGTTGCGGCATTCTTTCCATTTGCATATCTGCATTTCTGTTTTATACAGCTGCGTTATCAAAGCCGATGCACCCAAAACCGAAACGCGCAATTAGTAAATGAGCGTTTCATTTTGCTCTGCGCAAACAACGCAAACGCGTGCGCGGATCAACTTCATATGATTTTGGTGTGACGTTTTGTAGCCGTCATGAAGGGCTTAAGTTGTTTGCGTTTCCGCGTTGCATTTAGAGTATATTTTCAAAATTCACTCGCAAATTTTGCAGTGAACAATTTCGATCGCGTGAACCAGCCATAAATTATGTATGAACGAGCCATAAATTGTTTAATTTTGACACAATATTCAATACATGAAGTTGTTGGTTGTTCCATGGATATGAACAAGTAAGATGGTGATACTATTATTTTGTAAATCATATTATTTCCAATTAAAATGTGTTTTTTTTTTCTTTTTGGCGCATTTGCTGTCGTAGAGGAATACTCAATTGCAGGTGTTCTACAAGGAACCAAAACTTGCACAACGTGTGATGCAGCCACCTTGCCTGACTCTGCTGGAATTCAGTATGTATAATCTGAAACCATCACCTACAATGCTACCCCCCCCCCCCCTTAGGCCAAAAAAAAAAATAAGTCGGTCTCTAGTCAGCGCGCGCGTCGATTTTAATCATGCGCGTCAATCGTGTTTTTTTCCAAAATGTTCCGTGGTAGCTCCAACAGCGCCCTCTATTGCCGCACCTCCTCAATTTTTTTTACCAAAGAGCACCAAGGAATGGGAAATTGCACCAAGGCAAATAATCAAGAGCACCAAGGAAAATTATGGCGGACACCAATGTACATGAGGACACCAAAAAAGCAAAATAGTACCCCACCTTGTCTGTACAATCCAAGCTTGAAGAAAAAAAAAAAGCCGGGTCGCCACGTCAATTCCGGAACTTTGGTCTGACCAGAGACCGAATATTTTTTTTTTTTGGCCTTACCCCGAATATTCCTTTTTTCCTACCTGACTGAAAGCCCATTATCCGTTTGTTGCAATGATTCCAATTCAATTTGCTGTCTTGACAGCCTAAATAATGATTCTGATATTTCAAAGATACATCTAGGACATCAAATTGTCACTATTACGCCTTGCGTATTTCAAGTCCCCAATCAATCAATAGTTAGCTTTTGACATTTTGATTTCGTAAACATTCAAACAGGTTTGAAATAAAAAAGAATAATTGATTTTTGTGTTTAATTGTGTATTTTTACCATCATATTGGTTCAAAAGCTGATTTTGCCTTTACTCACCTACTTTTTCTAAATTTCTGAACCTTCAGGTGAGTTTAAAGAAAATAAAGTTTACTTTTTTTTTCCAGTATTTTTTTCTCTACACAATTTCTGGATTTGTTTTTAAAAGAGTGTTGAGTTGATTTGCTAGTCATTGTAAATTTTAAAAAAAAATTGTGTAAATAGTGTGGCAAATAATTATGAGCTTCGTAACATTTTTCAAGTCCTAAAAGGAAGAGAATTTCTTAAACTGTTAGGTAAAAAAAACCAAACTACTTTTTCCAAGCAAAACCAGAACATTTTCTTCACATAAATCCGATTGCTATAACTCATAAGTTCAAATACATGTGTCTGACGTATATCCAGACTGTTGGGCAGCTCTTCTAGAATTTTTGTTCTTTTTCAACAGGTGTGAGAGATGTCACGAGAGCTTTCTTGCAGTGAACAATGACTGTACATGCAACACTCCCTTGGTATGTACATAATAATCACATCACCCCGACGCCTAATTCCATCTTATGAATAGTTAAATGCGGCACCCGCTGCTATGTACATCAGATATGAACCAGCCAACCAATCCCGTAAGCTCGGTGGTCGAGTGGTAAGACGTCTGCACTAGAAAGCAGGAGGTCGTGGGTTCGAGTCCCGCCCGAGTGATTTTTTTTTCCAATTTCCAATCGGAAGGTAACACACTGAATATACAGTGTTTATTTGTCGGTGAAGGGCAAACATCTAATTTGATTTACATCACCCCGACGCAAATTTCCATCTTATGAATAATAATGATACTGTTTCATACGTACCAGTAAGTTAATTTTTTTGTGGGGTGCTGTGGTCCAGTGGTTACGGTGTTCGACTCGTGTGCCGTGGTACATGGGTTCGAATCCTGACTGTGGGAACATGGTGCTTGCGCTCCTGAGCAAGGCGCTTTACCATTATTGCTTCGTCTTTTGGATGGGACGTGAAGACGTAGGTCCTGTGGTTGTGTAATGCACGTTAAAGAACCCAGTAACACTTATCGCTAAGAGAAGGGGTTTGCCCCGGTGTTTCTGGCAGTGGTTGCTTAATGCGCCGCAGCACCTTGTAAACCATAATAAAGGTGCTACATAATGGTTCTCATATTTCTCTTCATTTACCTGTCTCTAATAATAGACATAATTTCCAGCACCTTGAGTACCTAATTGTTGGTAGATACGTGCGCTATATAAGACTTCGGTATTATTATTTTTCAGTCACTTGGACTGATTTTTTTTTCCAAATCCGCCCTGAGTGATCCCTTTTTGCTATTTCCCAGGTTTGCAGTATTGCTAAAGTTGCTAGCATTAAGACTTTACGGCGTGTAGCATATACCATGAATACTTGTTTATGGTTTCTGACTAGTGCCCTTGAACAACGCCATTGACAAACTGGGGAACTGCCAACCCAATCACTGGCTTAGTTGAATAATTCACATTGTTTATGTGCTTTTTGGTTTCTTTTTATTGTTTTAGGTCGGTGGGCTGTGCTTCGGGGTAAATGAGATCCAGGCCCCAGCCCAAGACACCTTCCAAGTCTCCTATGAAGTACGTAATTGAGGCAGGGTGAAATAATACGCAAAAAAAAAACGCTCAGACAATATATTGATAATATATTTGCAAAATATTTTGAAATTGTATTTTAAAAAAAGAGGCGGACAGGAAAAAGGAAGCGGGCAGGGACGAAAAAAACCTTTTTATTTTTTTTAATACTTGGCCTTAAAATGAAAGCAAATTGTTTGATGCAACATCTCTCTTTAGTATTAAATACACTATTATTGCTGAAACAACATTGCATATGCACATAATACGGCGTGTGTCAATGAAAATGTAGCAGTCAATCCAAAAATATTTTTTTTAAAAGAAAGACTCGCACTCTCTTTTTGCAAAACCTATCTTTAGAGTCTGAAGTTGTCGTAAGCACTGTGCCCAATGGTCTTTATCCCATCTCATTTGGACACTCCAGTCCAGAGATACAGCTAATTAAATGAAAGGACTTGAATTCCAAGTTGAGCCACTGGGTATCTAATGAAAGGCATTCACATACCAAGAAGGTGTGTGAATGCCTTTCATTAGATACCAGATCATCAGAAAAGTGGCCCAAACAGATTTTGAGAGTCTTTACAATCTTGGCCGTAACTTTTAAACAAAAGGTCCAAATCACACGGAACAAAACTCCTGTCGTGGGTAAAAAAAAATCAATTGCTCATCTCGTGGTTCATTGTTTACCTCCCCCCCCCCAAAAAAAACACCACTATTTAGTTACAATCTAAGTGTCAACAATTACAGTAAAACAATGTAGTTTGACTGCTACATTTTTTTTTTAAAGACACGCTGTATGCTTCTTCAGCATTTATTACATGCCGTTCAGAATTAATTAGTTTCAATTAAAATCTCATTACCTAGAAGCTGTTATTAAATTGTCTTGATTTTGTGAGTTATCTTGGTGTGGTTTGTTCTACAGGCTTTAGATGCTCCACTTTCCTCATGGTACTATATGGAGTATCTCCAAGCTGCTGAAGCTATGTGCAGGGTGAGTCTATTCTTCTTAACCCTATCAGGAAAGGGGAGGGGGGGAAGGGAGGGGGGGGGGCTAAGACCTGAAATACAGGCCTGACAGGGTAAAATATTCATGCATTAACCTCCGTAGGCTTTTTTGCTAGGATTTAAAACCTCAATCCTGCAAAATCCTCCAGCTGCCTCCATGTAAAAGTAGCACACCGCCTCAATCTTGCTAAATCGCCTGTTATTTCTTGAATGTGGTCCTTGGAGGGGTGACCACTGCCCCAATCCTGCAAAATCCTCTGGCGATCATGGTCAATATGTTGAGCTTACTGGTTAGCGCTTACTAGTATGCGCATTACTGTTTAGCACTTCTTGCTTAACACCTACTTGTTTTAGTGCTTATTGCAATACTGGTTAGCATGTAGTTGTTGGCGCGTACTGGTTAGCACTTACTGGTTAGCGCTTACTGGTTAACATTTACTGGTTAGCGAGTACTGGTTAGCGCGTACTTGTCAGCACGTACTGGTTAGCGCGTACTTATATTATTCTGAAAGAGTACCAACCCAGAGCATCTTCAGGTTAGCATCAGGCGCAATTGACCTATCGGGGTAGAATCACGTTACAATCGCTTCAACGCAGTTTGTGAAAGTGTCCAATTACATGATATACAATGGACGTGGAACGCACAAAATCTGAGACAAACAAAACTGAGTGTACAAAAACTCCATAGGGTTGTCTAAGGGGCGTGGCTAACTCGCAAACGGCGATAGGTCAATTGGCAAGCAGTGCGTTTTTGTATGTCCCTCCCAATGGTCTCCCTTATTCTCCCTTCATATTGGACCATTGAGGGGGTACTTGTGCACAGAGTTTAAAAAAAAAAACCAGTTCTATTTAGAATGATCACTTCATAATAGTTCTTGACCAATCATACTGTTCCCCAGCTGTACCAGAATCTCACGGCCTGTCAGATGCTGGGCAACTTGTGCGTCCTGCTGCATTACAATCCCAACAGCCTGAATGATGCCTGCGGCTATTTTGAAGCAATCAGGGGAGCCTCCGCCACACCTTTGATTGGAGATAACCCCGACTGGTAAGATATATGTCAATATGACCTACAGAGTTAAAAAACAAAAATTACCGTGGTGAATTTTTGTGTTTTATACATCCATTGAGAGTGAGACCCATTTCAGATGGATATTTCAGAGTTTGGCTGATGTAAATTAATCCAAAGATTAGACTGAAGTTCGGTGTTTAAAACGGTGAGGACCAACTGCACCTGAAAGACTGACTGCTGTAATTGTTGAAATGACTGCAGAGTCCAGTCAAAGCAAGATGGTACATGAACATGCAATTGGCCCCTCTGAAGCCAAATTCTTTGGGGTCAACATGTGAGTTGCTCTAAATACATGTTGGTTAGAGAGAATTTATCATTTTAGGGAAATATAGCTTCCTTCGTCAATACATTTTACCAAAAAAGTAGACTCCCCTTTTTATTATTATTTTTTTTAACATTGAGATAGGTAATTCACAAGTGAGTGAGTGAGTGAAGCAGGTGCGTAAAAGAAAACAAGGCTAGCCCTTTGGGGAGCAGACCAGTAAAAAGGCCCAATATTGCCTACGCCGGCCAAATCACGATTTGCATGCCCTCAAATTCTTCGGTATAAAAGCCTTTCGTGGGCCGTGAACTAGAGGGTTTGTAAAGAAGAAGGGTGGAAGCCGTAAACAGGACTGCAAGCTTTTATTTCTGTGAAATTTGGATGAAATTTGGGCCTAAAAGGGCTCTATTTTGCATTGGAGTGTAGGTATGGTTTTCAAAACAACGATGGGCTTCAGGAGTATTTAGGGGTGATCATCTTCGGATGGAAATTTCTCCTGATAGTCATGAGATTACCCCCAAAAATTGAACAGAAAATGGAAGATGATGAAATAAGCTTTAATTTGATGCGTGTCTTGAACACCTTGGAGAGTTGTGAGTATTTTTAAATTTTTGGGGAAGTGTGCGTAATTACCATGAAGGCCAAAAAAAAGGTTCCGGTTTCTGGTCTGCGCTCGCCGTAGCCGTGCGCGTCGGCAAAATTAAAACGTTTTGTTTTCAATGTAAGATGATGTCTCAAAACAACCAAACTCACTGGTTTGACTGGAATCCTGCTGCTGCACAATTTTAACGTGTTTTAAAATGGGGTTACGATCGACTATAAGCTGTATGTGGCCTCCCTGGGCTCCCATACGTTTGCACTAAATTTAGTCGGGCACCATTTACAGTCATCAGCCGACATTTGAAGGAATAAAAAGTTTTTAAAAAAAAAACGCGTTGCCGCACCACTTTTGGGGCAAGCTCCATACCAGAAACCGAAGACTTTTTTATTTTGGCCTAAGGTCTATGGCAGTCTGTTTACTGGTCTGCATTCCGTGGGACCAGTGAAGAAAAACCTATTTGAAATTCCCATCCCAACATGGTTAGAAATCATTATACACTCGGTTTTTATTGTCATGTCATAGTCACAAACCAACCTGTAACATTCTTTATATTCTAGGGTGGTTTACATGCCATGGCTGAAATACGTCGCCGACCCGGCCGACGAAATCCTGACAGAAATCAACATTCCTACCAAATTTTCTGCTGAGCCCACATCAGAGGTATTGTGGAACTAAACCTGTTGTATTTTCGAAACCTGTTTTATTTTCGTAATAAGCATTAAAACCTTGAAGGCAAAGTGTCGCCTAGAACAATCTTAGTTGGGAAAAATATAAGCATAGACGTTAAAAAATATCTGTAACAATAGGACTGTGTGAAATTGGATTATACAATTCAACGGTATACTGTAACAAAAATGTCATAGTTTTTTATTTTTAAAATGTACTTTTTTAGGTTAATCATTAGATGATCAAACAACCTCCCAAATGACAACTAAGAAAGTAAAACTGCAGACAGGGGGCTGCGGCAAAACTTCAGCTGCCCTTTTGGATAGCTAGTAAGTTGCAAAGGTATCGATTCCAAGTCCAGCTTCACAATTTGTATCTTTTCTTTTCTTTTCTGCAAATGACAGCAATGATCATTTAGAAAAGACCAATATCTACTGCGAAAATATATATAGATCAGGGGCCAATTTCATACAGCTGCTTAAGCACAAAATTTGCTTCAGCACAAAAAAAACCTTGCTTAGTAAAATAAGGAAACCGGCCAATCTCCATGCAATTGTTATGCCAAGTAAACAGCAGCTAAATACCAGTCACAAGCAATGTACATCGCATGGAGTTTTCGCCGATAACCTGATTATATTGAGCAAGGTTTTTTGTGCTTAAGCAAATGTTGAGCTTAAGCAGCCCTATGAAATTGGCTCATGGATAAAAGTAGCAACTGACACATTAATGATATTTTTCGGCCTTTCTTGTTGGTCGTAGGACAGCACTTTGAAGTTGTTTGTGGCTCAGTATAGTGCGACGGGCCAGTACCGGGGCCTAGGATCTGTCCGTGGTGGGGTGATACAGGTAAGGGGTTTTGTACATTAAAATAGCTGCTCAAATAGGAAAGAGTAAATGTTTACAAAAATGTAAGGGATTTCAAACTATTTGTTAGCATGAAGAAATGGTTGCATGTCTTTTTTATTTTTATCACAAACTGCTGAGAAAGGTTTAAATTACAAATAAAAACTAAAAAACAACACCCCTCAATGGAGTACCGAAGTGTGGAGTACCGGAAAGTGTAGTGCGAACGAATGGAGTGCGCGCGCGTGTTGGTTCTCGGGCTGAATCACACGCTAATTTCTTTTACACACATTTTGTGCGCGTGATGTATACCCCATTGTCCTAATAAGATTCGATGGTTTGAATGGTGAAATAAGCAATAAGCAAAATATGTTTTGTAAGTTTGTGATTTCTTGACATGAGATTTCTGGTTTCATGTTGTGCAACCTCAGACTTTCTCTTATCAATTCGGGCATTTCACAGTGCAGTGCACTACCAAGAGTTTGCCACGAGATTTCATTTTACCAGTGCGTTGTTGGAGATAGTTGTCAAATTCCCAGCGCGGGCTATTTGAAATTGTTAGTTTGTCCGGTCAGTAGTTTCGTATTAAAAGCGTATGGTTCGAGTACCTGTTCGCGCTTTTCTTTTCTTTTTGTCAATATGATGTTTTTGTAAGGCAGCAGAACACTATGCCCCTAATCCTTAACAACTTAGCTCAAGTTGTCTACCGATACTTGTTCAAATGGGCCGTGTTTTGTCGAGAGTAAACTTAAAAAATGGTCTGTCTGTGACAAACTCTTGATGGCGCACTGCATTGTGAAACGCCCTAATTGTCCTGTTTCCAATGATTTTTTTTCACAATTTTTTTTTTGCGCTATAGTTTAACAATAATGTTGTATCGTCTTGTTCATTCATAGGGCTTTGTATCACACTGAAGAATAGGTTTACCATTCTATTTGTTGTTTATGGTGAGAAAGTGTACAGAAAGGTTTTGTTAGGATTCGAACCCATGACTTCATGCTTGACAGCCCAACCATTCAACTGCCACTCGCAAGTTTTTAACTGAGTTTGGAAATGTCACTCAATGTTGGCAATCTTGAAGTAAACATTTGCTTCTGACGTATGTCTTTCAATTTGTTTTTTAGTTGTGTAATGACACTGAAAAGAAAATGAATGCGGCTTACACCTTTGCCACTTCGTACTCCAGCAGTGTAAGTACAAAACTCCAATATTTACAGATTGCTGCTGAGTTTTATGCTACTGTGAGATACATGTATTCGTGTATATGTATATGATTCTCATTCATCTTTTTTTCCTCGCGTTTTAGGGCCCCCCCCCCTTTTTTTCCCCCATTTCTTTTTTTGTTTGCTCCATAGGATTTGTACTTAACTTTGCTCTTCACCCCACTTTCATGACTTTGAGCACTTAGACATATCTAATCGACTTCAAACTTAGCACATACATACACCATCAAATGTAGGTATGTTTCGAATGCTGGTATTGTAATGATGCCATCAAGCATCACCTGACGTCAAATTGAGTGCATTTTTTTAAAAACGCAATCATCTGGGGAAGCACAGGTCTAAAAAAGAAACTGGATTAAATTGAAATTATTGTATTTTCTTTTTTTGTATAAAATTGTGAATATTGATGTAAAATATTTAAATAAGTTTCAGCATTTTATTATTTCTCTTGATTTAAGACCAGAAATCTCTCCCCCTTCATTTACAGTGTCAGCTCAAAGCCCAGGATCTGTGGAACAACTATGAAACCACCTTCTTTGATATGTGTATCCTTTTTAGTCCAACAATTTCTGAATAAGACCGATGATTTCTGTGACATGCATGGAAACAAAGGGAAAAAATGTTTCAACCTGACGCCACTTCCGCAGTTGTGTACAAAGTCTATGGAGAGTCAAGAAAATTTAAAGTATTTCCTAACAAAATTGAAAATTTTTCTCAGTCCCAGATTCATGTCTTATCATCATTTTTGCAATGACTGACCTTCATTGAGATGATATATGAAGAAAAAAGTGGCGTCAGGTTGCAACATTTTTTCCAAACAAAGTCTGTCACAATCCAATATGGCCCATCGGGCTGGCGTTTATCTCCGGTTTCCTTGGCATGAAATGACTGAGAATATATTTATTCCCCCCTAGATGGGATGCCAGTCCATCACAGGTTTATTCCCTATTTATACTCCTGGGTGGAGAGAGGCAAGTGGAGGTGAAGTGGCTTGCCCAAGGACACAACATATGACCCGCAGCTGGATTCGAACCCCTGACCCTCTGATCATGAGTCAAGAACCTTTACCAATAGGCAATGCTGTCTTAGAGTTGAGGTCCTATGAAGGCTTGAACTGTATCCTTTTGAGGATAATTTCGATCTTCAAAATAGAAAGTTTTCCTGAGCGGACACAGATCTCCAGTACACAGAGGGAAGCAGCACTGTATTGTATGCCGTCCCTGTCTTGCTGGATAATTACCAGGACGATGGAACATTTGAAAACCGACGTAAGTATGTTGCTTGCACTTATTGCTGTGTGTTCCGGAGGTATTACAACTCTGTTTAAGACTGGTTGGAGTCTGGTTGGGTGATAATTACCTGAGGCGAAGCCGAGGATAATTATCAGCACTCCAGACTCCAACCGGTCTTAAACAGAGTGTTTAATAGCGACCAAACACATATTTATTTCCATTGATAAATACCTTTTAAGTCAGGAAAAAAAAACACTTTCAGTCCAAAAATCAAAACCAGTCAAAAACTAGATGTTGCCAACCATTTTATTCAACAATTTTACTTCATGTTTTATGAAACACCACTCTGACTATAATATGGAGTGTCCCTCTTATTTCTAACCTTGAAAGGAGATTGACGTGCGTGTCATGCATACTGCGCGATATCGCGCAAAGTGCAGCGGGGCTGGTGTGTGAATTTCGGACTATGAAATACTTATATACTGGTAGTATTAAACATGCCTACATGAGGAATGTGAACGTTCAACCAATTAAACGGTAAAAGGCACCAGATTTCATGGGAGTCCAAATTTCATGTGAGACTGGAAAAGGGTTGAGGACCAGCCAGCCATGTCTTTATCAACCATTTAAGACCGGACACGTGACAGGCTCTCGACCAATGGGAATGGGTAAACTGTCTTTTGTATTTATGAATGATCATTCATAAATGCCTCATGGCCGGTCTTAAATGGTTGATAAAGACATGGCTGGCTGGTCCTCAACCCTTTTCCAGTCTCACATGAAATTTGGACTTCCATGGAATCCAGTGCCTTTTGCCGTTTTATTGGTTGAATATTCCCAATCCTGAGATGAACATGTGCAATACTACCAGTGAGTCACTACTGACCATAGTGGGCTGAAATCTTTAGTTTTATTTGATGGTGTTTGCAAACAATGTGTACTACCTTTCAGAATTGCTGGTTCCATGTGCAGAAATTGACAGCAAATAATGAGTGTTTGGTTTTTTTTGTATTTTATCGCAGAAGAGACAAACACTAACTGGCAGTTAACACGGCGTTTCTTTCTCGTTGACAACGTAAGCGGCAAGACGGCATCCAACACACCGGCCACAGTCATCCGCTATGCCAGCAGCATAGAGCTCTTGTAAGTTCTGGACAAAATCTTGGTGAAGTTGATAGAATTTTTGTGATCTCATTCATAACCCCTAAGCAGACCTGTAAAAAAAATTGAAAAGAAAGAGAAATTGGTATTCGTAAAGATAGGAATGGTATAAAAAAGGGGTTTTTTTATTGTACAAATTATTACATAACACTGGTCTGACTTTATTAGTGGATTAAATCTGGGCAAAATTTGGACATTTGAATCTGAATTTTGTGTTAAGTTTAAATTGAGTTTTGAGTCTGATGCTATCTTTATATGACAACTTGAAAAAGATACTAATTGATGGTTTTTTGGGATTTTTTCCCCTCATTTCCTCCCCCCCCCCAAAAAAAAATTAGGGTGAGGGATGTCAAAATAGGGTTGGTAGGGTCACCGAAAGCAGAACTGACTTCTTTTTTTTTGGCCTTACTCACTTGATGAGGAAGGAGAAAACAGTAGAACATTATAGTTTTTTATGTAGCAAATCGTGAGCCTTCTATCTAACCTACTCTTAGAAGCCACTTGAGGGTTCTTGCATTATACTTGATTCACAAGCTCTTTTCTCTCTGTAGGGTGACGTTACAGGACGAGGCGGGACAAACGAGAGAAGGTAAAATCTATCCACCACTCCTCAAGATTCAGTACAGCGAGCTGGTATATGAGAATGATTATGACAGCAACACTGAAGTAACGGTAAGTACACTGTTTGTTATCCCATGAGTGCGAGTGGAACACGGAAATAATGCAGTGCCTCTGTGTCCCACTAGTCTACGGGCTAGACTTTGCATACATTGATATCCAATAACCACGATCACCCGTCACCATGATAACCTGACGCCACGAGAGAGGGCTGTCACGACCAACCAATATTGCCCACGGACTTGTCAGTAGCTATGTCTATGGTATCTCCTGAAATCTTCCCCCCGGAAAATGTGGGAAACTAGTGCGCATGCGCTCCTTCTGCAGGAAATTACGGTCCATTTTTAGTCCCACGCACACTACACACCACAAAAGAGCTGACCAGTGAAGTAGGTTTTGCTGCATCTGTTACTGTACTGGAAGAAATTTGAGCGTTTGCTTCGGAACTACTATAATGTTTTGAATTGCACGCCAAACAGGTGCGCTCATTACACTACCAATAGGAGATTCCCTAGACGTTGATACTGACAAGCCCGTGGGCGATATTGGTTGGTCGTGATAGCGCCCTCTCGCGGCGACGGGTTATCGTGTATCAAACCATAACATCTAGCCACTAGACTAGTGTCCCACATGTCATGAGGCTGAAGGCCCAGTGTTATGTGGCAGGCAGACACACTCACATTTTCCGTGTTCCACGACATGCACGAGGGCGAGCGTGATACTGAAGTTATCCTCAAGCAAACTTGACGCACAGTAAAGATGGAACACGCGTGAAGTACACAAACTTTTCAGCAGGAATGACGCATGCTTCTTAGAATAGCATGATATGCCGAGTGCGGTATGGACCATGGTATAATGGATAATACCACACTGTTGTTGCCATGGATTGACCAATCAGGATCAAGGATTCAAGTTTGCTTGAAATAAGAGGACGGGGTTTTTTTGGTTGGACTAAAATGTACAAGTTGAAAATTTATTAATGAACAAAAAAACTGAATTTGTTGAAAAGCACGGGGAATACAACTGTAAGTATGTCTTTAATACTGTCCATGTGTTGTGGCAATAGTTTGTGAAGGCCTTTTTTGTTGTGTGGTGTTTAAAAAAATTAACCCTAACCTTCCTGAATCCTTCAAAATCCTCTTTGCCAAAGTGGAGGAATTTGGAGGATTGATGTTACATGGCAAAAGTGCATTTCTTATTTCGTAGGATGCACTTTGTCGAGGTCTTGGGTCGGACCTTGTGTTGTTTTTGCTCAGCCATGCATAAATATAGGCCTGGATTATGCTTGAAATCCTCCGTACTGCTCCAAGATGTCACTGGCCAAGCCTCAACATATTGACAGTCACTGCCGCAGGATTTTGCAGGATTCAGGCAGTGGTCACCCCTCCACGGACCATATTCAAGGAATAATGGAGGAATTTGCAGGATTCAGGCTATTTTTCCATGAGGCCAATTGGAGGAGTTTGCAGGATTGAGGCTACATCCTAGCAAAAAGGCCTAGGGAGTTAGGGTTATTAGAAATCATATAAAATTGAATGAAATGTAGTAAATGTTTATTCTTTACTTCCAACAGGTCAATTTCCGAGTGACCTATGAGATGAGCCGTGACTATGGAGAGAACGCTCTCTCCACTGCCTTGGGTATCTTGAGTGGTGTCGGGGTGGTATGGGCACTCGTAAGGTCCAACGCTTGGAGGCGTAGGGCGGGGCTTATCTACATTGATATCAAGGTAGGACCACTTGGTTTTCGTTCTACTGGTCCCAGGTTCTGTCCCTAATATGAAAGATTTTTTAAATTTTTTTATCATGGGTATAAAATGCAGCTAAAATAGAATATAAAAATATCAAAGACTAACATTGTTTAAAATTATATTTTGTTGTTTTTTGATGATGTACATTAAGTTGTCTATTTAAACGTTTTTATAATTAGTAGTTCTGTTCTCTTCAACACCAGTATCATAAAACATTGACAACAATGAGACTGGCACAGATAAAGATCAGTGTTGTGGGACTATGGAGTGCTGTGGTCCAATGGTTACGGTGTTTGATTCGTGTGCCGTGGTACATGGGTTCAAATCCTGACCGTTGGAACATGGTGCTTGTGCTCTTGAGCAAGGCACTTTACCATTATTGCTTCGTCTTTCGGATGGGACGTAAAGCCGTAGGTCCCGTGTGTTGTGTAATGCACATTAAAGAACCCAGTAACACTTATCGCTAAGAGAAGGGGTTTGCCCCGCTGTTTCTGGCAGTGGCTGCAATATGCGCCGCAGCACCTTGTAAACCCTTATAAGGTGCTACATAATGGGTCTCATATTTCTCATAAACTTTATTTACCTTTCTTTAATAATAGACATAATTTCCAGCGTCTTGAGTACCTAATTGTTGGTAGATACGTGCGCTATATAAGACTCCGTTATTATTATCATTATCTTGTAGTCAGGAAACCAGACCAGGATGGCTGTCTTGTGATTAATAGTTGCTTCCTTTTGTTCTCTCGTTCAACACTACAGACGATGTTCAAGTTCTTTTTCTTCGGCCTCGGCATGTTGGCAGATGTCTTCTTCGTCTGCCTGTTTGGCACTACATTGTATTGGCTGTTTTTCTTCAAGGTATGTTGCAACATAAATCTGAATGAAAACACCCCCCCCCCCAAAAAAAAAAAGGGGGGAACCCAAAAGAAAACAATATTCCACACAGTAGACACTTAACCTTTTGTTACATATGGTAACCATCTTATCAGCTTAACCAGATGACATTTTCAACAGAAATTAAAGATTCAAATGTGTTTTCAAAATATGTGTTGTAATGATTCACGTATGACACTCGGGCTTGACTAAAGCTACAATAACTTTGTTCACGACATGCAACCACGTTGTGCAAATTAGTTGGAATGTGCACAAAGCAATAGCATCACAGCGTGAGTGTCAGGCGTCGTCAGTGATGTGTTCCAATGTCTCTCCCTGTGGTCTCCCCAACTCTCCCTTTCTTAACTGTTGAGGGGGTACTTGTGAATGGAGCCCATAAACATTGTATGTGAAACATTACTTTTTTCGCAAGTATTCAAATTGATCAGTTAAATAACGAGCAAACCTCAATTACTGACACCTTTTGTTCTCCTATAGGTCTCCTCCTGTATACCTCAGAAAAATATAGTAAAAGTCTTCCTCATCTAAGTTATTGAATCAACACTGTAACTCCACTGAGCACTGATTGTCATAAAATGTTATTTTCCGTGTTCTGGTCTAGTCTATAGCCATTATAAACATGTTCGCTTTGAGTTGATTTCATTTAAAGCTGATCACTGTTGGGTCATCCGTGCACGGATCCTACACACAAGGATAAACGACTCGGCCCAACTCCTGGTTAGACGCGTGATAACGGCCTGTACTGCATGGTGGCAAATACCATGAATACTTTTCAACAAAGACCACTGTGCTCGGTGGCTTTCAGATTTGCAAGGCTCTTCGCCCGATCTGGCCTCGAAGTCTGTCAAGCCAGCAAATTGTATTTTTTAATATTCATGAGTCTACGTTTTTGGTCTTTATTATTGAATTCTGATAAGTGATAACTACATAACCATGGTAATGCCGAGCACAATATATTTAGCTTTAAGATGAACAATGAAATGTCGCTTTTGTTTCATCGGTTCGGCATCCTATCTCTCTAAAACTTTTTAATAAAAGCCTAATTAAAAACGAAATGTGGGTAAACGGTGTTCTCCTCGAAATTTAATGTTTATTTCCCGGGTAAATACTTCATCTATGACGACAAAAACTGCACAATACCATCTGTTATATCCTGAAGTATATTTTTTTAAAATAATTTGGAACAATTATATCTTAAATAAGAAGTAGTTTTACTTACAGTTTTATGAATATTTCCGTTTTAGATGTCGTGCAAAAACCCAACACAATGGCACATCTGGAAAATTCGCGATTACGCGCCAACAGGTGTTAATGCCCGTTATCACGTCTAACCAATTAAGGCAAGTCCACTGAGTGCATTTTGTACTAGAGCTCAGAACAGTCATTTATCCTGGTGTCTAGGATCCGTGATCCATGTGAGCCCAATTGGAATACCAGATGATACCCCTCTGAAACTTTAAATGTCATTTGATTTTTTTTGAAACCTGAAAAAAAAAACTTGAAATGATCCAGTGTTCTGTAAGAATCGATCTTCTTCTTTTTTAACAGCGGCAAGATCTGGTGTACCTGGTCCTTCCTCATAAGGCTCAGGAGGTGTCCTTCATTTGGTATCTGTCCTTTGCCTTCTTCTGCAAGGTAACGTAGTCATACTTAAAGGTATAGTCCATCATTTGTAATGTGTGCATTTTGTTCATTTGAAGCAACAAACATGCTCAAAATCTAAAGAAGGGTGCTGAACAACTAACCTGATGAAGTTTCAGCTCAGCTTCTTCTGTATATTCCGAGAAAAACAGCAGTCTAGGATCTCAATTTCAAATCAAAAGTTGCTAAATCATGTTTTGAATTGGGCTTGAATACAGCGTCTGAAACACGTTCTCACTGAACCGATTGCAGCTACGCGATGTCACGCACTGATCCAAAGAATTATAGCAACCATGCACACATGTGCATCGTGCCAACACTTGCACGCGCTTCCCCCAATAAAAAACAAACTTCTACGGAAATTTCCAATGGTGAGTCGTAAGACACACCGTTGGAAAGGCCTACTTTCGATGATTTCTTCAAAATGACAGCTTGCCAGAAAGAATGATTTAACAGAGAGTTTAGTCCCCTTACTATCTTTCAACCAAGTATGTTTTCAACAATAATTACGTCAGTTACTTTTTGGATAGCTGCAAATGATGGACTATAGCTTTGAATAAAAACATGTTGTCCCATTAAATTATGAGTTCGAGTACATTCTCATGTTTACAAGTACAAAAAATGTACTAGAGTCCGAGAATGAGTATGATTATGAATATGAGTACTACAGCAATGATAAAAAGTGGGCCAACAGTCCTTCTGATTTGAAAATCACAGGTGTGTGGAAAAAAGCACACCTGGATTTTTCTAGGCGTGTGATTTTTCTAGGCGTGTGATTTTTCTAGGCGTGTGATTTTTCAGGGTGTGTGATTCTGTGGTCCAAGCTGGGACTGAACAATCTTGTATTTTTTTTCATAATAATCATCTTGGTTAACAATAAAGCCGTTTTCTCTTCACCGACGTACTTTATTTTTCACAAATTTTGAAATATAATAATGCCATAAATGTATGCAGAGGTGTGCGGTACTGAGGGATTCAGGCGTGCGATTATTCGCACTTCTCAGGAAGCATTTAGGCGTGTGATGGCGTGGGGGGTTCCTCAAAACAGAAGGACTGGGCCAATATTGACTCTGTACAATTGCTACATTCTGTCCCTAGTCCCTGGACGTCTTGCATCTGATTGTCTACCAATGCCTGTCTGACGTCTTCTTGATTGACTGGGAGAGGTCAAGGGGTCGGGTGGTTCAGTCCAGCGACCCGGGCAGCAACAAGGGTAGCGTGGCACCGGTCAGTATCTGGAGGACATACTTTGTGGCCAACGAGTGGAATGAACTTCAGGTAGGAAGCCAACGCAGGCGTTGCTAGGGTGGGGTTTGAGGTGCGTGACACCCTCTCCAATTCATAATGTTAAAGGGACACTAGGTCCTGAAATCCCCGAAAATTTCATGGTTTGGATTGTTTTACCTATCCTATTTGAAACATGTGGTTGAAAGGAAACCAACCTAATGTCTTACCGTTCCAGAGAAAAGAAAAAAAAAAACCGGTTGTTTACATCGGACACGACGGAGTACGAATACGTTTTTCCTGTCGTTCTCAGTGTACGATATACACGTTGTGTGTCTCGGGAACAGCGGTGACGTGTATATCGTACACGTTGTGTGTCTCGGGAACAGCGGTGACCAACCACCAATGCACAAAATAAATTTTCTTCGACGTCCGCAAGAGGCGAACACGTTACAGATGAAATCACATCTAGCACCCAAACAGCTCGACTTTTTGGGGTCGCAAAAGTGGACCCCGAAATTCGTTCTCGCATGCATAATACAGGAATAACACAAAAACGCCCAGTTTTTAAAGGATAGTTGTTTGGATGTTTATATCCTACTTTTATATGTTATTTCCGATTAACATCATTTCGTTCAAAGCGCGTTTTGTAGCCCAATTGGGCTGTTCCAGGACCCAGTGTCCCTTTAACAACATTAGTAGTTCTGCAAACCTGGGAAGTGACACTCTGGGAAACTGACATGGATCAAAAGTGAAATCAACTTCTGTTTTCCAGTGAAATATTTTTAAAAAATGACTTTTCAGTAGTATTTCTTTTTGTGTCTTTATTACAGGAAATGAGGCGTAGCAGTATTTTCTTTCAAATGTCGGCTATGCTGTTTTTCTTAGAGGTAACACGCCAACCAGTTTTTTTTACATTTTATTCCTACGTGTCACAATATCTTCTGGAGAGATGAGTTTTAGTGATTTCGGTCTGAACAGATTGCGTACCCCAGAAAATAGATTAATTTTTGTGTAAATTATATTTTTCTTGCAATTCAAAAGTTAATCACTTTTTAACTGAGACACCGAACGAAAACATTTGCCCATGTTAAGGTATGAAATGAATACTTTAAAAGTACTTTATTAATTCAGTTTTCTCAGGGTAGACTGGCTACTGCCCCTGTGTCAGATACGATAATGTAGGGACCGGTAACCAGTCTGTTTACTGGGCAGATCTCTTTAATGTTTATGCGCAAATCCACGGACCATATTCAAGAAATAATAGAGGAATTTGCAGGATTGAGGCTATATGCTATTTTTCTATGAGGCCAATTGGAGGGTTTTGCAGGATTGAGGCTACATCCTAGCTAAAAGGCCTAGGGATTTATGGTTAATGTTGTTTTGGGTTTTTTTTCTATGTAAAGGTGATTGGTCTGAAAAATCTGACCACAATGGATCCCCGCAGTGACGTATACGTAGACCCGAGTGATTATACTGGTGATCCTAGCAGGGTGCTGAGATTCGCTGTTGCATCAGGAATATACCTGCTGCTGTCACTGCTACAGGTAGACACCTTTATGATTATGATTCAACCAAACCATTATGATTCGATTATATCAAAAAGAATTGAATTGTATTCGTGTGCAGAGTCACATCTGTTTGGAAGCAAATAGTTAATAGACTCTTGTTTTATTCGCAGTGGATTTTCTTTGCCTTCATCTATGAGCGCTTCATTGCCGACAGCATGAGGAATTTCGTGGACTTGTGCTCCATGGCAAATGTAAGTTTCATCAAGGTCCTTGCTCAAAGTTTTCGCATGTTTAATTGCAAGGATTGTGCTGTGCAAGGAATTTTATTCTGAAGACACTAAGTTTTCCCCGAGGACATAATTTTTCCAAGGAGCTCAATTTGATTGAAATGCCTCTTTTTTTTCCCAAGGAGCTCATATTTTACTTCAATTCAATCTTCCATTTTATCTGTGAACGTCATTTTCTTTTTTAGAATGTTTTGTCCTGAGGATTAATTTTTTTATTTAAGATTTATTTTTTAAGGACTTCTTTTATTTTAGTGGTATTTCTGTCTCATATCCCGCTTTATAGGACCTCATTTTTTATGAGGATTTTTGTTTTGACGATGCTTTTTTTTTTTCATTACTTCATTTGAGTCAGCCAATCATTGCATGTCTTACATCTCTTCTAACCAATCAGATCAGTTGAGGATGTCATTTTTTCATGGCTACATTTCAATTAACCAATCATAAAGTTTCTTACAGCTTCTTGAACCAATCCCAGTTCTCGTTACATCAGATCAGTTGAGGATGTCATTTTTTTATGGCTACATTTTAATCAACCAATCATAAAGTTTCTTACGTCTTCTTGAACCAATCCCTGTTCTCGTTGCATCAGATCAGTAGAGGATGTCATTTTTTTATGGCTACACTTCAATTAACCAATCCCTGTTCTTGTTACATCAGATCAGTTGAGGATGTCATTTTTTTATGGCTACATTTCAATCAACCTATCATAAAGTTTCTTACAGCCTCTTTAACCAATCCCTGCTCTCGTTACATCAGATCAGTGTCTTTGTCCTGATTGACAACACCTTTGGCTACTACATCCACGGCCGCTCCGTCCACGGCTTTGCCGACACCGACATGAAAGAGATGAGAGACCAGCTCAAGAGAGAAGAGGTAACTGCATTGGGAGATACTGTCTTGTGAGATCTTAATCCCCAAAGAACTATGATTTGTGGTCAACTTACAGTTTGGGGGGGGGGGTTGTTTCAGATGACAAATTGTTGTGAAATTTAGTATGCTTGTGGAGACATTCATGCTTAGGGTAATTTGCCTTTTAGGCATTTTTTTTTCGTTGCCAAAAATAACACCACTCAAAATCTAAACCTGTTAAATTTTCAGCCAGCATTGTATATTACACTTTTCATGAAAACAGTAAAAATTCATGACCAAACTGTTTTATCACAACATGATTTCATCCATAGCACTCTTTTTTTCCAAAGATGAGTCAGTTGACTAATCGGTGGAAAACACCTACATTTCTTGATTTCTTCGCAATGACTGCAAGCCAGAAAAACAGTTTCACGTTGTGTTTAGTACCAGTATATTTTAACCAAGTGAGCTTTTTTTTATAATAATTGGGTAGGTTACTTTTGGGATAATTCGAATGATATGTGCCTTTAAATTTATATGCAAAGTTTTAGCTTAACTGGACAAAGTTGTAATTACAGTGTGTTATCATTACAATGTATATAATATTCCACAATTTCATCTGTGAATCGGTGTGTTTTCCTGTTCATTTTACATTGGCATATAATTGAAGTGCCTTTTTTTGAGGGCACAGAGATTGTTGCATATTTTGTCAGTGAGTCTGTGTGTGCCACAGTTCTATGCAAATGTGAAAAGTGTGGTCTAAATAGAATTGTAAGAATCTTCTTCCTGCTCTTGATAGGATAACCTGTGCGGTCAGAGGGGCCTATTGCCTAACAGTGAACAGCAGACGTTTGAGATCTTACTGCCTATGAAGTTCAGGGAGCAATACAACACCATACTGCAGCCCCTGGTATGTATGGATCCGAGTACTAGGCTGTGGGGACTTCATGTGTCCCGTCATGTCACAAGGAATGTCACGATTTTGATTCCATGTATCAACTCTTTTTGGTTCTGGTGCAGAGTTACGCATGCCTGACACAAGCTAAGCAGTTGTTTCTCGCTCGGCATTCATGCATTGGGCTCAATTTTATAAAGCAGTTTAAAAAGCAAAAAATAATTATTGGTTAGCAAATTATGCTCTGCGCAGAAATAGCTCAGCTCTTGGCAATTTTTACAAAGCACCAGCTAGTGTTGATGAACACAGTCCATTGAATACTAACTGTGCACTCATGCATAGTGCATACAAAACTCAGTGAACCTTAACTTCACAATGGTCTGAATATGTTGCAATTGCAGGATGGTGTAGCAGCAAGAATTGATGGCACAAGAGGTAAGAAATAAAGCCTTGGAGACATAAATATAAAAAAACACTTGTAAGCAATTACAGATTTGAAACTTTTACAGGGTTGGACTACAAATTCAACTTGCTTGTACCAGATAAAAGGCATTTTACTTGTGTGACAATATATTGATTGTTATACGTAAATTCATATGTAACTGGTAAAAATTAATAACTTCTAGTGTAAGCTATCCCCCTCATTTTTTCCATCAAAGCTGGGAAAGAAAGAAAACACATGTTAGTGGACAATAGTTGTCTTTGAATTCAAAATCCAAAATTGAACATGGGGTGTGTACGCTAATACTGGTGGCAAGCTGTGTAATTAACAGAGTAGATCCAGGTGCAATGCCCCCCCCCCCAAAAAAAAACCTTTTTGATTCAACATATAAAACCAGTTACATGCACCAGTACTGCATTTCAGGTTTTTTAGGTTGGGGACAGGGCAATGATTTGGGGACAATCAGAACTTTTTATGACGTTTTAAGTATTGCATTATTTTTATTCTTTTCTCAGGTCGGCCAGATGCTGGTAGGAATCAAGAAGCAGAGAAGTCCATCCAAGCATATCAGACCATGAACCGGTTCCTGGCTGCTTTCCTTGATCATGTGAGTTACTAACAACATTGTTTAGTGGAGTGCCGTGGTCTGGAGCATTGAACTTGTGGTCTGCGGGTAATTCTGCAGGTTGTGGGTTTGAGTCCAGCCTGAGGTCATGGTGCGTGTGCTCTTGGATAAAGCACCTAATCACTCATTGCTTCTCTCCACCGAGGAGTAAATAGGAACCTGTGAGGGCACAGATGGTGATTGTGATTGATTTTAGCTGCTTTGCGCCGAAATGGCAGCATCGAGCTGTATGTACTCCCCAGGGAGCTGAGATGGTCTCAGGAATGTTTCATGGGCCCAATGAGCAGGGGTAATAATAATGTAAAGCGCTTTGATCTTAGTTAAAAGTGCTATATACAGTTCACGTTATGATTAGGATCCTAAATGTGCTCTATTGGGTAGTCAGTCTGCTTTCACTTTCTGTTAGACAAAAAAAGCATTAAAAAAATGAAATTATAAGCACCCACAGTCTAAGACTGTACTTGGGGGGAAAAAAACAAATATAAGCTAGAACCAAAATGAAAGCCCGAACCAGAAGTAAAACCAGAATCAAATCTAGACTTTGAACAGAAAAAGAGATCCAAGAACAAGTTCAGTGCAAACTGGAGTAGATGGTTATGCTAGTTATGAAATATTAATTAGAACTTGAACTAGAATCAGAAGTAACCATTAGCAGGACAAGTCTTCAGTCAAACCCCAACTCTTGAAACAGTGCTGGGCCCAATTTCATGGCACTGCTTACCGTTAGTGACAAGTCCCTACTTACTGTAGCAAAAAAATGTGTGCTTACAGTTAGCATATTTCACGGCTTGGCATGGAATTTTGCCTTATGTACCTGCATACATCCCCTAACTAAGGATTCCGTGCTTACAAGGTTAGCACATCATTTTTCTGCTGTAACCATCGTAATCGTAAGCACGGAACTATGTGGTTAGCAGAGCTATGAAATTGGGCCCAGGAGCCAGCACTGATATTGCCTTTAATCGGACCCATACGAATTTTTATCATTGAAACTAAGAATAAAAATGATGGGGGGCCGGGGTTTTTTCTGAATTGCAGGGCATCCGTGACATTGATTACGTAGTCAAAGACAAACTTCTACTGGAACAGATTCTGGACATGGAATTCTACGATCCAGCTGACAAAGGATTTTTCTTCAATGGTAAGAACAATAGATCAGGGGATGAATGCTAGGCCTGTGCTAAATATACTGAATATTCGAAAAATATTCAATCATAATTTTTTTCCATTCAAATATTAAAAAAATTTGAGTGGTCTCGAGGAGGTGATAAAAAAACATCGATGATGTTATTTTAATCATAAAAGTTGCATGGTTTTATTGTTTGTCAAATACCACATTATGTCGGTGAAAGCCACTGTACACACATAGTTTAAGAGCTTCTGTGAGGAATATTAGCTGAAATTTCTTTTTTTTAGAATCTGTCAAATATCAGTTCTTCTGCTACGTCGAAAACATATATCGATACATATATCTTTAGATGGTTAGTGAGCTGTATGGCAATTTTGGACAAGCGCAGGTGCATGCAAATCCCGATCGGTGGCCAGTTTTAAGGCTGGCGCATGTAAAACTTGATCAGCGCTATTTGAATGTTTGATGAAGTCCGAGTATGAATAGTCGAATACCAAATTATTCGAAAATGCACATCACCAGTTTTGGGCAGCACCAATCGAGGTACTGCAGAGAAGTCATCTTTTGCAGTTCATCATCACGGAGAAAAATCAACATTGCCGTACAATATTCGTTGTGCTTTTAGGCAATAAGGACTTTACATCTTAAAACATTTTTGCAATGCATAATTTATGTTTAATGGTAATTATTAATGACACCGCCAATCACAATTGTGCCTGTGTGGCACCACTAAGGGTGAGTATAATTTGCTTGGAAATAGATAAGAAAATAAATCACATTAAGAGGGTGCTGTAAAGTTGGTCTCCACTGCCATTATAAGTTGGAATTATAAAAACAAGTTGTAATGTTTTCTTAATTCCCTAATGCATACATCATGTTTTCTACCTGTTTTGTCCTATTTGTTTTTCAAGATGGTGGCCATGCCTTTGACAATGCCTTATTCCACGGCAATGAGTCCACCTTGCAGTTGTTTGAACTCCTGTTGTTCTGCATCGTTGATCTGATGTTCACTAACTTTGTACTGGCGGCCATCATCACGTACATCGGCAGCGCAGTGAGTGATTCGTTTCTTGTTTATTAATGATGTTTTACTGATGATTTGCCAAGAATTGTGAGTTAATTTGTCACTTGCTCAGTCAAACAGATTCCTTTTGTTGCAAAATTAACTGGTTAAGTTACCTACATTAATGAAAAAGCAAGAAAGTTTTCACTTTGGTAACTCTAGACCTCAGGTTATGTTGTTTTATAATATTTTGCTGCATATTGTTTTGCATATTTCATTTCTTCCATTTCTGACATAGCAAAAAATTCACTTAGAAATACAAAATATTTCAGAAAAAAAAACATTCCAATATATTACAGACACAAAAAGAACATTCGATATAGAAGCTATTTGTAAATGCCAGCAGGTTTTGGCAGCCAATTCCCTACCTACTACCCTATTTGCAAATGCCATGTAATCGGAAGCACAACTATTTTTTGTGTTGGCCCAACCTAAAAAAAAATGTAGTCTTCCTTAAAGCAGTATTTAAAGATGCATTCCCCCTTGCTATTTTCAAGTTTCACCTCAAAAAATAGGTGTTTTTTTTTAATTGCTATTTACCTAGCAATAAAAAAGTTATTGAGAGAGATTGAACCAAAAAATCCCCCGAAGTTTTGCTATTGAACTATTTCTTCCCAAAATTCAAATTAATGGCAGCCGTGCACTAATTCTGCTCGGTTTTTTTTCGATAAATAAAACATACACATTGAAAATATTCATTTTTTGAAGAGCTGGGGGAATACAACTTTAAACACATTAGTATTGCTTCAAAATCCATGAAATAACTAAGATAAAACAAATCTAAAAATTAAAGTGGCCTGACGTTGCGAACTTAGCAAGTTCTTCTTCAGAGGCTAAAACAGAAATGACAGAGGTACATACATTAACATGGGGGTGCACACAAACATGCAGGGCTGAAAGAAGAAACACAAAAGGAGGATTAGGTGGGAAAGGTGTGGAAAGATGCAGGGGAGGGTGGATGAGAGAACAAAGAAACAAAGGGAGATGGCAAACCACAAGGGGTCTGGTGTAAACAGGGGAGGGACCAGAAGGGGGAAGGATCAAAGGTCACAGGGAGTGGGAACGGACAAAAGAGTGTGAGAGTGAAGGGGATGATGCGGGGGGGGGGGGGGGGGGGGGGGGAAACAGTATGGAGGTGGAAAGGGGGGGGGGGGAAGACCAGGTGGATTATCTGTAACAGAAGACAATGGAGGAAGAAAAGGATTAATCATTTTCAAGTTGGATGTTGAGACAAATGATGTTTAAGATAAAACAAAAGCGTATCAGCGTTTTAATCTATTTTAACCCTGTCAACATCTGTAGGCCAATGTCTCAACTTTTAATAATCAGATCTAAAAAGAAATTCAAAATTTCCTCTGTTTCCCCTTTTTGACACGTCGTTACCAAGGTGATAATTTGGAGTTTGATTTGTTTCCTTTTCAACAGTTCCTGCTCAAGGTTCGGGCTGCAGGGGGTCGGGCCAATCTGGCCAAGAAAACCCTGGTGGATGAACGATTCCTGATTTAAGCACAACTGTCCAGAAACGTACTTCAGAAGACCAGCCTTGCCAAAAAAAGGAGGCTGTAACTGTGCTGTCTGGCCTGGTCAGCAATCAGAGATAGTGGGCGCTCTCCACTGTGAGCTTGGTTTGTCAGTCCATGGATGGGATAACGGACACTGGGTTTTTTTTGGGGGGGGGGAGTTCAGGAATGCCAACATTTGTGTGTGTGTGTGAGTATGTAAACACCAGCAGTTGTGGACGTAGGACAAAAGAATTGGGGCGCAAACAATACGTCCACGATTGACCGAACGTCCACGATCTCAAATCGTGTACAAAACCAATGAGAGCTGTCGCTAAAAAGTTAGTGTACAAACAAAGGAAAGAGGATAAGGGACAAAAGGGCGTCCACGATTGCCGGCATTTACACACGTGTGTGTGGGTGTGTGTGAGTCTTGTGTGGGAAAACTGTAGACTAATACAAAATTGACCATTCTTAGAGTTCACAGTGATGATTTGAACACTTGCCTTGATTAATTTTAGCAACTTGAAGTTGGCAGTTTCATACCTAAGCAGTCCAAGAGAGCTGTACATGTGTATTCAGTGCTTCTTATTATGTGACTTTATAAAGGGAATATACAACATTTGCAGACATCGAAAAATAAAACTACCAAGTTTTTACGAAATACCTTACTAGGATGTTGGTAAATGACAGTCTTAAGCATTCTGTAAAATTATGGCACCTGGTGTGAAGTCATTTTCAAGAAAATGGTATTTTTGTATACATTTCCAATGGTAGTTGGCCGACCACCGTTGGAAAAACCTAACTATTTTTCAACTACTGCTCCATATTTACCATTGTTTCAGTCCAAATTGTGTTTGCTATTGGTTACATGTTCATGAACGTGTGCAGGCCAGCTAGACTTGTTCCCTTACCTTACAATTTTCCGGCATCTATAAATTGATCCATTTCATTTTTAGTGGAGTCAGGGAACCAGACTACTTGAACATTTTTGTTTTTCTTGGTTTTTCCAGCCTTTTCGGACACAAAACTTCAAACATGTCAGTGTAACAATATTTTGTTCTATTATACTAACCCCTCAACTAGTTCATTTCTGAAAATTACAGCGAAAGCCAATGATGTACATTCCCTTTAAGCTAATTTGCTAGTTGGTTAAAGCTAGCTTTATTTTTGATGCACTTTGTGCTGAACCATTCGTACCGTTCTTTTTGGAGTGTAGATGTGCATTGAGTATGGGCTATTTGATCTACATGAACATGTATTTATTTCCAGTGAGTATGATGTGTAACATATTATATGAATCACCTTGAAAGTTACCTTGATTTTTTAAACTGTAAATATAAAGGAAAAATTCCATCCTTCTGTACGGTGCCTTGGCCTTTTACATTTGAATGATGTGAAAATCTGTCACATTTAATTCAGTACTTAATTGATTGCTTGCACGTGGGAGCAATTTGCTGTGTGGTACTAGTACATGTAGTTTATATATTTGTTATTCGTATCAGTGTTGATATTCTACTATGATTCTTTGATTGGCCTACTTTGAGAAATCATAAAAATGAGTTCCTAAACTGCCATTGAAATGTATGTATATATTGAGCAGTTGTCAAAGATGATCACTTAATTGTTTTGTCTTGTGACAAATTGCTTTGCGTGATGTTTCTGTTGTTGGAACAAAATTGTAGGATTGAATTTGACACAGAATATACTGGTGTCTTGTGCATCCTTTCCACAGGGGTGTGAAATCTTAGCTTTTGAGCTGATTTTAGCTTTTTTTTTTTTTTTTGGATTTCAGCTTTTCCCCCTCACTTGCTGTGTACAAAAGTATAGGAGATTTCCAAAGTACAGCTTGTTTACACCTTTTTCCAGCTGTTTTCAGCTATTTTTATCAGTGGTTACTTACATCCCTGTTTCCACCAAAAATGTAAGGAAAATATTCAGAGGACATCACATCTTTGATGGCAACAATGTAACGCAGCCCTCTTTTGTTAGCTCCGTGATCTTAATAACTGTCAAAATAAAGATGCCGAATGCTTAAATGGTTTATACGTGTAGCTCAAGTGCATGGCACCTTTGCTTGTTAAGATTAAGCAGTTGTGACACAGATTGTAAAATCTTTGGTTCGAAATTAATCCACTTAAAAGGTTCTCTTCTTTTTATGAAACAGCTGTGAGATGTGGAAAGATTTGTGAGGTATTAAAAACCTGAGTTTCCTCTTTTGGATTGAAGACAGCATTTTATTAACCGAAGAAAACCACACCCAGCGATCCGAGTCACTGTACTGTACCCCTCACGTCAATCGAATGAAGGATGTGAAGTTTACTCGTTTAAACGTTTAAATGAAGAAAAACATTTTAAATCCGTTTACAACTTTTCCCATGACTTCCCGCTACTTTGTGAAGCGCTTTGAGACCCTTGTTATTATACAAATAACGAATGTTTGTGAGTGCGATGGTAAGAATAATTTCATGAGGTGACAGATTGAATGTTCTATTCCACGAGGCGAAGCCGAGTGGAATAGAACATTCAATCTGTCACCGAATGAAATTATTCTTTCCATCGCACGAACGTAAAACATTCGTTATTTGTTTTATACAACACCTGAATAAATTCTCGTCATTTGATTGGTAAATTATAAACTACAATTTGCTTTGATTTTAAAGATGTTGAACTACCCCTTCACGAAAATGTTTGAACCCAACGCTGTAAGGCTGGCTCTTTGGAACAATACGCGCTACGCTGAACGCGCACACCAGCATGCATTTTGCACGCAAATACCGGGTCATGGAACAAGCGCAAAGTGAAACGGTATAACGCATGGGTATAACGCATGGTCGCACCGTGCATTATACCGAATAATAATATGTCACATGATCTACAATTCACCAATCAGATGACGGGGATTTATTCAGGTGTTGTATAAAAAGCGCTATATAAGCACCACGTTATTTTGACTTATTATGTCAATCGTTGATTTATTATGTCAATCACGTCGGTACGTCTGTGTCAGCTTTTGTGAAATGGCTTAACATTTCAACGTTTCAACGGTATTTAAAATTATTTGCTAATATCCCATCCCCATATACACCACTCGAGTACGCACATACACGACCGCTGCCGATAACAAAAATCACCATCTTTACTTGGTACCGGTACTTGGTAGTTGGTACTTGGTTGGTTCTTCTCCTAAGGACTTCCACAAGGGAGTATAACTAGGAGGCCAGAAACACCGGGGCAAACCCCTTCTCTTAGCGATGAGTGTTATTGGGTTCTTTTACGTGCGTTAGGCCTTAAATCCGAAGGACGAAGCCACTGTTGCCTCTGAAACACCAGGGCATGAGTCCGGTGTTCTTAACCGCTAGGCCATGACACTCCACATTACATTGAATCCTGGAGAATTGGGAAATAATTAGTGCTGATATGTGATATCCGGGCAGACATGTTACATCATCATAAACCATTTACAGACATGTTACATCATAATCAACCATTTAAAGTGGGTGTGATGTATGAAAGGTCATTGACCGTGTATCAACTGCAATTTTTTTAGCCCCTCCAGTGCCCTATGTTTCCTACCTCCATGGTTCATTGTAATTTACTTGTGAAGAAAGCAAGGTCAATCTTAGATCAAGTATTTCGCGACCGAAATACCTGTTCATAACGGCCCACGCTTACTTTTGCATTAGGTTTTTGCTAGTTCTTGGATCTTCATTGTTCCGACGTCGATTCATTTTGTTTTAACATCAACCAATTCCAAAACAAAAACATTCACGTTTTCACATTTTCTTTGGAAATGTTCAGACACGTATTTTTGCTAACCTATATGTACCTTTCAGCAGACTTATCTTCTTTTTTTTTACAAAGAACAATCTCAGTAATCTATTATTCCAGAATTTGCTGCCCAAGAAAAGAAAAAAAAATAAAGATAGAATATTCACCTGATATGTGTATTTAAAATTGAGACAATAATTTATTAGACAATGGAAATATTCCGTAGTATTTGGACATGGGAACGAATTTTTACTACCAAAACTAAGTGCAGTCGTTGTGTAATCATTTACGCAAGATAATTCTTAATTGGAGGATGTGGTGAACGACCGACCATTCTTTTAGCACCCCTGCCTTTCCGCCTAACCTGCAAGCAATCTCTTTTATGATCATCGCTGTCTTGTTTTCCTCATTTTATTGCACAACCAACAAACCTTGCCCGCAGTATTGTTTCGAGATTTGTTTATGTACTTTCCTACTCAGCCGGGATCATTGGTGCGATGTTTATACCTGGCAGCGCGCCGTAAACACCGCCGAGGGGCCCTAAAGGAGCAAAGCCGCCCGCCAATCACGGAAGGAGGTCAGGGGAAATAAACAGTCGAAACTTGGCCCCCCGTGTCAGCCAGCCGACCCAATACATTTCACACGTTATACCTACCTGGATGTGGTCGTGCGCAAGCAAGTGATTACTTAACCACATGCTCTACTCCGCATTGCAAGTTCCTTGCCTACAAGATTACTAGTTCACCTAGGAGTGGTATAAGTACAGACGTCCATTTTGCAAGAGACGTGTTTTCTTGGGTCATTGTGGTTCACGGTTTCTCCATCGTAACAAAAATGGAGTTTAGAGTCGTCTGCTTCGTTTCGTTACTGGTGGTTCTCGTAGTGAGAAGTGGGAAGTGTCAGACTATGGACTTCGATGAGGCAGGGCAAGCTGCAGTGGTGGAGGACAACTCATCGAAGACTGGAACCGAGGAGCCGATAGGCAGCGACAGCAATAGCAGCACGGCAACTAACTCACCTGGTGGAGTTGAAGATGGCTCAAAGGTAACTTACCTCTGTTCTGTTATTAAAGATCATCCACCATCGGTAACTAAAAGTTTTTTGGGTTTTTTTTCATGGCGGGGTTGTGAGGTATAATAGCCTATAAGTGCAAGGAATAAGGATATAGTAATATTTTGTTTGCAAATAAGTTTTATATTGTAAGGCCAAAAAAAAAAGTTTCCGGTTTCTGGTATGCGCGCGCGTCGCCGTAGCCATGCGCGTCGGCAAAATGAAAAAGTTTTTTTTTTCAATGAAAGATGATGTCTCAAAACCGCCAAACTCACTGGTTTGACTGGAATCCTGCTGCTGCACAATTATAGCGTTTTTTAGATGGGGTTATGATCGAGAATAAGCTTTATGTGGCCTCTCTGGACTCCCATATATTTTCACTAAGTTTAGTCGGGCACCATTTGCAGTCATCAGCCGACATTTGAAGCAAAAAAGTCAGGGAAAAAAAAAAAAGCCGCGTCGCCGCACCACTTTTTGGACAAGCTCCATACCAGAAACCGGAGACTTTTTTTGGGGGGGGGGGCCTAATAGGCTACTTTTTTCTGCATTTAGCTTCATTATATTAGAAAGATGTGGTTACCTTATTGTGCGTAATTATGTGAGATATTCGTTATTCGTTATACATACATGAAGGCCCTGTGTGAATGTTTTGATGTAAATTGTAGGCTTAATGGCCAGCACGTACGAACTACACCCCCCCCCCTTCATGCCCCTCCCCTTCAAGCGGCGAATCCCGGTTTTTGGTTTACGGGTTGGGGGCAATTTTTTTCAGAAAACAAAAGTGGCCCAAGTTATTTTTCTTCAAACGGGAGTGGTATTACTACTACTAGCGCTTAGTGAATGCTTTAAAAAGGGAATATTGCTGGATACTCCACTCACAGTCCCCCACCACCACCAGCCTGACCAGAACGGGAAAACTGCTGTATCTCCCCCCCCCCCCCCCCCCCCCCCCCCCGTTGTGTATATTTTTGGGAGAGTCTGTACCATAGGTCCCCCCCCCCCTTTTTAATACACTTTTCAGTAGTTATATTAGGCCAAAAAAAAAAGTCTCCGGTTTCTGGTATGCGCGCGCGTCGCCGTAGCCATGCGCGTCGGCAAAATGAATAAGTTTTTTTTTTCAATGAAAGATGATGCCTCAAAACCGCCAAACTCACTGGTTTGACTGGAATTCTGCTGCTGCGCAATTTCAACGTGTTTTAAGATGGGGTTATGATCGAGAATAAGCTTTATGTGGCCTGTCTCGACTCCCATATATTTGCACTAAGTTTAGTCGGGCACCATTTGCAGTCACCAGCCGACATTTGAAGCAAAAAAGTCAGGTAAAAAAAAAAAAAAGTCAGGTAAAAAAAAAAAAGTCAGGTAAAAAAAAAAAAAAAGCCGCGTCGCCGCACCACTTTTTGGACAAGCTCCATACCAGAAACCGGAGACTTTTTTTTTTGGCCTTATACCCTCTGCCTTTATTTTTGTAATAACATTTTGTAATAATTTTTGCCTTGTAAAAGTAAATAGTTATTGCACATTTAATATGTCAATGTTATGGGATATTTAAATTGTTTTTATTTAGTTGCTGTATATTTTTATTTTTTTGTCCAACGTAGGTTGCTACAACGGATTCATTCGCCACAAGAACCAACACAACAGAAGATACAACCACTCTGCAAACTGCCTCTGCAGTGGGAACCACGGGCGAAGCGGCTGAGCTCACGGCTATATCCACAACATCCACTCGCTATGCTGATGTGACCACGAGTTCAGTTCCATCCACTATCGTGGAGGACGTATCCACGGATTCAAATACTTCAGCCGCCACGACTGCAGACTTATCCACAAATTCAACTACTCTATCCACCGATGACTTCACCGTCAACAGAACGGTCTTGTCAACAACCCAAGCATCCACCACTGCTGAGACAACTACTCGTCAGACAACTACTACAGGTCCGCAAACAACAGGTGAGTTAAGTCTGGCCCCAGACTTTTTTTCACTTTACTTTCCAAATGATCAATGGACGAACCACACAATACACACCAATCATCAGTCCTGAGATGTACCATGGAGGATTGACCTTTCTCCACGGCCTTGTATACTAGGGTATCATCACTGGAAACAGAACTGATATTTTTAGCGAAAAATTAACAATTTTCGATAAAGACACACAAAATTAAACAGTTGTAAAATAAATTATGATCCTTTCTCGAGGCTTTTGCAACGTTAATGTGGGTTGTTGTTTCCACTTGTTTGTACTGTTTAGGTATGAATTATTGTTGTGTAATCCGAATAAACACTCGTGGATAAACATCTGCGAAGTCTGTCTGGTATAATGACATGCAACTTGAGCAGGAACCTAACCCCAATTTCCTTTATCCTACCCCACGAACTCGGCTTGATAATTATCTTTTATCTACAAGACTAATTAGTAATTGTTGATGTAAAACTTTTTTTACCGGCAGGTGCATATTGGCAATGGGTGTACTAAACTTTGGAGCTTTCATGTTTTCGTGGCCAGACTAGGTGTGAAAATTATGTGCTAAAAGCGTTTTTAAAGTTGTGCGCTGATTGAAAGGAAAAGATTGCCAAAGTTGCTTTTACAATTACAAACCATACTTCATACGTACACTGATACACTGATCATTCCATAATGATAAGTCATGCAGTCCACGGTTTCTTTTAGAGGTGTTAATTGCGATGAATTATCTCCCACTAAGAAGATTATATAACAATGGCTATCCACGATGTGCAAGATCGCTGGCCTGCGGTTTTACCTTCGGTATGTCAGCAGTATGTAAAAATCACACCAGTTGTGCAACAGAAAAGCCGAAGGCGTTTAGGCGTGTTTTTCTCTCGTTTGGTTTTGAGTGGGCGTAAGAGATAACGGAGCTATGGTGTTTCAAATGATGTGACAAGTGGAGCATTGGTTATTATGTTACCCGGAATAACTAGAAAATCCTTGACGTGGGGCCGGTACCAAATACCGTGAAATGCTTCCGCCTGAAATGGTATCTTTCGGAAGAAAACAAGCACTGAAGGTGCGCGCATTCGGGAATTCAGTTTATGAGGTCCAAAAATTGTCCATGTTTTTTCCCCCTGTTTTCTCAGAATGTATATGGCAGCTACTGAGATACTTACGATTTGGAGCAATTTTGTTGCTGCAAAACGAAAGGAAAAATGCACAAAAAGCAAATGATTCGATGTACTTTTAATACTTATACGGCGGTCAATCACGTTAGCGGGCATGTACCATTTTTCATGCATGGATTTACACGTGTGACCTTGATTCTAATCTTACCCAGTCCATAGAGCAAGGTATGCCCAGTCACACTTCGGTTTTGGGTTTGGTTTTTATCATCCGAAATACAACGACTTTTTTGGAGAAAAAGAATTGGAAAAAAAACTGTCTCACATGTTCTTTCGACAAACGGTTTCTTGGCTTTTAGCAGTAGAACTTGGCTTTTTAGCAATTTAACTATCTTAAAGGGTTTTTTTGGGTGGAACTTCTTCTCTTAAAGTTCGTGTAGGGCCTATACGTGCTTTTTGGGTGTGGCACCTTGAAAAATAGATTTCCAAATTGAGTCGATACTTTTCTTGCATTACATTAGTTATTAGCTTTCCAGTGAGACATCGCACGGAAAAAAATCGGCCCATGGCACGTAATCGATTAATTAATTTCAACTTTTGAATTAAGAGCGGGACGCTCCTAATTTTGTTCTGTGTGTGTTCAATTTCTAAACTGGAGCGCGCCATATAAAACCGATTTTTAAAACTGTACAAAGGCCTGCAAAAACAAACAACTTTAGTGTTACGCAAACATGAATGTTTACCGACCTAAATCAAACTTTTACGGAGTTATACAAAGTCACAGCCTTGTTTTCGATACCCGTTCCTTGCTATATGATATAGAACCTACATGTACCACTATTCTGTGCAACTGTTGTGGCAACTAAAGAACAGACCCTATACATGTACATGTATCTGCGTCACGTTGTCAAGGTTAATGCTATCAACCTTGTAAAAGAAGCGTGATATATGGGGTTTCGTTTAACCCCAAATTACGAGTTAATTTGTCGGTCAAGTTCACGCGAGTTGACCTATGCACGGCTGTCGATGAGTCTAGTGGTACATCGACTGATGGTTCAGAGTCTGTAAAAGCATGATACAAAGAAACTGAAAGGGAAAGTCAAGTTGTGGGTTTTTTTCTAAATGGGGATCGGGGAATAAGTGGACACGGCTAAATTGCTCAAGCATTTGAACTCAGTTTCTTAATTAATGGATTGTCCTAGCTAAAATACGATGCTTTTTGAAAAGTGATAGAAATTCTTATTTAGAAGTGGCAGGCGCGCTCTATCATGGAAATCAAAAGGGGATTTTGTTTACCCCCATAAACAGGGGGACCGGAACTTTAATTGCTCAGAAAAATTCACGTTTCAACTTTGGAATATGCCAGGGGAAAATCGATGTGAAGGCATACAGTGTTTCGCACGCTGCTACTGAGCGGAGCTGAATTGAAGACGTTCGCTAAAGTTTTAAAGGGCCTAAACGTAAAGGCTCAGTAGACCTGCGGGTGATTGGTGCTTACAAATTAAGGTGCATACAACACACACAAAACTTTGATACTTAGATTTTTGTTGTTGGTGCCTTGCGAAAACCAACCGATTTTTAAAGCACAGTGACGCAGAAAGAGAGCAGAAACTGTATAGGCCTATACATATAATTTGTTTTCAGTTTTTAAGTTAAAGCCTTTTCTTTTTGCTGCGTTTCAAGTATCAGATCTGACTTGCAAAAATAGCAAACAAAATCGATATGTTTAATGTTCAAACAACTCGCACAAGAAAACTGTATGCTGGATATACTATACAATTGTTCATGGATTTTTGTTCTTTCGTTGTTTTTTTCAGTGGAGCCCTGTTTATTCGACAATGGAGGTTGTTCCGATATCTGTTTACCCATCGTGGACGGAGGCTACGAGTGTGAATGTTTCGAGGGATTTATTCTTGGAGAAGACGGCAAAACATGTGAAGGTAATGTGTTCACACGACTCTAAAAACAAACAACTCGCAATGCATGTATTTTTCCCCTCTTATTTGGCTCTTTTATACATTTTAATAACAAACTGAAAAGTCTTAATTCATGCCGACAAATTGAAATTTAATGACACTGTCTCGATGTCTTCAGTAGATCGATTGTATTCAGCTGGCGTCTGTGAGGTGTGTTAATACAGGATGGGTAAAAAAGACGAAACCCAAATGTTGGGACCATTGTTTTAGTGAAGTTCTGCATGAAGCACTTTCAAAATCTAGGATGTGAAAGGAAAGCCCCATTCATAAGCTTTCTTTTAGTACAAGAATCATTCAAATCACTCATGTACTTTTCAAGTTACGGAACTTTAAACACAACTGCCGTTTTAAGGTTCTGTCCACGGATCACAAAAAAAGTTCAGTGTTTTTTTCAGCAAAACGAAAACAAATCACGTAGGGATGTGTGTGAATTGTTTTCGTTTTGCTGAAAGAACGCAAACCTTTATTGTGATCTGTGGACAGAACTTTAAAACGGTGGTTGTGTTTAAAATTCCGTAACTTGAAAAGTACCTGAGTGATTTGAATGATTCTTGTACTAAAGGAAAGCGTTTGAATTGGGCTTTCATGTCCTAGATTTTGAAAATGCTACATGCAGAACTTCACTAAAACAATTGTCTCGATATTTGGGTTTCGTTTTTTTTTACTCACCCTGTAGACTTATTAAGGCGGAGTTTGAGGGCAGTGGTTTTCGATCCTTGGATAGGCCTGAGTAAACATTTTTGCGCGTTCAATGTTAATGATAAATTTAAACGAAGAAGACACAACGAAGGTCTATTGAAGTTGCAAAATTACAACTTGGTCAAGAAATTATAACACATGGGTTTGCAGTTTGTATGCTGAACTGGTATGAATTCCGTTTACGCTTGCTTCCATCCTGACTGACTTTAGGAAATATACAGGGTGGATAAAAAAAAACCCACCGAAACCGTGATACTATTGCTTTTGGAACAGAAGAAGGGCACGTGTGAATCAAAGGGAGATATCTCTGTTAGGGTCGAATCTCCTCTTTAAAATGACACCCTGATCGTGTCATTACATTCACGGTTGACTGAGCAGTGACCAATTTTATGAAAGGGTCTATTTAGAGACATGCGCCACTTTTCATGGTGAAATCTCTTTCCCCCACCTGCCTTGGCAACCATAGCCTTTCACTCTGTGACAATTGACACAACAAAAACCACAATTGAAAAGTGGCGCAATTCTCTAAATAGACCCTTCATAGAATTGGTCACTGCTCAGTCAACTGTGGATGTAATGACATGAACAGGGTGTCATTTTAAAGAGGAGATTCAACCCTAACAGAGGATATTTCCCTTTGATTCACATGTGCCCTTCGTCTGCTCCAATTAGCAATACTATCGCGGTTTCGGGTTTTTTTTTATCCACCCTGTATATACATGTCTATTATATGGTCCGTTTTTGAGATTCGTTCAACAGAATATACCTGTTTCGGAAACCTGTTGTAAGCAATTTTTTCTATTCAGAATATTTCCCTTTATATCCCCGGGATGATATAGATAAAGACGAGTGCTTGGACAACCCATGTGATTCCACGCAGGAGTGCTTCAACATAATTGGCACCTACTTTTGCTTCTGTTCGGAGGGCTATCTGGAGTTGGACGACGGCTACTGCGAAGGTATGGGAGACCGTTGAGACGCTTGATGACAATCACGCCCGTCCTTTTCTATTGTTTGCATCATTTCTGAACAGGCGCACATGAGCTTAAACATGATGTAAACCAAGGGTGTCAATCGCTTCTCAAAAGTGGGGACATACCTTGATGAGCACTAATGCGAGCGCGAAGCCCTAACGGCGTGGGGTTCGGGGATTTAGGGGCCCCGAAAACATTTTGGATTCTAGACGCTCTGTGGTGCGATCCGAGGCAATTTCTGACCACTAAAACCAATTTCTTTGAGCAAAAGATCATCTTTTAAACATCATTTTCGAGTTTGGAGTCATTGAATCGGCTATTCTGAGTTATTGGCTCATTAAAGTAGGCTACAATTTGTATTTGGGGACGAAAAAAGTGGGGGGACAAACGATATGATATATTTTTAAAGTGTGGGGGACACACCCCCCCCCCGTCCCCCACCGATTGACGCCCATGATGTAAACAACTGAAAAGGAACAGTGTATTTGCTGCCACCAAGTGTGCAGTGTGTTCCTAAAGCGCCCATGCATGCAGTGGACTTGGGCAACTGCAGAATTTTTGGAATCGATTTCGATTCCTTTCGGGAGTCGCAATCCCATTCGGAATCGATTTCAAATTTATTCCATATGGGGGGGGGGAAACTCAAAATATCACAGATGAGCTATAATATGACTTGATTACTATCAAATCCCTCTTTTGAAATATGATTTTACTTCATAAACTTTATTTTAAAGCACCTCGAATCTGTTCTTTGGTGGACTGAAATTGTTACTGCGGGGAATCGATTCCCCTTAAAGTGGAGTGGTGTTTAATTTGTTATCAGATTTTTAACCATTTCATGCTGTTCAGGCCGTCTAAGGTTTTTTTTGCTGCATTCTAGTAAAAATGAGCAAAACAATATGAGATCCTAGGCAAGACATTGAAAATTATTGTGAAACCAAACAAAAACATTACACACTGCAGCAACAGGACAATTGCACTACATGTATATAATATAGGTCTTGCTAAAATTCCTGCCATTTTAATCTAACAACTCGATTTTGTGTTAAAGCTTTAATTACGGAGTTCTTAGTGCACCGAATCAATGTTTCAAATATTTCCAAAATATCAATTAATCCTGCACTTGAAATTATCGATGAACTGATAGCCCTAGACCTTTTCAAGAATGATGAATGTAATATTGCGTCATTTGTTCTTCTTTTCTTTTAAGATATCAACGAGTGTCTTATTGAGGGGCCGTGCGGCGCCAATGCTGGCTGTAGAAACGTGCCCGGGTCGTATGACTGTCTCTGTTTCCCTGGCTTCATATCAACACGAGGGGGCGTATGCGAAGGTCAGTGCCGTTGTCAACAAAATTTGGTCCGGATTTGAAATACATAGAAATGCAAATTGTATAAATTGAAGCGAATAGAGCACAAGCGTGATGAATGCGATTATTTACATACAACCGTGGTATGCCGAAATGTTTTCCTTTTCATCCTAGCTATAATTTCCAATTTAGATATGAACTTGATCAGATGTTCCAATTCCCGAGTTCGGTTGGTCATGCTAAGATTTTCACCCCAGTTCGTTTTACATTTATTTTCTGAAAGTGTATATTGGAAGAGTTGATTTAAATGATGGATGGAGGGGAGTCGGGGCCCGAGGACCAAATTTTTGAAATTGAATTGTTTTCGAAAATGTTGTAAATGTTTTAAATTATTTTCAAGTATAGCCTGCCTTTCAATTATTTAAACCAGTAAGCGCCACCGTTTTTTGAGCTGTATAGGCCTATAGATCCGCGACACCAGTTGAAAAACATACAAGACATATTTGGAACGAGCACCTTTAACAAAAGAAAAACATGAATTATGACATTGACACTATACAATGTTGTACAGGGTGAGTAAAAAAAGCCAAATATCGGGACTATTGTTTTATTGAAGTTCTGCATGTAGCACTTTCAAAATCTAGGATATGTAAGTCCAATTCATAAGCTTTCTTTTAGTAAAATAATCATTCAAAATCACTCATGTACTTTTCAAGTTACGGAATTTTAAACACAACCACCGTTGTAAGGTTCTGTCCACGGATCACACAAAAGGTGAGCGTTCTTTCAACAAAACGAAAACAATTCACACACATCCCTACGTGAATTCTTTTCGTTTTGCTGAAAGAACACTGAACTTTTTTGGTTGTGTTTAAAATTCCGTAACTTGAAAAGTACATGAGTGATTTGAATGATTATTGTACGAAAAGAAAGCTTATGAATTGGGCTTTCATAGCCGAGATTTTGATAGGGCTACATGCAGAACTTCACTAAAATAATGGTCCGAACATTAGGGTTTCGTTGTGTTTTTTTACTCACCCTGTACCGTTGTTTTCTTTCTTTGCAGACGTCAATGAGTGTGAGTTTCCCGCGCTATGGCAGGCGCGATGCGGGCTCAATTCTAACTGCATCAACACACCTGGTTCCTATGACTGTGGTTGCGTTGACGGCTACACTCGAATCCCCCTACTCGGTTGTCAAGGTATAAGACCCGCCCAATCCTTTTACACAAAGTACATGTTTTTTTTCTGAAATTTGTCTTTTCTGACTTTGGAATGTTTCAACTGTTATTATGTATTTTCCCGGAAGGGCACATAGGAAAGTCATTGTAGGAAAGTCGTTGTTATGGGATCCAATGTAAAAATAAAAGCAGAAAAACTCATTATTTGCAGAAAAAATAACAGATATAATTATGACTAGTGGTTTTCTTTTAAATGTTGTTCTTTGTTAATGATTATTCCAAATATAATAAGCATTTAAAAAAAGGAACATCTGAAACAATGAAGTTGACTTGGGTGGATTTGAAACTGCCACCTCCAGAACACCGTCATGTGTCGCTGCGTGATTCCTGGTCACATGGCACATGTGTATGAATTTCATGGTTTCTGAATAATGTTCCGTTGTAAGAGATTATTGGTTTTAAGGGGGTCACAAGTTATTGTAGGTATATCAGTTTTTCGTTATGATGTATTTGACCTTTTTATATCAACTGTTTGAAACTGTTGTTTTGAAATAACTGTTGGAGCACAATTTATGCGTATCCTGAAAATATAATTTGTGTCGTACAGACTGTTTTATCGTTCCAATTATCAGTCAAAATATCACTTGTCTAAGTCCTCAAAATTATCAACATTATCGTGTTTTTTCCTTCGTTTTTGTGGCAGATATCGACGAGTGCAGTTTGTCTGATAGTGTCTGTGACGGTGAGGGCGCTGCTTGCATCAACACAGAGGGTAGCTTTAGATGTGATTGTGACGTGGGCTACGAACGTTCCGCTGATGGAAACAATTGCAAAGGTGACGATTTGAACAGCATTTATTGAGAAAAAAAACGTGTTTTTGTTCAGCGTATTTTCACGAAAGAAAGAAAATCTTAGTTTTTTTTAATATTGTTTTCGTCTTTATGTTGATATGTCTACTTATCTATCAATCGGTTGGTTTTAATTTCATGCTGAGTGATTCCTTTCAAATTACAGTCGACTCTCGTTAAAACGAGCACGGTTTAGACGAGATTTCGGTTAAGACTAGCATATTTCGTCAGTCCCAACCGAAGTGTGCACATTATAGTCCCACGGACCTCGTATTTACGAGAGTCGACTGTATGTGAATTGTTTTCGTTTTGCTGAAATAATTAATAAGTTACTTTTTTGTGATCCGTGGACGAAACTGCAAAACCGTGGTTGTGTTAATAATTCCGTAACTTTAAAAGTACATGAGTGATTTGAATGATTCTTTTACTAAAAGAAAGCTTATGAATTGGGCGTTCATATCCTAGATTTTGAAAGTGCTGCATGCAAACTTCACTAAAACAATAGTACCGACGTTGGGGTGTTTTTTACTCACCCTGTATTTAGACCAATGTTATCATTTACATCTCCTCGATACAAAATGTCATCATAATTAAACACTTCGATCTTTTTAGGCCTATTTGTTTTCTTTCTTTTCCAGACATTAATGAGTGCGAAGCCAGCGAGTTGGGCCCTTGCCCTCAGGAGTCCGTCTGCCAGAACCTTCGTGGGTCATACTTCTGCCAGTGCCCGTCTGGGTTTGTCGGGGATGGTTTTACATGTGAAGGTCCGTTAAAAGCACCTGTTAATCCACAATGTTATTGTCATTAATGGAGATTTGTTGTCGATGTTGACTGGAAAATATAAGGGTTTTTTTTCCGAAAAAGAAACTTGATCGACATATAGGCCTAATTATGCGTTTTTCATTGGGACAGGATTTTTCGGTCAGTCCTATCACACTAAAGAAAGTAGTATAGGACTATTTGTGGTTGAGCTTATAGTTTTTCAACTTATACATGTATGTACATGTACGACTTTTAATATCACAATTTTCTTGTTAATTTAAAGTGTCGTAAACAGAGCAACTTCAAATCGACAATTATTTTGCAGCCAGTCATAATTAAAGTCAACAAATTCTTTTTTTATATTCAACGCTCATTTGTTATCTTTTTGAAACACTCCTTAGTCCTTCTGATACGAGGTCCCCGTTTTTGCTTTTTATTTCAGATGTGGACGAATGCGAGATGGAGATAGCTGACTGCCACGAGCTGGCTAGATGCGGCAATCTGATTGGCTCTTACTTCTGCCAGTGCCGTACTGGTTACCATGGCGACGGGCGAAATTGTTTCGGTATTGACATTTTTCCGTTCAAAGGGTCCATGCAATGTAATTTTGTTTTTTACCTTTGTGTCCCATTTAAACCTATTTTTCAATTTTCGTTTAGCCATTTTCAAGGTTTTGGGGTGCCTTTTTGGTTTTATGCTAATGCAAATTTCCATATTCATGAGAAAAAGTTAGATGTCATTCCAGGCAGAAACCTCAATGTTACAGATATTTCAGCACCAACAGTTGCAAGAATTTGGATATTTCTCTGTCGTAAATTTTCTTTTCTGTGGTGATTTGTTGTGTTGTGTTGTGTCAGTACATACTAAATGCCAGTAAGCCAATGAGTAAATAGTTCTCACAACGGTGTTTCAATAAGCAGATTTCTGGGTTCACAATTTGAAGAGAACGGTGTCTTCCTGAAATGATATCACAGCAACAGCGCCCTCAGTTATCCGGAAAAAACATGAACAATTTGAAATGTTTAAAGAAATGCACTTTTAGAAAAGAGAGTTTCTCATTTAATCTGAAGATGCCGACGAATGTGTTCTTGGCAATGGAGGCTGCGCCCAGATATGCCTCAACACGAGAGGGAGCTTTAGGTGTGAGTGCGGCGCCGGATACACCATGGCGCCCAACGGCCTGGACTGCTTAGGTAAATCGATTTCAGTCAATCGATTTAATCGATAAACCAACTGGAACGATAGAAGCCCATTGCAAAGACAATGTGGAATTGATGAATCGATTTCAGTCAATCGATTTAATCGATAAATCAACCGGAACGATCGAAGCTTCGATAAATCGATAAATCAACTGGAACGATCGAAGCCCATTGCAAAGACAATGTGGAATTGATGAATCAATTTCAGTCAATCGATTTAATCGATAAATCAACCAGAACGATCGAGGCTCATTGGAAAGCAGTATTGAATTGAATAGATTGATAAATAAATACGGAAAAACTGTCACAAAAGACAATGATCTAATTAGAAAGATACAGCGTAATAACATTGCCCAATAATTTTTATGTGAGTTATACAGGGCGAGTCATAATAAGCGAAACCAAAATGTCAGGAATATTGTTTTAGTGAAGTTCTGCATGTTGCACTTTCAAAATCTAGGATATGAAAGGCCAATTCATAAGCTTTCTTTTAGTTCAAGAATCATTCAAATCACTCACATGTACTTTTCAAGTTACGGAATTATAAAACAATGGTCACGTCATTTTGGTTTCGTTTTTTTTAATCACCCTGTAGTCCCGGTATATTTTCGTAAGCGAATTTCGAAGTTTAAATGATAAAGTTGTAAATTTGCTTCATTCGTAACATCCCGAACATTTCTCACCAGGATCTTTTATTGGAATAGTAATATGATTTTCGAATAACTTGAAAAGGTATTCAGAATTCCAAAATGAAACTGAAGGTTGAAGTTGTTGACCTCGTTTCTGGTTTATCTTCAGATATTGACGAGTGTTTGGAAGACCACATGTGCATGCAGCATTGCGAGAACACGATCGGCTCCTTCCAGTGTTACTGTGATGCCGGATACCAGTTGCATAACGATGACGTCACTTGCGTTGGTAGGTCGTTCATTTGCTGACTACCTAATATTTTGAACATTGAATTGTGGTTGGTCGGTAACTTTTCCTATATCCATGGTAATATCAACTTCATTGCCTTCGTGTATCATTGCCATTAGTATATTGTAATACCAACTTCATTGGCAAATGTATTCGGAGACATAAAACAGATTTTATAACACCCAAGTAAATCCTTGTCATTTGATTGGAGGGTTGTAGGTCACGCGGCATTCATTTATCAAACCGTTGCACGGCCTACGGCATAACCGTACATGTTTGGTTCCATTCACCGTGCATTTTAGTCCCATCCCTTTTGATCTATATTAGGCCTACACGACGCGCGCACGCTAAGACGCGCTATTTAGACCATATCATGCGTTTTAGCAGTACAGAACTTGCCTTTGAAGTGGATAAATTATGCAGTTGCCCTGATTAGTTTTTTGCATTGTTTTAAGAACTTACAATGTTAATTTCAAACCTTTGTTAGCCTTGAACAAGCTGGAAAAAAGTGGTGGATATGATACAATTTGTGAGTTTTGTTTGTTCTTAAAGTTTTATCCTCCAATAGAATGACAAAGATCTACTTGGATGTTATATCAAACAAATAATGAATGTTTTGCATTCGTGCAATGGTGAGAATATTTTCATTCGTTGAAAGATTGAATGCTCCATTCAACGAGGCGAACATTGAATCTTTCAACTCATGAAAATATTCTCACCATTGCACTCATAAACATTCATTATTTGTATACTATTGCACCTTAAAGGAAAAAGCATGACGGCATTCACTTTATTAAGACCAAGCTTAATATACGGTACAGACAAATGTCAGGGGAAAACAAAGACACGCATACAATGGGAAATTGTACAATTGGGTATTCAGGGGCTGCATTTTTTTAACATAACTTAACAAGAAGAGCATACTCGAACCAAAGTGTTCTTAGAAAAAAAAGAGTCTGTCAAGCAAAAATTGATGTGACACATGTATAGCTTCCAATCCCGCCTTATACATTTTATCCGCCGATGAAAACTTTCGCAAAAACGAAATATGTTCAAAGATCAGGTTACTCTTTTAATTCCTAAGAGTGAAATTAGGGACTAGACGTTTTACAGTGAAAATCACTCTTATTTTCGAAGAACCACTTCAGTCGAAGCTCGAGTGAAAACTCGATCTTTACGATTGAAGAAATTTCACTCTAAAACGTCTAGTCCCTTAGTTTCCGACTGTGGGAGTGAATCTTCACTCGAATGGAGTGAATTTTCACTCTTTGGAATTTAGAGGTTAGAAAGGTCACATATTTAAATGAGTGCCATCTTGGTAGCACAATTTGAATTGGATTTAGTTTCTTTTTTTCCTCTATTACACTTTTCCCTTCGTGCAGACATGGATGAATGTAAACTGAGTAATGGCGGTTGCGAGGAGTTGTGCGTTAACACCCAGGGGTCCTATTACTGCCAATGTGGACCCACAAGATACTTCGCTACTAATAGCACCACGCACTGCCGAGGTCAGCTACATTTTGATTATTTCTTGTACTAAATAAATTATGCTTAATTAATATCGGAATAATTCAGCTTGAAACCTTCATATTGCTGTCTGAAAAAAATATTACATTTTTAAAATTGTGGAAGGAAAAAGTGGGCAATATTATCCTACCTAATAATTGGCATGGAATCACCTTAATTGTTGGTTACTAATTGAAATATATTTTTTCTTCAACTTTTCTACCAAAAACGATAGCTATTTGATATTTTGCCCAACGTTGAGTAACAATTGCATGATACTTTTCAGGGCGTAATATAGTCGCACTACAACAAGAACAATGAATTTGCGGGAAAGTTTTCCGACACGGAACTATCAAAGGAACAGAAAACGAGATGAGGCCTTTCAAATTTTATGAGAGACAGGAAAATAAGATTTACTCAAAATAACCCTGTTTATTTAACAGTGAAACTTTTCCAATAAGAACTTGACGTTCACCGGCGAATGTGTCTCTTTAATGCCAAGATTTCATCTCTTTTTTCATAGATATTGCATCTTGTGAGGAAAAGAACGGTGCGTGTGCCCAGTTGTGTCGGCTGGACCAGCGGGGCATCGTGTGCGACTGCACGGTCGGCTTTGTGCTACATGAGAACGGTCGAGACTGTGTCGGTATGTTGGCCTTAACGGGCTTAAACTTGGTATAGCTCGACTTAGAAGTCGTATATTTTCATTAATCTGTATAAAAAAGTATTACGTCATGTACATTGATAGTATTTCCAGCATATTATACATGCCACCTATGGGTTGTCACCAAAGTTTTGAAAGTAAAACGCTAATTTTCCGTTATAAATATCATATTTTCGCTTGCGCAGTTCGATTAGTGAAAATCCAAGCATACCCTTTCGTTGTTTTTGTACTTCTTTACTTCATTTTCAGGTTTTTTTTTTTTACTTTTGTTCTAATTCATGAATGTTTTGATATTGCAGACATGAACGAGTGTAGCGATGCGAATGGTGGCTGCGAGCAGCTGTGTAGGAATCTCGATGGCGGTTACCAGTGCGAGTGTCGTGAAGGGTACCAGGTTAGCCCGCAGAACAGCTACAGGTGCGAAGGTAAGAACAAGGATTTTTTTTTAAATTTAGTGCTTTAATTTGTCGATTTGTAGTCTTTTAGATCTAGAAATGATAGAGAGCATTTTTATTCGTATGATTTCTTTGCATTTTGTGTAAACTTGAACTGGCCACAAAAAAGGCCTGATAAGACTTACAATTTGTCATATCCGCAAAATGAATACATGTATCTTCCTCATAAAATATTCCCCCAATATAGCCCTATAATCTTATTTTACCTACTGCAGTTATAAACGGTTTTATTAGTGGTTACTTTCTGTATTCTATAATGTAATACATGTTCATTGTGTGGTAAAAAAAATTTGGCATTGTAAAGTGGGACGCTTGTCATTTCATTCATATGAAAAATAGCATCAAAATATGAAAAAAAAATTAAAGATTTTTTTCTGATATATAGTAAGAATGTTTTTCATTTTTTGTGTAACTTCCTCAACAGCCACGTGCGAACCGGCATGCCGTAACTATGGCATCTGCGCCGGGCCCAACCGCTGTGTGTGCCCCGCTGGATACGGAGGGGAAACCTGCACGCGTAAGTACCTGTTCCGTCATTTACTACACTGTAACAGCTATATCATTTCATCCAGGCAGTGGCTAGCAACTTGTTACACTGCAGTCATTACAACAAGAAATGTAAGAAGATTGACACTAGTGCCGTCCAAACAAAACGTCGTTAAATATAATGTCAACAAAAACGTCTTACACACTCTCTTTCAAAATGTGAAATACCGATGAAGATTAAAAAACATTGTTTCCAACGTGATTCATTTTTTTTCCTCGCAACGAAGTTAATTTTGACCATACACTCTAAGAAAAGCCGTTAATTTTTATGAATGTAACAATATATTATTGTTCATATTCAGCAACCTGTAATCCTCCATGCTCACACGGCGGAACCTGCATGCGATGGAACCGCTGTATGTGTGCTCCGGGCTACAGCGGCATAGGCTGCCAGAAAGGTAAGTCCCATGGCTGACAATGCCCACGCATTAATGTAAGCAGCCGTCCGCCATTTTGGGTGTACGAGTACGACCAAACGAGTACATGTAGTTAACCAGCCAACCGATCCCGTTAGCTCGGTGGTCGAGTGGTAAGACGTTGAAGTGGCAAGCCCCTTCGGCGACAGTGTTGATGCATATTTTTCATCTCATGTCCATCCCTGCACTGTCCTTGGCTTGTTCTGCTCTTTTTTGATCCTTTTATTCTGTCTTATTCTAATTTATGATTTGTATATTATTCGGTTCTTATACTGTACTTTTAATACTGTTTTGTTTCTGAGATGTATCTGCCTGAATTAAGTATTAAAGTATTAATAACCGCAGAACGTGATGTTTGGGGGAGCCAAGATGGCAGATTGTTTGCTTCAAGATGCATTGGTCAACGAGCGTCTTCACGTCTTCATTATTAACCCTGCATAACGCATTACAGTCGAACACCTTTATAACAATTAAGGTCCTTGGGACTTAATTTTTTATAATTTTGTAGCCAACTGTGAGTTGCCATGCCAGAACGGAGGGAACTGCATCGGTCCTAACGAGTGCCAATGTCCATCTAATTACGTGGGTGACCAGTGCCAAACGCGTGAGTACGGTGTCGTTTACTAAAAGATAAAAAAAAAAAAAAAAACTCAGTTTCCCAAAAATCAGAAGCCACCCTAAGTTGCAATAGTAAACATATTTTAAAAATCTATTCTACATATTTTATACATCTCTGGTGCTATTTCTGTAGGGATATATAAAACGTATGCCGTACAGTTGTACGGCATTGTTTGATCCTCAAAAGTCAATCACTAGACATCCACTCATAAGTAAAGTAAAATCTCTTAAACTGAATTAATAGTGACAAATGCATTTCTTCGTAACTGTTACGAGTACATCTCACCTGTAATTCGTCGTGTAATTAACTTAGGACAGACTTGACTTTATCTCAGGTTTTCCGTTGGTTAAAACTAGCCTCCAGAATTACTTATATACTTACACGGCGTTTTGAAACAACTCGGCGTATCCAAATATAATCATATGGCAATCCTAGAAATCCTGGATTACAAATAGGCTTAACCTTACCCTTATACTTCATTTTCAGAAGTAAAGCAGTTTGGGGTTTTTTTAAAGGGAGAAAATTGAACGTACTAGCAATGTAGGTAATTTTAATAAAGTATTGATCGGCTTTGTTATATGCAAGCGATCATGACGTCATTCGTGCACTACTTTTCCTCCCACTAATTCCCCCAGCATCCTGCGAGCCTGAATGTTTGAACGGAGGCTCCTGCGTCGATGTCAATTACTGTATCTGCCCGCCGAATTACCGCGGAGCCCGCTGTCAAATCGGTAAGTTATATCACTCCGCTTTGCTTAGGGTGTGATTTTATAATCGCCATTGGTTTTCAGTGCGATACATTCGGGGGTTTTTGGCTGCGATGGTTGACAAGCTATGGATAGCTATCATTGCCCAACAAGGTCAATAAATTAAAACAAAAATCCAAATTATGTTTAAAAGAACACTAGCAATTATTAAAAATAGCGAAATACTGCAGAAACTGTTAAAACTAAATGTGATGGTTCCACATTAAATACTGAACGTGCCAAAGATGCAATGTTTGGCAAAAGTTGTTGCAAGCAGAGGTTGAATGTTATTTCTTGATCTATGTTTTAAAAAAAATATATATTGCTTTCTATTTTTATGCATATACCTTGGCACAAAAGCATCACCTTCAAAACATGACCGTCAAAGCCAAAGTCTTTTCATAAATTCTTCAGAAAAAAGTGGACTCATAAAAATCATATCAATATTCCTTATGCGTTTTGTTGGCTTCGTTCGAAGTTTGTTAGATTGTTGCTAACTACCCCGCTTTTATTTTGGTTCCTCCCCTCAGAACTCAAGAGGTGTAGCCTGCCGTGCCTGAATGGCGGTCGGTGCGTGGGCAACAACAAATGCAAATGCCTGCTGAACTACGACGGCGCCCGCTGCCAAACACGTGAGCTTAAAAACACAATCCAGAACCCAATTTAATGGATCTGCTATGCAGATTGCTTAGCAAATCTTTGTGGCAAGTCAAAAATAAGTTGAGAACCATGCAGTCACGTGTAATATACATTGCACTGCACTTAACTGGTAACCATGTTTATGCTGAGCAAATATTTTCTACGCTTAGCTAAAAATCTCTGCATACAGTTCCATGAAACTGGCCCCTTGACTTTCGGTCAGTTTATTTTTAAAAGTTGAAGAAAAATAGGATTCCACCGTTTCAGTTTCTATCGTAACACCGGGATAAAAGCCAGTTGATTTAAGGGGAATGGGGACAACAGTAAACGTAGGCCTATTTCTCGTTTTTGTGTCATTATTAACTAGCTTAAAATGTTCTGCGATAGTGTTATGGTATCATGTTAGATAGTACTCGAATGATTTTAATATGATATGCACGTCCATGTTTAACTATATATCGACTATTTTCAACAATAGCTTTCAGCGAAAAGTTACTAAAAACACGTTTGGTACACCGTATAAGGCAAATTTTTGAAGTACTTGTTTAGTTATAGCAGTGATTTCGGACAATTAAAAGTTTAAATGGACGTATTGCCACCATAAACGACAAAGTCTTGTTTAATTGCAGTAGACGTTATCAAATCCACACCATGTATTTTTTCAATGAGTAAACTATTCTCAATGAGTAAAGTCTACATCTAATCTAATGAACTCTTTTTCAATTTTAACATTTGCCATTTTGGTATTATTTTGGAAAGATGGGTTACAATATTCACTCCCGACTTCGGTACTTTTTTTCTTTTTTTTTGGCAGTTAGGCAGACCAAGTGTCGTCCAACATGTCAGCAGGGTGGAATCTGTTTCCCTGGCAACGTATGCAGATGCCCCGAGGGTACGGGCGGATTACATTGTGAGAAAAGGTGAGAGACATATATAAATATAATACATGTAGCAAAGTATCCTAATGACAGATGCCAGGATATTGCAATGCCAGATAACTTGCAAGTGAGAGGTATAAATATTTAAAGTAGCAAAGTACCTGTAGGGGCAGATGCCCCGAGGGTATGGGTGGATTTCACTGACAGATTATGGGTGACACTGCAAAGTATACGCCGTGATATCAGACTTCAAAGAATTCATTTCTCGAATATTTCATTTTAATGCCGAATGTAATTTTAAACATTCACCTCATGCGTTTCGTCCTCAGGACCTGTCCATTGGAGACTTACATAGAGTCCATGGTACGGGGAGTCAGGAAACGCGTCCAGGAGGAAGTCACCAAGCCCTGCGGCCTATTCGGCTGGAGAACCTGCACCACGCTAGAGTGAGTTTCGCTCCACCGTTGATTATTTTTCTCTGCAATCAAGTAAAGTCGCTTTCAATAATAAAGAGTGCTTACTGGATTAAGCACGTAATATACAATCACCAATCACCAAAAAAAAGGTACATTCTTTGATATCTGGGATATCTGTTTTCTGTTCCCAGGAATGCGATCTTTATTTTGTGGAATACTTTCGGTCTAAGAAAAAAAGATGAAGGGGAGACCAAGAGAGACGCTTGGTGGCTGCAAAATACACTGGTCCTTTTCAATTGTTTACGTCATAGTTAAGCTAATGTGCGCATGTTCAAAATGACGTAAGGAATAGAAAAGGAAATGCATGTTTGCTGCCATCATACGTCTCACAGTCTCTTATTGCAGCTGTGATAACATAAGATGAAATTGGTAAAAACGTTTACGCTGAGTCATAGAACTATGTACCTCTATCTAGGAAAACATGATTCAATTTGGATTTTAAACTTGTCCCATTTTAAAACAACTAGCTTAAGTTTTAGTCTTCTTTCTTTGTTTTTGTTTTTGTATAGGTATGTGCAGAGGTATGTGTATGTCACCCAGTACCTTACTGGCTACCGTGTGGCGTGCTCAAAGTGAGCCAACGCGAGGTCTCGCGTCGTTGCTTGGCCGGCTTGACATCGATAAAGGGTCAACGGTTTCATAGTTTAACCTGTAACCAATGCATACAAATTATATTTTGTAAAACTAACAGCCTGGAAATTTGGGATCTCAGATTTTGCTTGTGTTCTATAGATGACTTTCTAGTTAAGATCGAAGACGAGGCTCCCGGTGCTAGGACATTGATGACCAATAGTCTTTTTTTAATCCTTTAATCCTACAGAAAACACTGAGACCCTTGATATGGATATTCTAATATGAAATTTCGTCAAAGGACTAACAGAGGCGAGGTTTCATGTCTTTAATTTAGCCCCACCTCAAATTATATCAATCATTACTGGACCGAGCCCAGTCTAATGTGGCTTTCGGCAACCCGGGATTCCCGGGTTCGAATTCATGAGCACCCCACTTAGATAATGGCTTCTCAATCGGTTAACGATTATGTTCGCACATACGGCGGCAGTGCATGGTTTGTTCTTGATCATATCATGGAGCCTTTATTTTATAGCTCCATGATCATACAGTCAGGCTATCCTCAATGTGTGTGTGTCGTTGTCCAGAGCCACCCGCCTCCCATCAGAATTTGGGCTAGGTCCAGTAATGTTGAATGAATTTCTTTGACCTTGCCCTTGAAAATGAGAATGAATCTGTACACTTTGAGATTTAAATGGTATACAATGTAGTTAGGAGGCCGGTTCAGTACGTATGATAGTTCTTGAATTTGTTTTATTCGAAAGCTAAAACAGTGAGAAGTGAAGCAACCAAAGTTTTATTCCCAAAACTGTGTTCCGTCTCTGTCATTTTATCGTGGTTTTTTTTTTATGTAAGGGGAGAGCAGTTTGGGAGGGGGTGGTTTAGACATATAGAATTGTTGAAAAAAAGGATTAAGTACTTCAAAATCCACAAAACTACTAGTGTTACTGCAGAAATTGCATATCCGATCATGGCTTTTGCCTTCGTTATTTTAACAAATCGCCTGAACGGTTTTATCATTATTTTATGAACTACTTTTAATGTTAATATGTATAATCTTCATTAACTTCTACGAAACGGTGACGAAAATTGCCATCAATCCAGTGAATAAATGTACATTGCACATGAGAACGATGAAGATACCTTTTGTTTTTGATTTTATATCTTTTACCAGTGCATTACTTAATATATTAGGGGCCATTGCCGGCGCAGAGGACGAAGGCGGCTCTGGACAAAGAGGTGACATTTACATTGCTATTTTGGTACATATTTGCATCTCGAAAACCTCGTGTGGTAAGATGCACACACACGCGTTAATGCTATATAAATCAGCTACACAACTCGCGTGCTGTGCATTGGACAGAAGGCCCACGTATTGCGAGTCTAGCGCTAAAGCTATTGCCGAGCCCAGCTGTTCCGCTACAGTATATCTATTTCAAAAGCCACGATCTGTTTGTATTTTAAAAGAAGCAATTTATAACAAATGAGGTTCGAGGGTTGACGCTTAATTGAACATTGCGCGGATAAATAATGTTATTAAGTGGATCGCGGCTTGGACGCGTCACAGTCGCAATTCATTCGTTCGTTAGTTGTACTACTACTTATACAGCTAGGTGAGTAAAAAAAAAAAGGAGGTGACTAAAAAAGAAAGTGACCGAATTAGATTTTTTTTTTTTTACAATTAACGGCTCGCTCCATTTTGTATAGATACAGTACATGTTATTGGCCAGTCACTGTAAAAATGTCACGAAATTTTCACACTCTTTTCCCACGGATCACAAAAAGGTTAGTGTAAGTCCAAAAAAAATTTACCGGTAAGTTTTCTTTTAGCAAAGTGAAACAATTCACATACCTCCCTATTGTGTGAATTATTTTCGTTTTGCTGAAAGAACATCTCTTTTTGTGATCCGTGGACAGAACTTTAAAACAGGGTTTTGTGTTCAAAAGTCCGTAACTTGATAAGTACATCTTGTACATGTACTTAAAGTTGCCGCTAATTGGGCTTTCATATCCTAGATTTGGTATTAAAGTGTTATACATGCAGAACTTCATGAAATAATTGGTCCTGCCATTTGGGTTTCCTGGATTTTTTTACTGACCCCGTATGACGCGTCGTAAACGTCACAAAATACGTCTGTTGTGAAACATGGAACATGTTCCCAGTCTAGATTGAATTTCAAAGTCATGACAAAGCCGCGAGGTCATGGCCAGGCTTCCGTATTGCATATCACGTACCAGTGCATGTACTTGCAGTCTACACACGCTACATGATTGTATATAGATGTGTACATGACTATGTGTAACAAATACAGAGGGTTCAGTTGATGAATTGTCTCCAAATACGTTCGCACGATGTGAATCGAATTGAAGCCTACATCGACCCGACCTAGCTCAGTGTTGCTCCGGTTTCACCACCGAGTATTTTGCGACAAGCCTCCTGTTTCTCGAGTTCAAGTTACGGATGAACATCCGATGTTGTCTCGCTGTTAATATTAATCGTATCAAGTGTCCTTAAAGGCTTAAGTCTTCCTCTTCAATCACGAACCTGTGAGACTTGCAGTAATGGTGGATCTTACACCATGATGAGGCAGCTCTAAACCACAAAACATCTGTTTCAGCAGAAATTCCGAGTGATATTGCAGGCCTACACGTGAATGCACATTTGAGTGTGTAATGTAATGAATTGAGGACGGTGTCATGGGAAAGTTGCGGGTATTTGAGGTGATTTTCGACGGGGACGACATCGGCGTCTTTCAGTCGGGAGAGGTGATCCGAGGTTTTATCAAGATTGTGCTCGATGAGGCAAAGAATGACGTCAGAGGTGCGTGTCATATATTCCAAGTCAAATAAATTATAATGTATTATTTAGGCCTAAGTATGCGAGGTTATCAACAATACGAAAGCATATATATAGAGAGCACACGAGAAATAGGTTAGAGGTTTGCATTTGTTGAGTTACAAAACGCAGAGTGGTCGGGCAGGCAAATATTTCATTAGACTCTGCCCATGCAGTGCCCAGTTAAGTTATGAATATTTTTATGTCAGGACAAAGGATCACGAACTTTAAACTTTCCAGTACAACCAATTAGTTTGTTTAAAAAATAAATCTTTTAGGGTATTATAAATTTTACTGTACATTTTAGGTGCACGTACGTACAAGTTATTTCCGGTTTGATGACGACATCAGTCAAAAGCGGGAAGGGAATAATAAGGTAACAAATTAAGCATGGAAATGTGGAAATTATATGTGTATTTGAATAATAACACCCAACTTTCGGTTTGATGACGTCATAGTATTTGAAAGCTAAGGGTCAAAGTTAAGTGTTACAGGTAATTATTTGGGTTAGGAACGTTGTCATAGGACAGGGATCAAATGGTGGATTTGATTTTAATAAAAAATTATCAATGTCAATTTCTCAACAAAATCTCGATTATTAAAAAATAATTTACCACCGTAATTATATATATTTAGGCCTAATTCACATTCCGATACGGCTTTCATATTTACGGGCTCACATTTGGGATTTTAGTTGGTATTATCTAAATTAATGGAACTAAAAACTTAAGTTTTTGCACAAGTTATGTTTAGGCCTGGGCCTTCTATCTTGGATTTTTTCCCCATTACCGATGAATAACACAAATTTACCATATTGCCTTTATTTTTTAATAATCTGTTCCTGGACGTAACGAGAACCTCTGATGTATGGCTTTCAATCTGTTTCCTTAATTTGTTTTCAAGGTATTCAAATCAAGTTTGTCGGCGAAGCTTACACGCACTGGTCGGAGGGCAGTGGTAAGGACAGCACAAGCTACTCCGGGCGAGAGGTGTACTTCAAAGAAAAGGTCATCTGCTGGGGAAAGGGTATTAAGCCAAATACTTGACATTTTATGAGGGAAATACAAAATGTAGTTACGCTCTAACCCGTATTCTTTATTGTACAATCACATGAACGTATCATGTCTCGAGGGGTTAGCGACGGCTGATCGCTTTCGGCAAAGTATTGAGAGAAAAAAATTCGAATGAAAGGCGTAATTACCAATTTGAGAGCTAATCCAAGGATCATCGTTGTTTGAATATTTCAAAGACAGTTATTACAATACGAGGTGAGTAAGCAAAACCGAAACCCTGTATAATGTCAGGACTATTGTTTTAGTATGAAGTTCTGCTTGTAGCACTTTCAAAATCTAGGCTATGAAAACCCAATTCATAAGCTTTCTTTTAGTACAAGAATCATTTAAATCACTCATGTAGGCCTAAAGTTACGGAATTTTAAACACAACCATTGTTTTAAAGCTCAGTTCACGGATCACAAAAGGGTGTTATATGTGTGGGGGGGGGGGGGGTTCAGAAAAACGAAAAAATCACACAGGGATGTGTGTCAATTGTTTTCGTTTTGCTGAAAGAACGGACACTTTTTTGCGATCCGTGGACAGAACTTTAGGACGGTTGTTGTGTTTAAACTTCCGTAACTTGAAAAGTACATTGATGATTTGAAAGAGTCTTGTACTAAAAAAAAGCTTACGAATTGGGATTTTATATCCTAAATTTTAAAATTGCTGCATGCAGAATTTCACTAAAACAATAGTCCCGACATTCGGGGGTTTTTTTTACTCACCCTGTAGTACAGTCGGGTTGAAAAAAAAATCCGCAAATGTGCTAAGCGTGGTTGTCTATATTTGTATCCACCTTTCATGTTACTATCATAATTCTCTTGTATTGCACCCCGACTATGAATTCACAACCACTTGACCTCAGAGCACAGCATAATTCATCATCCTTCAAACGACAGCTCAAGACTCATCTCAATCAGGCATTTTGACTCCTGGACTGACTTTCCCTTTGCAATGACCAGCGCCCTTGAATGGCATTTTGTCAGATACTGTGCGCTATATAAGTGCAATGTTTATTATTATTATTATTACTTTTATTATTATTATTGGATCAGACACCAGAGAGATGGAAACATCCACCCATTCCCTCTCCCACTGGCTTTGATCAGGTCCAAAATGACAATTAACCCTCCTGCTGTTTAAAAGGTCACAAAATGGTCAAAATTTCCTTTCACTTCCCCTGGCTTACTTTAAAAAACCAATATTGACCCAAGTAACAGCATGGTCATAATGCATATTTCCACATAGGAGGGGAACGTTAAATAAGCTGTTAATTGTTTGCTATAAGCATAAAAGTCACATGGAGTTTTGGCTGGTAAACTGCTTTTATAAGCCAGGCTTTCTTTGTGCTAACCAAGTTTTTTTTTGCTTAGCAACGCCGTGAAATTGGGCCCTGTACTCTATCGGCAGGTAAACATCATGTTGGCGCGTCCAGCTTGTCTTTGGAGTCCGGCGAACATCACTTCCCCTTCTCCTTCCAGATCCCCAACGTCCCACTCCCCTTTCCCTTCGAGTCGCCCATGGGCTGGATCCGTTACAAGGTGGTGTGCAAGATCGACCGGCCCTGGAAGTTCGACCATCACACGGAGAGGCTGTTCACGGTCATCGGTATCCCGATGGATCTGAACCAAATGCCACATGCCAGGGTATGGGTCATTATGCAGCTCAGTGTGAACATAAATTATAATCTGTACATGTTTGGGGTATGGTATAGGCCTAGCATGAATTTAGGTTTACGAAATAAGGACTCATTGGTGACATTGCGCATGCTCATGCATAGATAATTAGGAGAGGGACAAGACAAGTGAAAGGGTTTAACCAATACAAGGGAACAAGAGTCCGATTTTTCATATCCGATTTTCATAAGACACCGGGCATGGTGAATGTACCAATCGTGGATTTGGGCGTTGGCCTATTTAGTTGTTTCTGCAACCACGAGTGAGAACATTCTAGGGGCGTCGGTAGAAGAGCTTGTGGGGTCCAGTGTCAAACCGTGCATGCAGAGGCGCCTGGTTGGATTCAGTAAATAGCTATTAGGGTAGGTGCAAGGGTGTATAGCAGGCATGTGCTGCTTGTTTTCTGCCTGCCTTGCTATTTTTTTGTCGGCTCAAGAGGTGGAGGGTTATACCTCTAACCCCCCCCCCCCCCCTATTCACCTCTGTAATACAGGCCCTACCACTAAGTCGAAAAGAAGCTTCTCAATTCTGTGGTGAAACTTATAACATTATGTCCAAGAGGTCATTTCCCAAACTGAGTTATTAAGATGGAGCTCGCCGTTTACTTTGTGGCTAAATTCCATAATGTTCAAATTGGTATCCTTTTTTTAAGTACCCTTCTCGTGCGGAGTCTTCTAAGACCATTTGTTGCCTGTGCTGCGGCCAGGGCCCAATCACAACCATAGCTTCGACCGACAAGGGCGCCTACGTGCCGGGACAGAGTATATTCGTGTCAGGGACAGTGCATAACAACAGTAGCCGGTCCATTGTTGATCTCGCGGTCAAGTTAATTCAGGTAAGTGTTGTTTAAAGCTTTGCATTGTGGGTTTTAGGTAGGCAGGTGAGAACTCGACGTCCCCATCAACTACATTTGTACATTGTTCTGGCACCCGCGCCGCGTTTCAGAGAAGCCAACGAGGCACGACACCGTCCCCAAAATCATCGGATTTCACATAAGCGACATCGGTCACTTCTATACTCCGTCAGACTACCAATAGATCTCCTGCAAAACCCACGGCAGCTCCCACCTCTCCCTCCAACAACGGTCACCCAGTGGTCGACCCAGTATCCAAGTCCTAAAACCCAGCATCTGTATCCTCTGCTCCACACCGAACGACTTCACAGGGTCATTATAAACCCAACATCGAGTCCAATTCCAGCAATCTCCTAAAGACGAACAGAGTACACTTTGCAAACGACGAGACTTCACCACCAGCTCTCTTCAGAGCCAACACTTCCTCACCATGGTGTACCCGCGCACTTAATTCTGGTGGTTCTTCGTCTTCGTCTATATCGTTACCAATTCACTGTTGTCCAATACCTAACTTGGTCCTTTGAATGCGTTTACTAAGCACGAAACAACAAAGGTCAGAACCTTTTTTTGGAAGATACATAAAAGTGCTTACATCAGTACCTTTAAAGCTTGCTCGAAGAAATTGTTTGGTACAAAACTTGGTTCCTTAAAGTTAGCCGTTTCACAGCTATTCTCTGTCAAGTCACACATGTTTCTCTATCGTCAAACAGGTTCACACACACACACACACACATGTTCCCGCAGAGAATTACATTTGCTCTGCATATTAGAGATTTTAAAGAAATTCGTGTAGGCAAAGCAAAACAAAACAAAACCAACAAAAACATGTCACCTACACCTCCGAAATATGAAATGTACCATATCAAGTATCTGTGTTGTTAATTATTAGGCCTATAACACAAATTGCTATCCATGACTGTTTCTTTCAGATAGTCACATACTTTTCCTCAGGGAGAAGCCATACCACGCGAAGAACGACCCTAGTCAAGGACAAAGGCCCGGGATGCGGGGCATGGGAAGTGGCTACGATGGACTGGAAGCCTCTTGTGATACCCTCCATCCCTCCCTCTGGTCCTCAGGGATGCAACATCATCAAGATAGAGTATCAGATTCAGGTAGGCTTCAATCCGTTAACTTCATGGGGTCACTCCTTGGTGGTGGGTAGGTTGTATGCGGTAATACAAGCGAATGCTCCCAAAACTGGAATTACATAAAGAATGTAACCAGCCTTAGTGCTCTATAGATCATTATAATGTTCCGGCCATTTGGATTTTTCCCATTCGAATCAACGTTACCAAAGCGAGGCTTGAAGGAAAAATAGTCTGGTTCCTTTTTGCACAAAAACATTTATCATTTATAGGATACGTGGAACATGACCGAAATGGTGGCAGTATGCATGATAAAGGCCTATATAGCTGCTTCGTAATGTGGGACGGTGGGCTAAAACTATTCAAGATTGTGGGGGTCTGAGTTTAGCCGGCGGGGTTCTGGGGTTTGTGTCCTTATGCAGGATACTTTACACCAATCTCCTTTCCCCACCCAAGAGTAAATGGGCGGGCAGGCAGGTCACTTTGTGCCTGAATAAGCTGCGCTGCGCCGAAATTGCATCGAGGAATCAGATGATGTATTGGCGCTGGAAATGATGATACAGCACGTCGAGCACCAATGTGCGTCATAACAATGAATATTCATGTCCTCCCTTCCCCTTCGTAGTTTGTAGGTGGCATCAGCAGCACTAATTGGGATGCGGAAGTCATTGTGCCTGTTACCATAGGGACCATTCCCTTGCATCCTACCTCGTATACCGATCCTTCAGCTGTGGTGATCGATCAGCCATCCAGTATCGCTAATGGTCAGTTCTGAATACGTCCCAACTATTTATTATAGCACCGTTAGTGTACTTTGGACCAAGCTTGATTGTGATTTATTTTCCTGGTGTAGCTCATCCTTAACGCTACATGCCATCATTTGCAGCTATCCAAAAAGTAACTGACGAAATTAATTTTGGAAAAGCATACTTGGTTTAAAAATAGTAATGAGACTAAACCCCCTGTGAAATTATTCTTTCTGGCAAGCTGTCGTTTTGAAGAAAAAAAACAACGAAAGAAGTCAATTTCCAACTATTCGTCTCAAGACACATTCTTAATTCCGTCAGGTTATTATATGTTTAATGCGGCGAAGAGTGCGCAAGCATTCACACGACGCACACGTGTACACGCGCGTGTGTTTCCTAAATAATCATTGATATAATTCGATATAATTCATCGGTTAATTTCGTGACAACGTGTAGCTGCAATCGGCTGAATGAGAACGTGTCCCGGACGCTAAATTCGGGCGCAATTCAAAACATGACTCTGCAACTTGATTGGAAATCGAGATCCTCAATATTGTTTTCTCGGAATATACAGCATTTAATTAAAATTTAATCAGGTTAGTTGGCACCGGCCCTTTTATAGATTTTGGGCACTTTTGTTACTTCAAACGAACATAATGCACAAATGACAAATGATGTACTCTACGGCGGCACTGTGCATGCAGGGTGACACACCCGAGAAATTTCATCGCATGCATACGTCACACGCGCATTAACCTAAATACAATGTATGACGTTGTGTGAGTATGCTCGAGATCTCTCACGTCCGGGTACCAAAGTTCGCAAGACTAAATTCGACTCATCTTTCTGATAGCGCCCTCTACCAAGCGGCTTGCCGGGGGTTGGGACCGGCTGCATTTAGGGGAAAATGAAATTTCACATACCGTAAAACAGAGGTTTTCTAAAAAAACATCCCAACCTTTTTTTTTTTGATGACCTTGTACATGTATTGTGCAACTAACTTAGAAAGAAATTCTGACGGTTTAACTTGGACAGAGCATGGGTAGACCAATTAAAGATTACCAAAGACGGTGGGTAGACCAAAGATTAACAAAGGTTACTCTAAGATGTTCGCTCTGCGTAACGTCTATCCTATATTTTTATCTCTAGTCTCCATCGTGCCAGCTTCGCCACTGCCGAGTTACCAGGTAGCCTGTGGGGGACTCCGGGAGATACCGAGCAAGAGCGGCCACGACTATACCTTTGGTAAACTCATGTACGCCCCTCAGTACCCGACCTACAACCTACCGGCGCAACCACCGTCCTGGAACCCGACGCAACCGCCTCAAGCACCAGGCAGCCGTCAAGCTATCCTTCAACTAACCGGGCACTAGGTCATCGATGAAAAATGATCATCCGCAGCCTCTTTCGTCTCACCACCCTATAGACCATTATGTTGCGGCCATCTTGATTTTTTTCCCATTCAAATCAACGTAACCGAAGCGAGGATGGAAGAAAAAATAGTCTGGCTCCTTTTTGCACAAGAACATCATCATTCAGTACTGTTATTGAATACAGGGAACATGACTGAAATGTTGGCAGCATGATAAAGGTCATAGACCATTATCATATTGAGGCCGTCTTGATTTTTTTCCCATTCAAATCAACGTCACCGAAGCGAGGCTGGAAGAAAAAAATAGTCTGGCTCCTTTTTGCACAAGACCATCATCATTCAGTACTGTTATTGGATGCAGGGAACATGACTGAAATGGTGTCGGCTCGGTAAAGGTCTATAGAAGGGCTCCCGGATCACTACATGTACTCTGTTTATTTAGCAACATCTGGTGAAGAAAATGCAGATTCGCAAAGTATTGTTGGTAGCGTATAAGTCTCGCCAGTCCACGTTCACTTTTTACGTGAACGTCTTGGTACCAAACACTGACTAGTCTAGGAACGGACTCCCCAGTTTGAGTTTACCCCATTGTTATCTGCGTGATCGATTGTACGGAAGTTGAGATAAACAATAATAGCAATCAAGTCAAGATATTTTCAGTATGTTGTAAATATTAATGCTTTCTTTTCTTTCGGAGTACCCATTTATTGCTCTTATTGGATGGGCCCAGTCAGGACAGAGCATAAATGCAAAACAATGGGTGTTACGATGCCCGAATATACTGTACCGGTATTCCCGTAAAATCTCGCAGGTTTGTGGGGTCAACTTGTTTTTCATCATCAACGTTATGTTTTGCTTAACGTAGCGACACGTTTTGGAGTGTTTTCATAGAGTAATGTAACATTTAACTCTTCAAAGTCTCAAAGAAGCACATTGCCCCCCTCTCCCCAAAACAACCCGCAAATAAATCCTTTTTTTTTCACGAGCCAACCTTGACTTAAAAGGACAGTGAAATCGGAGCATATTATACCAAGGACCTCCATACACTGGGTGACCGCATAGTCAGAGGAACCGTTGATATTATTTAACAAAGCATCTCCATATAGGATTGCATTTTGTGCTTCCACACACTCCCTTTTAAAACAGAAAGTGACACTCAGACATCAGACAAACGTCAGACAGACTGACAGACAGCGTAGGATATTTTAATAAAGAATATTGTAGGTCTATTTTCACGAATGGGCCGATATCCGCGGTGCTTAAAAAGAAAATATGAGAATGAGGGGGAGGGACGCACAAGTTATTCACACCCTAAAGTCTTGCGATAATATTGTCCGTCTTGGAAATACTTCAAGGAGGCCAGGGGAGGGGGCTTGATGTGCTGGACACTTCGTCACCGTTTTCACGAAGAGGCGAATTTAGTATTTCACTGTCTGAACAAACATCCGAGATAATCGCGTTTAAAGTTGGTCTTATTTTCATTTGACAATTTGAAACTTAAAGATGCATAAAATATGCAAGATTTAGGTATCAGAAGAAAGAAGAGATGCTAATCTTCCTCAATGTGGCAAACTTTAAGAAAAATAGGTGATTAGTTTTGCAGGATTAATCAATTAAGAGAAGTGGCTGTTCGTGAAAACGCAAAATAGACCAATTAGCAAATTCGCCCCTTCGTGAAAACGCAAAACGGCACTTTTGACAAATTCGCCCATTTGCTAATTAGGTCAATGAAGATTTTAATTAATTTTTTCAAAGTATAGCCTCACCAGGTTGTAGATATTGACATATCTATTCATATTCACCAAAAAAAAATTTTTTCAACAAACAGACGATTTTCATGAAATTCGCCCCTTCGTGAAAACGGTGACGACTTGTTCGCATTGTTCATCGCAGACCTAGGCTGTTTGTAAGACTTAAGGCCTCCGTTTCACTCCACACGATGCATAACAGTCAAGAAACAAACGAACACTCAAGCTAGGTTGTTTGATATCACTTTAGGAATCCATATGATGAGTCAATATTTGTTCTAGGTAGGCCTAAGTGAAGTTAAGCGAAGCAAACAGAGTATTTTTTTCTTCCAAAACTGTGCCCTGTCTCTGTCATTTTATCGTGTTTCATTTTGTAAGGGGAGGGGAATTGGGGAGGGGGAGGTTTATAAACGTATAGATTAGTGTTGAAAAAAGTGATGAACTACCTCAAAATCCACAAACCTTCATAGTATTACTGTGCAAATGGCATATCTGATAGTAGCCTTTGCCTTCGCTTTTTCAACAAATCGCCTAAGCGGTTTTATCATTATTTTATGAACTCATACTTTTAATGTATAGTCGTCATTAAATCTACGATAACGGTCAACATATTGCCTTCAACCCATTGAATAAATGTACAGTGCGTATGAGAACGACGAAAATGCATTTGCATTTGATTTTTGCATTTGATTTTTGGCTTGATTTTTACCAGTGCATTATTTATTATATTAGGGACCATTAGAAATGATGGACTTCGCTTAAGTAAGCAGGGGCCTCATTTAACAGCTTATTGGATGGATAGAAGGAGATCAAGAAAAGACTGACAATTACAAGAGCAAATTTCGTTAACAGACATCCAGACATCTCAGGAAATAAATTCTCTTGTTAATCACAACCAAATCCAGACTCCTATACACTCACTTGTATTCCCAGTTGCATTATATGGATGCATGAGGCCCGGACAAAAACAGCTTTAGTTCAAAGTCATGACAAAGCCTCGAGGTCAGGGCCAGGCCAGGCTCCTACTTTGCATATTAATACATGTACATGTACAAGAAGCAAGTACAAGTACATGTACATGCACGTTCACGCAGCTACAGGTACATGTATTTGTAAACAAACACAAAGGGCGAGGTTTTGATGATACAGAATTGAAAGCTGATGACGTCGACCCAATTCCAACAGGGCTCAGTGTTGCGCCATTATAGCTCAGTGTTGCACCAGTTTCTATTCTGCGGTAAGTTAACTCCCATTTCTCGACTTCTAATTACGGATGAACATCTGTTGTTTGACAGTTTCAATTACCTTAAGTGTTAAAGTCTTTTTCACGATTTTTGTGATATTGTAGTAGCTTTACCACCGCGATAATTGACCTATATCAAACCGCTAACTAATTTGCAGAAGTTTAGTGTACATGTAGGCCTAGACCTACAACTGCAAGTACTTTGAATAATACTTTGGACCGTGTGACCGTACGTGCATAGAGGACCCCGCGTCGTGGGAAAGTTGCGGGTACTTGAGTGGTTTTCGGCGGGAACGACATAGGCTTGTTTCAGTTGGGAGAGGTCCTGGAAGGTTTCATCAGGATTATACTTGGTGAGCCAAAGAATTAATGACGTCAGAGGTTCGTGTCTCATATATATTTCGAGTCAAACACCTTTTTCACTATACAGAGTGTCTGGAAAAGAAGGAAACCGGGATTAATCTGTTTATTTCTCAGAAACTGCTCAATTTTGTTTAAAATGGTAACCACCATTTAGTATTCAGTTAATGATGTCCTCTTTCTTATGACATCAAAAAATCCATGCTACCATCACGGATGACTGAGCACAAAGTTGTGCAACGGACCATGTCAGAAATGGCATTGCGCCACATGCACCACCGGTCTATTCGCACAGTGTGCATGTCTAAAAATTTGAACAACGACCAGTACGTAAAGACCAAAATCTTTTTTCTTTCAATGATTAAACATAATATTTATGATGTACATTGTGTTTATGTACCGTAGGCGAGATTATCAGCAAAACGAATGAATAGAGACAGGACACGAGAAATATATTTTTTTTATCTCGCCGGCGAAAAAATTTAATTGACCTCAAGCTAAATTGACTGAACCAAAACCCTATTCATGGTACAATTTAGGCTTACTTTGTTTTTTAACCGTAGCTATGATATAACACAATATTGCCTTCATTTTGAATCTGCCGTCGTGGACATAAAGAGAACGAAGGATCTTGGCTAGCTTGGCTAGCTGTGGGTGGACAACCATCGGCAGGAAATCAAAGATCTTACCTTAGATATCTTTTCATGAATACGTCCCAAATCGGAAACACCCCCCCCCCCCCCCCGTGGGCAAAATGATGTCAATCAGATCCGACGGCTGTAGAAGGCCATTAATTGGGCAAGTAGCCTATAGACCTTAATTTCAAACCCCAACTTGAACTCCGAACTGTCGCTTTCTAACACAGGCAACTATCGGTCGGGAATCAAACTAAGAAAGTTTTGACCAACATTCTTAATTTTTTATGTCTTCACGTGAATTTGTCCCCTTGTTGGAAATACAAGACGTTTTCTGGAATTTCTCTTTTGAGGGCAAATTAAAGTACCATATCAGCAGAACACTGCAGAACACGAATGCACGGGAACGTATTGACCTAATTTTAAACCATAATGACCAGACAGCTGCAAGGCTAAACTTTCAATTTCTATCACGGTCAACCATCGGTCTCGCATCAAAGAGGGTTCGTCTGATGGGCTATTTCATACTGTTGATGTCTTTGCATGAGAACCGTCTCAAATCGGAAATAACCAGAATTTTCAATAGAATTTCTCCTTGTGGGCAAATTGTCAATCAGTCCCGACATAGGCCATCAGCCTGGTTTTTTCGTCAGTATCAAATAAGGGCATAAATGATTATAGTGCGCATGCGCAAGGTATACCGCCCCTAGAGTGGTAACAAGTATTGAAAAAAGGCGATAACACCCCAAAAGCTGCCACCGTTGCAATGCTATCACGCAAAAAAGACCAATTAGCAAATTCGCCCCTTCGTGAAAACGCAAAAGTGACTACGCGCAGAATTCGCCCTTCTCTGGCTGAGTCAATGCATTTTTTGTACAGTACGAGCAGATTCTGCCCCACTGCGCATGCGCCTTGAAATTCGCCCCTTTGTGAAAACGTTTGATTGCACGCGCCTGAAATTCACCCTTTCGTGATATACGCGCTATTGTATTACAATGTATTACAATGTATTTATTTACTGAAAATTTAAAAAACAATCCATAGAGTGCAGAAATTCGCCCCTTCGTGAAAACGCAAAACGGCACTTCCAGTGGCAAATTCGCCCATTTGTTAATTAGGTCAATTAAGATTTTAATTAATTTTTTCAAAGTATAGCCTCACCAGGATGTAGATATTGACATATCTATTCATATTCACCAAACAATTTTTTTTCAACAAACAGACGATTTTCATGAAATTCGCCCCTTTTAATGTTAATAGTCGTCGATAACAGTCAACCTACTGCCATCAATCCAATGAATAAATGTACATTGCGTATGAGAACGATTAAAATGCCTCCCGTTTGCATTCCATTTATTATTTGATTTTTACCAGTGCATTATTTAATATATTAGGGACCATTAGAAATGATGGACTTCGCATAGCTACCTATAGGGGCCTCATTCAACAGCTCATTGAATGGATCGAAGGAGATCAAGAAAAGACTGGCAATTACAAGAGCAAATTTAGTTAACAGACATCCAGACATCTCAGGAAATAAATTCTCTTATTAATCACAACCAAATCCAGACTCCTACACTCACTTGTATTCCCAGTTGCATTATATGGAGGCGAGGCCTGGGCAAAAACAGCTTTAGTTCAAAGTCATGACAAAGCCTGGAGGTCAGGGCCAGGCCAGGCCCCCACTTTGCATATTAATACATGTACGCGTACAAGAAGCAAGTACATGTACATGCACGTTCACGCGGCTACAGGTACATGTATTTGCAAACAAACACAACGGGCGAGGTTTGATGATACAGAATTGAAAGCTGATGACGTCGACCCAATTCCAACGGGGCTCAGTGTTGCGCCATTATAGCTCAGTGTTGCACCAGTTTCTATTCTGCGGTAAGTTAACTCCCATTTCTCGACTTCTAATTACAGATGAACATCTGTTGTTTGACTGTTTCAATGACCTTAAGTGTTAAAGTCTTTTTCACGAACTTTGTGATATTGTTGTAGTGTTTCCACCGCGATAATTGGCCTATATCAAACCGCTAACCATTTGCAGAAGTTTAGTGTACATGTAGGCCTACAACTGCGAGTACTTTGAATAATACTTTGGACCGATCGAGTGACAGTACGTGCATAGAGGACCCGGCGTCGTGGGAAAGTTGCGGGTACTTGAATTGGTTTTCGACGGGAACGACATCGGCGTGTTTCATTCGGGAGAGGTCCTTGGATGTTTCATCAGGATTATACTTTGTGAGCCCAAGAATTAATGACGTCAGAGGGGCGTGTCTCATATATATTTCGAGTCAAACACCTTTTTCACTATACAGAGTGTCTGGAAAAGAAGGAAACCGGGATTAATCTGTCTATTTCTCAGATACTGCTCAATTTTGTTTAAAATGGTAACCACCATTTAGTATTTAGTTAATGATGTCCTCTTTCTTATGACACCAAAAAAATCCATGCTACCATCACGGATGACTGAGCACAAAGTTGTTTTGTGCAACGGACCATGCCAGAAATGGCTTTGCGCCACATGCACCACCGGTCTATTCGCACAGTGTGCATGTCTAAACATTTGAACAACGACCAGTACGTAAAGACCACAATCTTTTTTCTTTCAATGATTAAACATAATATTATGATGTACATTGTGTTTATGTACCGTAGGCGAGATTATCAACAAAACGAAAGAATAGAGACAGGACACGAGAAATATATTTTTCTAATCTCGCCGGCGAAAAAATTTAATTGACCTATATTGACCTAAACCTAAATTGACCGAACCAAAACCTTATTCGTGGTACAATTTAGGCTTACTTTGGGGTTTTTTTTAACCGAAGCTACGAGTAACACAATATTGCCTTCATTTTGAATCTGCCGTCATGGACATAAAGAGAACGAAGGATCTTTTGGCTAGCTGTGCGTGGACAACCATCAGCAGGGAATTAAAGATCTTACCTTACGGTGTTTTAAGGGAATTTAAAACGGTGTCTGAACGACCCCTTTAATAGATATCTTTGCATAAATACGTCCCGAATCGGAAACACACCCCCCCCCTCCACCCCGTGGGCAAAATGATCGTCAATCAGATCCGACGGCTGTAGAAGACCATTAATTGGGATAGTAGACCTTAATTTCAAACCCCAACTTAAACTCCGAACTTTCGCTTTCTAACACAGGCAACTATCGGTCGGGAATCAAACTAAGAAAGTTTTGACCGACATTCTTAATTTTTATGTCTTCACGTGAATGTGTCCCCTTATTGGAAATACAAGACGCTTTCTCGAATTTCTCTTTGTGGGCAACTTAAAGTACCATATCAGATGGTGAAAACTGCAGAATACGAATGCACGGGAACGTATTGATCTAATTTTAAAACATAATGGCCAGACAGCTGCAGGGTTAAACTTTCACTTTCTATCACGGTCAACCACCGGCCGCGAATCAAAGAGCGTTCATCTGATGGGCTAACTTACTGTTGATGTCTTTGCATGAAAACCGTCTCAAATCGGAAATAACCAGAATTTTCAATAGAATTTCTCCTTGTGGGCAAAATGATTGGCAATCAGACCCGGCAGCTGTAGAAAGATAGACCGATGCAAGGTTTGACCTAATTTCAAACCATTTACTCTGAACTTTCACTTTCTAACACGGTCAACCATTAGTCTAATAGACCATAGCGAATGTCATGCATGCCCATGATATGTGAGCAGATTCGCTGATTAATGAGGCAAGACAACCGCCTTTTGACCTCTAGATTTTGACCAATCAGCAGGCGCTTTCTATATCGGGTCTTCGGTCATTCAGCCAGTGCCGTCATAGACAATAAATTAAAAAAAACTGTGTCACGCGCTCTGTATCATGTTACGCGATATGCGTCCGACCGTTGTATTACAAAAACACTGCATTCGAATCAACCAATCAAACCAATTAGTCCCGATTTGGGAATGAAATTACGTCACGATTTGGTAAAGTTGACTCCGATTGGCTGGCGCGCGGCTTGCATAATCTGCATGTTTAGACATATCAGACGTTATACAGGAGATTGGCCCCGTGGATAACGGGTGATACTCAGACTACGTTCGACCTATTCAATAGAAAATTCAGTTTCGTTTCGCCTAAGTGGCGCAATTATAAGCCATTTTTGGCACGCAACCACCAGATAAAGAAATGGAAGTTCATTTGAAGCGAAGCACTAATTACTGTGTTAATGTTCACTTAGTCAGCAATTCAATGATTAATTGTTCCGGAAACTTGAACCTTATCAACTCTTCATTGTTCCTTTTTTAATAGTATTTATTCAGCTGTTTCTAGTGACGCAAACGACGCTGGCCCGATTTTCTATAACTGGAGGACTTAATCTGCTTCAGAATCACTTCGGTGTCTTGTAAAAAAAAAAAGGACGCGACATGGGCAAGACGTGCGCTGTGGCAGCTTTAGTTGCAACCCTGCTTTGTGGTAAGTTCTTTGTTTAACTCCATTGTCTACCTGAAGCCATCTGGGTTTGAACAATTCATGAGTATAACATCGTAAGCGTTTTCAATCGGCCCTTTGCGTTCTGCCGTGGCGTTCTCCACTTACTGCACTAGCTGGCTTTCTCATTATTTCATTATTTTGCAAGCACAATCACGCAAGTTGCACATTTCCCATTTATGCTGCATAATTACCAAATGGTCAAGTGGCAGGACGCGGACATGTTCTCGATTCGTTTCCTTTGACGTTGCACACAGCAATATAGACTACGTACATTTCTCTTATTGTACTGCGATATTGCAAACGTGGTTGCTCTGATAGCACCAGAGACTTTTCTAACATCGATAATTTGTTGGCTCATTTTTCTTCCTGTATCTTTAGTGACATGTGCTGCAGGGGGAGCCAATGAAGGTGAGTAAAAGTTGTTTTTTCTTAAGATTTTCTTGAATGACTTCGGCCGTTATCTCTGTTGTTGTATTATTAACCAGATCTGTTGGTCCTACGTTTAGTGCCACCGTGAGCATGGTCAACGAATGTGCGTTATATCTCCTAGAAGCGAATTGCAGTAAAGGTTTTGAAGACGTTTTAATGACATCGCGAATGAGTAAGCCTAGAACTGATGTAATCAGTCAGTTAGAATCTGAATTTGTCCATTCTTGTCTGTTTTATCAACAATTCGGGTCAGATCCCAATGACCCGCTTTTTCCCAACAGTGCAAAATATATTTGAAATTAGCACAACAATTTTACAAATTCTTGTATAGGGTGCAAGTCTTTATTTTAAGCCGTTACTTTTTTTTCAGTTAGTTGAGTTGTTTGCTTCTCAAAACTTTTCCCCATTATGTCAGTAGGAGATGCCTGATTCGTTAGTTTTTCCTCGTAGATTTTCATCACACCCCCACCTTTTGTCATCATAAAAATAGCTCATGGAAGTATTCACTCATTTCTTGTGTGCACAGTTATACCTCCAGAGATGTCCGAAACATCATTCCTCGTGGACTGTGACTTCGACAGCGCAATCCCCTTTTGCCATTATACCAACAGCAAGACGGATGACGCTGATTGGTATACTACGTCTGGTAGACTGAACGATGACGAAATTGGTCCTGTTGCTGATCACACCACCGGAAACTGTGAGTTTGTTTCTGCATTCAATAGGGGACATTTAACAATAGAGGACTATAGGGTCCCCAATTCCCGAGAGGTCCCCAATTTGGATGCGTGTACAAAACATATGGGAGGTCTTCCTAAAAAGTTGGAGTACAAACAGAAGATGGACAATAGGGCGTCCCAATTGCAGGAAATTATACACTTGTATGAGTTTATGAATTTAAGCGCTGTGATTATAACCGCTACATTGGAGGTTGGCATTATAGAGAATCCGGATACTTCTGACGACAGGAAAGCAATACATGTACATGTATAACAATTTGTGACCTGCCATAACGTAATAAAAAATAACCCCCACCATTGACTTTTCATGTTTATGTACATCATGTTAAAGCACAAATCATTGGCTTTCCAATGATACCAAATTTATTTCTGAAGCTTAATTTATTCCAAAGATATGACGCAGGAACTTCAACAGTGTCCTGCCAAGTTTCGCTACTCTCATTTTGCGAAAAATGGCTTTGATAAAACAGACACGCATTGCGCCAACAACGGCAGTGAAAAACGTTCTTCAGTTTTTCTACTGGTATTTTTCCCAAACTAAAATGCATAGTGTGAATCTTGGATACCTTGGCTACTCAAAAATACAAAACAATCAATATCGAGTTTGACATGATTTTTTTTAGTATATCCAACTTCAGACATCGATTACTCAAAAGAAGATTTTGGGGGACATTCCTCATTTTGCCTCAGTAGGTCACATTTGCTTGACAAAGTTTTGGCCCTGGATCCGTCCTCGCCTACGTGATAGAAGTGCTAACCTGCCAGGATTTATCTATATAATATAGGGGAATATTGAATCTTAAAAATGAAAGGGAAAACCTCTTCATAAGTAATTTAGCTTTTGTCAGTGTTTTAAGATGGTATGATTTCACTTCAAGTGTGTATTTGTCGGTACTGAAATCCAGTAAATAATCCTGAAAAAAAAAACATGCAAAGCCATTAAACTAGGGACAGTTTCAAGTTGGACTTTGTGTTTAACATTCTACTCTAATTAATTTTTTTTCGATTTCAGATACGGGTACCTACCTCTACACCAAAACGTCCTATTCTGAGTCGTTCGAGTCACGCCTAGAAGGTGTTACAGCCGTGGCACCAGCCGACGGTGGATGCGTGAGGTTTTGGTATCACATGTACGGCTCTTCGATTGGATCACTCAAGGTGCACACTGAGAGGAGTGGTGATCTTGGCCCGGCCCGTTGGTCCCAGTCGGGATATACCAAAGTCAGCCAGTGGTATGAGGCATCGATCAGCATTGAGCCTGCCAGCGAATTTAAGGTAATCTATACGGTAGGCCTAGAGGTTTCTGTCTGTCCCAATGGACCGATCCAGTAAGCTCCGCCCAGTGCGCACGTGGGCAAATTAACACGTGCTCCTCTCCAATGCCACCACTGATCTCTATATAAAGACTATAGAGATCAGTGAATCATCATACGCGCGTGCACGCATGTCGGACTTTAGTGCACGCACGTCGGACATAAATCACGGCTGTGATTGGACAGAACACCATGGGGCAGTGGGAATATTTGGGCAATTGTGACTTTGATGTTACAAGCATGGCATTTGGCACACAGTCACAGAATGTCATGAGAAAGATATTTGGCTATAGGGCCATCGCACATTTGTCCTTTGAAAAAAATATATGTAGAATATCAAGCAATCATTTAAACATGTTCAAAATGGCTTCCATTGCTTGTTATTCTCCCTACTTTTGAAAGGGCAAATCTGCGATGGTCCTATAGCCAAATGTCTTTCTTGCGACGTACTCTGACTGTGTGCCAACTCCATGCTTGTATCATCAAAGGCACAATCCTATAACTTATCTGCCGTACTAGACTATATGTGTTCGGATTTGGAGAGTTTTTGCTTCAGATTAAAGTCGTGACTGCTGTTTGTCTCAGCCCAGTGTTGTAGTCGAGTATGCATTTCTTGGGTACGAGTGTGAGTACTTTACAATGAGTGCGTGTATGAGTACTCTGTCGTGAGTATGAATACAAGGCATTCCCCCCCCCTATGAGTATACGAGTACGTGTACGAGTACCAGCAATGTACTTGTACGAGTAAAAGTTTGAGAACTTTTCAAGAGTAGGTGCAAATTTCAATGGGTACCCATGTTCTCAACAATGCCAACAAGGCATTAACAATGCATAAAGCTCTCAAACAGTAGAAAATTGGTTATTTTTACCTCACGATCAAAGGCGGATCGGGGGTGGGGCCAACGGGGGACACCCCCCCCCCCCCCCTCAAAAAAAGAAGCCAATTTGTTGTGTTTAACTGACGTCGCAATAAAGGCAGGCACTGCGTACACCACCATCTTGTCCTCAAAAACAATTGGTTAAAGTGGTCATTGCCTCAGATCGCACCTCAGAGAATCTATCCAACATTCCTTCGGGGTCCTTGGCCCCGAACCCACGGCGTAATGTTTGGGGGACCAAAATTATTTTTGCCCCCCTCTCCAGATGTGTGTTTTGGATCCGCCCTTACTTCGAGTATGTACTCGAGGACGAGTACGAGTTCTACAACTCTGCCTCACCCTAGCTTCTTTTATTCACAAAGTAGAGACAAGACTTGGGGGTTGACTTTCTCGTGCTTCATTTTACAGCTCGTCTTCATTTCCGAAAGTGGAACCGGTTTTCGTGGCAACATAGCTATTGACGATATCAGCTTCGTTGATGGACAATGCCCCGGTAAGTTCACCCGATCCGAGTATATACGTACCCACCGCGAGATATGCATGTGCGTCAAAATGCCACACTACAGCAACATTATGGGCAGTATTTTGGTGGCACGAAATACAAATTGAGATTGCTCAAAGTGGCATGCGTGGTATAGTGGAATTGATTCGGTACTCCGGAAGTACATGATTCGAAACCTGTCCAGAAGGAAAATTTGTCATTTTTAACATTTATGCATTTGCAAAAGGTCGATTTTGAAAGCGTTTATCAAAGGAAATACAGGCTTCACTTGTGCTGTTGACATTTACAGATGTCATCTTTTATATCACATGGTACCATAGTAAATTGCCAGCACGATTAAAACGTGGTATTTTGATGTAGAATCGTCGCTTTTTAACAGAGGTGGGTAGTCGAATCGCCTGGTAACTTAGTCCATAACACAGAATTTTCTCTGACACATAATCACATAATCACCGTTGGAATTTAAATTACGGGGATTCTCTGTGAGACATTCCCATAGACTTGTGCACAAGTCCAAACTGCAATGACACTTAACCGTTAACCCTAACATAAACTTAACTACCCTCGCCAAACTTTGTGAATTTAGATTTTGCATCACGAGGAAATGAGGAATGAACTTTGGCTATTTCCGACGTTAAAATTGTGTCTAGAGAAATAGGACCTCAAACATCAAGGGAGATATTAACAAAAAAATCTTTAAAAAAAAATGGATTGAGATGTATTAATAAGATATAAAGTTATGGTGCTGGAATCAAGAGAGCGTGTTTGAAACAAACACGACCCCCTTATAATGAGGACATTTTTTACTTCTATGGGGTATGGCTTAATAACTTTGTATTCATTTTGCGAGTATAAACATAATTTAGCTTCTTGTGTGCACAGTTATACCTCCAGAGATGCCCGATCCGTCCTTCCTCGTGGACTGTGACTTCGACAGCGCAATCCGCTTTTGCCATTATACCAACAGCGAGACTGATGAAGCTGATTGGTATACTATATCTGGTAAACTGAACGATGACGAAATTGGTCCTGTTGCTGATCACACCACCGGAAACTGTAAGCTGCTATTATTTAAAACTTTGACGATAATCGCTTGTAATAAATTTGAGGTTGGCATTAAGTAATCGGTTACTCCTGACGACAGGAAAGCAATATATATAACAACTTGCTTGACACGACCGAAAATCATAGGCCCCTATCATATGGCCTTTTCAAATTTTCGAAATTCAAAATGTTTGAAATGTTTGTCAACCTTCACAGGCGTTTGTCATCGCTTTACTCGATTACTTGTTTGAAAGACTTCAAGGTCGAATGTCGCGTTAGAATGCTTTTTCTGCATTTCTACAAAATCTCCAAGAGTACCATTTAGACAAATCTGGACATGTGACTACGGTGGGCCTACTCTCAGGGAGGTCCCTTTAGGCCTAATGGCAAAAGTATTGTGCTTGCTATTGTATAGAAGGGGACATCCGTGATAGAAGTACCACCGTGCCAGGATTGATCTATATTTTACCAGTGAATATTGAATCTTAAAAATGGAAGGCAAAACCTATGCTCATAAGTAATTTAGCTTTTGTCAATGTTTTAAGATTGTATGATTTAACTTCACGTGTGTATTTGTCGATACTTTCATCCATACGGTGTATAAACCTGAAAAGAAACAGGCGAAGCAAAACTAGGGACGGTTTTTTAGTTAGGCTTTATGTTGAACACTCTCCTTTAATTTTTTTTTTCGATTTCAGATGCGGGTACCTACCTCTACACCAAAACATCGTATTCTAAGTCTTACGAGTCTCGCCTAGAAGGTGTTACAGCCGTGGCACCAGCCGACGGTGGATGCGTGAGGTTTTGGTATCACATGTACGGCTATGAGATTGGATCACTCAAGGTGCACACTGAGACGAGTGGTGATCTTGGCCCGGCCCGTTGGTCCCAGTCGGGATATACCAAAGTCAGCCAGTGGTATGAGGCATCGATCAGCATTGAGCCTGGAAGCAAATTTAAGGTAGGGGGCCCACCAGTATTAATTGCGCTATAGAGGGGTTTTTGTCCTTAAAATGCTTGTGATCTCGACATCCAGATTAAAATTTTGACTCCCCTATCATCGACCAATGGTCGGCGATCCCATAGGGAAGGCGATCCTGGGGCAAGGCAATGGGGAAGACGATCTTACATGGGGGAGGCCGATCCCGGAGGGAAAGCGACCCAGGGGGAAGGCGATCCAGGGGAAGGGCGATCCAGGGGAATGCGATCCAGGGGGAAGGCGATCCTGCATTGGGGAAGGCGATCCAGGGGGAAGGCGATCCTGCATGGGAAGGCGATTCCGGGAAAGGCGATCCAGGGGGAAGGCGATCCTGCATGGGAAGGCGATTCCGGGGAAGGTGATCCAGGGGGAAGGCGATCTTGCATGGGGCAGGCGATTCAGGGCGAAGGCGATCCAGGGCGAAGGCGATCCTGCATGGGGGAAGGTGATCCTGCATTTGGGAAGGCGATCCTGCACGGGGAAAGGCGATCCAGGGGAAGGCGATCCGGGGGAGGCGGGAGGACCGGGGGAACAGAAATTATCACCGCAATAGTTTTATTTTTTTGCGGACGTTGGATTGGGAGCTTGAGGTGATGTCCCCCTAATAAAATTATTAAGTCCTTTGAGTGTATATTTTAACCGAATGTAAATCAACTTCCGAAATGGAAGGCCTACAACAGCATAATTATGTAATGTACATATACATTATGTATATGCATATACATGTACATTCATTTTCAACGGCGTCCCCTACAGTCACGTGTTGTCGTGACCCTACCGCTTTTCTTAGTTGCAAAGCTATTTGTACTTGTCCACGCCCCCTAAGAAATCAGCCTTGCTCCGTTTGTCCAACAATAATAGAGACAGTCTTAATTTTGCTTGTTTTGTTTTGTTCACCGCTTCACAGCTCGTCTTCGTTTCCCAAAGTGGGACTGGTTTCCAAGGCAACATTGCAATTGATGACATCATCTATGTGGATGGACCATGCGGTGGTAAGTGATAGTAATGTTAGTAATGATAGTATCATTTCTTTTTTCAATATTCTCGATTAAAATTTCTAAAGATGAAAATTACATGAGAGGTATAACCCTTTTAGGATCGGAGGACACAATGCGAACCCATTTATAAGAAACTTTATCAAACGTCGTGGTTCAACTTTTTAACCCATTTATAAGAAACTTTATTCAAACGTCGTGCTTCAACTTTTTAAACGTCGTGCTTCAACTTTTCAAACGTCGTGCTTCAAGTTTTCAAACGTCGTGCTTCAACTTTTCAAACGTCATGGTTCAACTTTTCAAACGTCATGTCGTCGTGGTTCAACTTTTCAAACGTCGTGCTTCAACTTTTTAAACGTCGTGGTTCAACTTTTCAAACGTCGTGCTTCAACTTTTCATGGCGTCGTGGCTCACTGATTTTTGAAACGTCGTGGTTCAACCTTTCTTTAAAAAGAAACAAATATAGAATATATTCTAAAATACTTTTTGGCCACAAAATTGACAGAAGTATGTAAGCACCCCTTGAGGTCATTACAGTGCAGTCAAATGACATCATATTATAGACGAGGGGCAGTTCCTGCCAAATTTAAGAAAAACCGTCTGACGGATATTGAAATAAGGAAGGGAGTGCTCCCAGCCGGGTCCCGCCACGCGATCTAGAGAAGACCGACAATAGCCCGGTCCCAATAGAGTTAAGTCATAAAAGTATACATGTAGTTGCAAAAACAAGACAGAGTATCTAAAAACAAAAACCCCGTGTCGATGTGGAAAAAAGTTGAATTGTACAGCTTAATGACTTTTTTTGATTTTGCGAATAAGGATTATTATTATTATTATTATTATTATTATTATTAAAACGACAAATGTAGCATTAGGGAGACACGTTATCGTAATTTCTTCGACAATTGGGAGACATCGGTCATTAGGGAGACATGTTCATGTCTCCCTAATTCCACAGCCCCCCTTCAGAGGCAAAACTTTACTGTCGCAATCGGGTTATATTTGTTGCTCGTGGTCTAATTATGGTTAGGGCACAAGTTTGAAAAATTTTGTGCATAAGTGATTTTCGGTAATTATTATTATTATTATTATTATTTACACATTTCTCCCCAGAGAGGCCAGATCCGTTTTTCCTCGTGGACTGTGACTTCGACAGCGCAATCCCCTTTTGCCATTATACCAACAGCGAGACTGATGAAGCTGATTGGTATACTACGTCTGGTAAACTGAACGTTGACGAAATTGGTCCTGTTGCTGATCACACCACCGGAAACTGTGAGTGTATGGATTTTAAGCGTTTGGTAGGCCTAATGATCGCTTTTGAAGTTTGGATAAATTGAATAATGGCTTTTGAGAAATTGGTCTCTTGTGGCAAAGCAGTACCCTTCCTTGACACTGCCGGTGACAATAGGCCTATTCATTGTAACCTTTCAATTGACGTTGATTTCAAATATTTGAAACCATTGTCAACATTTTGATGGTCTACGTAATGCGGTTACTCGTACATTAAAATTTACAATATGGTCACTTGGGGTACTTTTTTTTTTACAGTTTTGGTAGCAAAGCCAAAGCATTTATAACGCTGCCTTACGTAGACATTGTACTTCATTTGTACAAATTCGATCATCTGGCAGAAACAAAAAACAAAATGTCTGGACAAAAACGACATTGACGATTTTTTTTCTAGAAAACCTGACGATTGTTTTCGAAGAAAATGCTTTACATAATTGTATATGCATGTATATCCCTTTATGAAGATAAACTACAGAAGCCATTTTTATCAGATGACTACAAAATGCTGAATATGAGCTGAGAAATAAGCCAATGTTTACAATATGATACAAGAATAGCTTACATCTATGGACGATTCAAGTTTGGGTCGTTCTACTAATTGCATTTGTTCAAATACAGACACGGGAGTATACACCTCTTTACCAACAACGTCTTATTCTGACATTTAATAAACCTGAAAAAATAAATACAGGCAAAGCTATAGATTTAGGCCGGTTTAACATTATATTATAACAAGTTAAACATTATATGGAACTATTTATTTTCCGATACCAGATGCGGGTACCTACCTCTATAGTTGATAATGTGAACATCTGTTGATTGTGTCTTCCGATTTTAGATTCCGGTACCTACCTCTACACTAAAACGTCTTATTCTGAGTCGTTCGAGTCACGCCTAGAAGGTGTTACAGCCGTGGCACCAGCCGAGGGTGGATGCGTGAGGTTTTGGTGTCACATGTACGGCTCTTCGATTGGATCACTCAAGGTGCATACTGAGAAGAGTGGTGATCTTGGCCCGGCCCGTTGGTCCCAGTCGGGATATACCAAAGTCAGCCAGTGGTATGAGGCATCAATCAGCATTGAGCCTGCCAGCGAATTTAAGGTAAGTTTTGTCTTTTGTCACTAGCATAGAGGGTCCTATACATGTGACCTTTATATTCGTTTCAGTCTTAAAGGGAATATACATCATTTGCTTTTGCTGTAATTTTCAGAAATGGATGGAATTGGGGGGTTGGAAATATATAGCAAATATAGTTACACTGACTTTTTTGAGGTTTTGTGTTCGAAAATGCTATAAAAACCAAGAAAAACAATCATTTTCCTGTAGTCAGGTTCCCTGACTCCACATAAGAAGAAACAGAGCAGTTTACATACATTGGGGAATTGTAAGGTCAGGGAACCAGTCTAGCTGGCTCGTACCCGTTCATAGGTTTGTAATCGATTGCAAACAAGTGCGATGGTCAATTGGGGCCAGTATTTGAAAAAAGCCAGTTTTTTCCAACGCTGATCGGCCGATCAGCGTTGGAAATTGATACAAAAATACCACTTTTCTTGAAAATGACAGTATACCAGGTGCCATGATTTTACAGGATGCTTTACACTGTCATTCACTAACAGTCCAGCAAGGCATTTCAAAATGATTTGGTAGTTTTATTTTTTGATGTTTGCAAATGTTGTATTTTCCCTTTAACCCTTGTCTTCAATAATAATTTATTTATTAGTTTGTTGTCTATTATTTTTACAGCTCGTCTTCGTTTCCGAAAGTGGGACCGGTTTCCGTGGCAACATTGCAATTGATGATATCAGCCTTGCTGGTGGACCGTGCCCCGGTAAGTTTTTTAAATTGGCACAGAGATAGATACGAGACTCGACATAATAATCACAATACAGGTTGAGGGAATTTCAGTCACTATATTGTTAAACTAAAGTATTAATTTTAGACATCGTGCAGGACTATTATTGTAATTAGTCAAAATGACTAACGGATTTTTTACAGTGTATGGCTAAATTTAATACTTAGTACTTGTTTCACGATTGACAGCGTGAGTAAAAAAAAAACAGAAACCCAAATGGCAGGACCAATTTTTGAAATCAGTTTTGCTTGTAGCACTTTCAAAATCTAGGATATGAAAGCCCAATCGAGATGACTTTCTTTTGGTAGAATACTCATTCAAATCACTTATGTATTTTTCAAGTTCATTTGCGGGTACAATTTGCTTCTTGTATGCACAGTTAAACCTCCAGAGATGCCCGATCCGTCTTTCCTCGTGGACTGTGACTTCGAGGGCGCAATCCCCTATTGCCATTATACCAACAGCAAGACCGATGACGCTGAATGGTATACTACGTCTGGTAAACTGAACGATGACGAAATTGGTCCTGTTGCTGATCACACCACCGGAAACTGTAAGTTGTGAGAATTGACACTTTTGGGGTAAACATTTCTGTGACAATCCCGAGAATGACCTGAGAATTGCTGGTCTCTTTCCAACACTTTTCGCCATAGTCAGCCACCAGACTAATGGAGAGGTCAGTCTTTTCAAACAGTTGGACCACGGTTGGTCATGTAACAGTCTAGTCTTTGGCCTCAGGTTGATATCACTTGACTTCCCTCTCGAGTGCAATATATTGAGAAAAGTCTGCTTTAAAAATTGAATTGAGACTTCAATCTCAGCTACCGAGGAACTTGTCTTTGCCTCGTTAAGATTTTTGGAGAATTTTGTCAGCCGAAGAGTGATATGAGTAAACTTGGCCTGAGTTTGTTTTGCATGTTTTTCAGCACTCGTGGTCCTAGTCTGATTCCGGCTCAGTCTGAGTAGGGATTTTTCAGAGTGTGTTTGTAATTATTGATCAACCACAGAGGCTTTCTGTTAGAGTTGATAATGTGAACATCTGTTGATTGTGTCTTCCGATTTCAGATTCCGGTACCTACCTCTACACCAAAACGTCCTATTCTGAGTCGTTCGAGTCACGCCTAGAAGGTGTAACAGCCGTGGCACCAGCCGAGGGTGGATGCGTGAGGTTTTGGTATCACATGTACGGCTCTTCGATTGGATCACTCAAGGTGCACACTGAGGCGAGTGGTGATCTTGGCCCGGCCCGTTGGTCCCAGTTGGGATATACCAAAGTCAGCCAGTGGTATGAGGCATCAATCAGCATTGAGCCTGCCAGCGAATTTAAGGTAAGTTTTGTCTTTTGTCACTAGCAAAGGGGGTCCTATACATGTGACCTATATATTCGTTTCAGTCTTAACCCTTGTCTTCAATAATTATTTTATTTGTTAGTTTGTTGTCTATTATTTTTACAGCTCGTCTTCGTTTCCGAAAGTGGGACCGGTTTCCGTGGCAACATTGCAATTGATGATATCAGCCTTGCTGGTGGACCGTGCCCCGGTAAGTTTTTGAAATTGGCACAGAGATAGATACGAGACTCGACATAATAATCACAATACAGGTTGAGGGAATTTCAGTCACTATATTGTTAAACTAAAGTTTTAATTTTAGACATCGTGCAGGACTATTATTGTAATTAGTCAAAATGACTAATGGATTTTTACAGTGTATGGCTAACTTTAATACTTAGTACTTGTTTCACGATTGACCGCGTGAGTACAAAAAAAACCAGAAATCCAAATGGCGGGACCAATTTTTTAAATAAATTTTGCTTGTAGCACTTTCAAAATCTAGGATATGAAAGCCCAATCGAGATGACTTTCTTTTGGTACAAAACTCATTCAAATCACTAATGTACTTTTCAAGTTCATCATTTTTGCGGGTACAATTTGCTTCTTGTATGCACAGTTAAACCTCCAGAGATGCCCGATCCGTCTTTCCTCGTGGACTGTGACTTTGACATCAGCGCAATCCCCCTTTGCCATTATACCAACAGCAAGACTGATGAAGCTGATTGGTATACTATATCTGGTGGACTGAACGATGACGAAATTGGTCCTATTGCTGATCACACCACCGGAAACTGTAAGTTGTGAGAACAAAAAGTTTCTGGATAAAAATTGATGTGAAAAACCCCGAGAATGACCCGAGAATTGTCATTTCTGACCCGGAAAGGGTTACGCCAATACAACCCTGATTCTAGGCTATTCCGGAAGTTTGAAACTGCCTAATACTGAGAGTCCTAAAAGGTATTGGAAACAATGTGACGCAAGAAAATAGACTGGCACCTGAAACAACCAGTCTAACACAATTCAGTTCTGCATCAATCAACTGTGCAAAACAAACATCTGGCATGTCTGGTACTGGTCACTATTCAACACTTTTCTCAATAGTCAGCCACCAGACTAATAGAGAGGTCCGTCTTTCAAACAATTGGACCATGCATGGTTGGACATGTATACCAGTCTAATCTTTGGCCTCAGGTTGATATCACTTGACTTCCCTCTCGGGTGCAATATATTGAGAAAAGTCTGCTTTAAAAAATTGAATTGAGACTTCAATTTCGGCTGGAGAAATACCGAGGACCTTGTCTTTGCCTCGTTAAGATTTTTGGAGAATTTTGTCAGCCAACTTGAGAGTGATATGAGTACTTGTTGGCCTGATTTTGTTGTGCATGTTTTTCAGCGCTCGAGGTTTCAGTTTGATTCCCGCTCAATCTGTGTAGGGCCTTTTTCAGAGTGCATACATGTATGTTTATAATTGTTCATGTCAACCACAGAGGCTTTCTGTTAGAGTTGATATGTGAAAATCTGATTCTGTTTTTCGACTTCAGATACTGGCACCTACCTCTACACCAAAACGTCTTATTCTGAGTCTCTCGAGTCACGCTTAGAAGGTGTTACAGCCGTGGCACCAGACGACGGTGGATGCGTGAGGTTTTGGTATCACATGTACGGCTCCTCGATTGGATCACTCAAGGTGCACACTGAGGCGAGTGGTGATCTTGGCCCGGCCCGTTGGTCCCAGTCGGGCTATACCAAAGTCAGCCAGTGGTATGAGGCATCGATCAGCATTGACCCTGGAGAGGACTTTAAGGTATTTGCCGCACCCTGAAAATCCCCAGATCAGATTTGACCCAGATTCCAGCTTCTCCCTGACCTGGTACTTTTCTAGGCAAAAATTAATTTTTTTGATGAGGTTTTTCGGGCTGGGGGGGGGAGTGGGGCTGGATGCAGGCGCGGTTCTAGAACCAATATTTTTGGGGGGCTAGCACGGTGGATCCAGAATTTTTTTTCAGGGAGGCGTGCTGAAATGTTGACCGGTTATTTTTTCCAGACACTTAGGCCTCCGAAAATCAATAGGTGGTGGTGGTGGGGGGGCTCATGCCATATTTTCAACGGGGAGCGCCAATAAAATCCTAAAATCATTCACACTATAGCAAGGGCGGATCCAGAACACAATTTTTTTGTGGGGGGCCAAAAAAAAATTTGGTCCCCCCAAAAAGTGGGTCCCAAAAATTACGGCGTGGGGTTCGGGGCCCGCTTAAGGGCCCCGAACAATTTTTGGATTCTAGATGCTCTGTGGTGCGATCTGAGGCAATTTCTGACCACTTTAACCAATTATTTTTGAGGAAAAGATGGTGGTTTCGGGGTTTTTTTTTTGGGGGGGGCGATGGCCCCCTTTGGCCCCCCCCCCCCCCTCTCCTGGATCCGCCCTTGCACTTTATTAACTAATGCACCCTTGTCACGGCTATTTCTTCTTTAGGGGGAGACCGTTCACATGTCCATCACAATCCTTCTTTTTGCTAATGTAATTTTTTTTATGGAATTTATTTTGGGGGGGCTAAACAAAATTTGGGGGGGGGGGGGCTTCAGCCCCCCCCCCCCCCTAGCCCCCCCGTAGAACCGCGCCTGGCTGGATGTTACAGTGGGGGGCTGGATGTTACAGTGGGGAGAGGGAGCCACCAAATTTGTGTTCAACCCGTTAACAATGGTCACATTTCATAGGGCTAACAAATTGTCGGTGTCGGCAACTGATTTTTTATAGAGGGCGTGCCGCGTGCGCCAATTAACCCACCCCATGCCCCCTCAGGCCTCCCCGCGCTCCCTTCCTTTTGCTTTGCTTCACCGCTGCTTTCTGCTCTTGTAGGTGGTTAAAATCGATGATATGAAATGCCGTTATGATGTGACCCCCGTCAAAGTACATTTTGATCTGGCAATATTCGGAAATAAATAGGTATTTTGTTCTCTCGTTGGAAAAATAGATGTTTATATCGCTGTAAAATAAAGCAGAAGACCTAATTAAAATAGATAGCTCCAAATGTATTTTTTTTATCGATTAATCTTGTATTGTCTTGTATCGATTAGTATTGTATACATATTGTATACAAACTGTATACATACTGATTGTGTTTATCCATCCTTTTTTTTTTGACTTATCGATGTTAGATGTTGTTGAAATAAAAGAAAATGAGAACTATTAAAAGACAAGTAATGATATAGGATATTCCAATTTTGAATTGGCATTCGTCATTTTTGTTTTTGATTTAAAAAAACGTTTGATTTAAATGTGACGGTAAATGTTCTTTCAATTTTCACGAGTGCCAAGAAAGACAAAAATCCATCGGGGAAGGACTTCAATGATCATATTGATTATGTTTGAATGTAAGTATTTCATTATTATTAACTATTTAATATCCATTTGTTTTTACATTCTTTGCAGCTCGTATTCGTTTCCCAAAGCAGAGTTGGTTCCGTCGGTAACATTGCGATCGATGACATTGGCCTTGTGTCGGGAAAATGTTAAGGTATGTCATAATTATCTTCCACTCTGACTTTTCTTGGCTTTCTTTATATTTATTACATTTATTGAAAATACATATATCCCTTTTTGCGATTAAAAAAAGAGTAATGATCTGTTTGTATCCCAATTTTTTTTGTTATTTAGGAGACAATATAACGCCAAAACAAAGTAAAAAAAATTGACGAAAAACAGGGCCCAATTTCAAGGCTCTGCTTACCATCAGCGACAAATTCCCTCTAACAATAGCAGAAACTTCCGTGCTTGCCGTAAGCATATTTTACGGGTTATATATTTTGGCTTTGCGCATGCCTATACATCCTGTAACTAAGGATCAGTGGCGCACGCATGGCTTTTTTTTTCAAAGTTTTTAGAATTTATTTTTTTTTTCAAAAATTGCCCAAACTTTTGGGCTGCAGAAAAAAAATGTGTTTTTTTTTTTTTTTTTTTGGGGGGGGGGAATATTTTGACGTTGGTGGCGCCACTTACACCCCTATTATACTACTCGAAAATAGGCCACATACATATCACCAAGGTCAAATCGTGGGACTAAAACAAACATTACCAAAAAATATTTAAAATGAATTGACAACCTCTTGGGGGGGGGTCTCAAGTCCCCCGAGCGCCCCCACTTGTGTGTTCCACTTCTTTTCTTATGTGGTTAGCGTGGAATGTTGTTTTGCTAACGCCTTTATCAGAGAATGGTGAACGATAGTTCGAAATTCTGTGGTTAGCAGAGCCATCCAGTTTGGCCCAGGTTCATTATCTGTGACAAATGTAATTGCGGATATCTTTAAACAACGATCGTTTGGGAAAGGTCTTCAGCATCTTTCTGTACAGAGAGAAAAAACTCAGGCTGCTCCTTTTTCCCCCTCATACTTAGGAATTCATCTTCCTCATCGGAAGTATTCACGACATCAGGAGTAAGAAGCTCTAAGTTTCCATGAAGCAGTTGAGAACTTGACAATAAATGAAATCATTTGTTGAATAATGATTATATCCAATATTTCAAATAATGGTAGCTTCTGATTTCTTTTTAATAACTATCGGTTAATAGTACCTTTTGAATTATTCAAAATATGTATATTAACACCTGATAATTTCAAATGGATTTTACCCCCAGAATTTCATTATATTAGAGTATGCTTTTGAATAATAATTGTCTCCGGATCGAGTGGTATAGGCTTGTGCTTTTCACCTTTAAGTAGTTCTGAATTCATAGCTTTTTAACTGCATTACTTCAGTAACCACCAAAGACTCTCATATTAAACCGTGAAACGCGGAGACGGAATTATCAGTACAACTGGTGAGGAAGTCATCCCTCATAACCCCTGATTAAATTTATGGAACCTGGGTGGATTTGACGCTACGGGGCCTACAACTTGTACGAACATGAGAACATTGTAATCATCATTTCTTCCGTGGCGGTTAGGAAACCAGACTTAATGCACTCCTGTATTAAGACAAGATAAGTTTGCGGTAGCACCATGTGAATAAATCTCTTTTGTGAGTATGAGTGGTTCTGAAAAGAACCGGAGGGACTGAACGTTTTGAACAGTATGCTCTGCCCGTCGTCGAAGAATGAGGGATTCCAACGATGATGCAATGTTATAAGGATGGGTGCGGTGAGGCGTGAGACTAGGATGCAAACTGGCGAAGCTCGAAACCGGCGAGGCTGAGAAGGATGCAAGTTGACTGAGGGATGCTGGATGATCACTGGAGCGTGTCAGTACACACCGGTTTCGAGCTTCACCAGTTTGCATCCTTCTCACGCCTCACCGCACCCATCCTTATAACATCGCGCATCATCCACCAGTCTCCCGACGACGGGCAGAGCATACTGTTCGAAACGTTGAGTCCCTCCGGTTCTTTTCAGAACCACACATACTCACAAAAGAGATTTATTCACACATGGTGCTACCGCAAACTTATCTTGTCTTAGTATCTTTCCACCATGCAAACCTTCAAATCTCATCTCACTCCTGTATTAAAATTTCCATAGATACCAGTGCTAAATGCCCATACCTCAAAATTCTTTTTAAAAATACTCAGAACGAACAAAATTTAGTTTTACTGTTTGTCCCAAATTGACTGTTAATCTTATACTATTGATTGTGCAAGAAGGAGAATTACGAAGAAACAAAGAATAAGATGTATGTATTAATATCTATTACGCAGTTATAAGTATAACTTTTGATCAGAAACTGATATTAAATCTGTGATCAAGCTTAATTTCTAAACAAATAATTACAAAATAGCTTATAATTCTGATGAAAATGCAAAGTAACTATATCTAATATCAAGAAGCTTCAACGGTGTTTTTCGTTACTCGGTTCTAAGTTTTTATCGTGTGTGGCAGGGCCAAATTTAACTTGTATTTTTTCAATGTATTTTTGTATGCTTTAGTATAGGAGTAGCCCCCCCGAGGAAATCCAGCGTTTTTATTAGATGTCCCCAACCCTTTCATAGCAGTGTATCCCCCTGATGAACTTTCCCCGGTAACAACTTCACATGGTATGTAAATTACCGGTACTCCCATGACTTTGGTTCCCCCGTTCCACCAAGACCATGTGCCCTGCCACCCTGTAAGACCACAGACCCCTCATGATCAGTAGCAGACCAGCGGCAGTGGAGAGAACACTAAATGTTTAAGCCTTTTTTCCCCCTTGATTTTTCTTGGGTGCGCCTTGCCCTGTGTGAGTGTTTTTCTGCTCGAGTTATTGGTGAGTTTTGATATAGGCCTACATGTGTATGTTTTTCTTTGTATTTCTCATTAAGTGTATTATTAAGTTTTTAGAAATTTTGATAGGTCTTAGTTTTGTTGAGTTTTTGACAAGTTTTACGCAGTTCACGAACAGCCTTGAAGAATTATCACTTGAAGTTTTGAGATTGGGTTTGGAAATCGCTTAAGGAAGGTTTGCTTGAATCTATAGATCAGGATCGTTAGAGTTCTGTTATTTTTGAGAAAAACTGTGTTGTCAGAAGTTTGATTTATTTCATTGACTTAATTTTGAGGAAAATGACTTGGGTTTTCTTGCCTGATTTTACTTGAGTGGTTGTTAGATGCATTGCATGGCCTTTTCAATTATTAGCTTTGATTATTTTTGCTGTAAGTTCTCTGATTTCTTTTGAACTCTGATTTTAGTGGTTGGATGGAAAATGTCTTTTCTTCATTACCTTTTTTGAATAATGTTTTATTCATGAGCTAGACTTGTTCAAGCTGTTCATTTACTGTAGATTTGCCTTTTCCTTTATTTTGTATTTATAGCCACCTGTTTCATTTATTCTTATCTGCTTGGACCTGTGCAAGTTTATTGTTAAAGAATACGAATTACCCCCTTGGTGATTAGTCCCACCTGGCATTCATGCAGAAGACAGTGATCACTGATTTTGGTGTTCTTGGCAAGACTGAATAGCACACCCACGTGACTTTGTTTATACATATATTATTATCTATCACTGTTTTTATCTCGCTCATTAAATATTCACAAGAGATTTTGGTGTTCTTGGCAAGACTGAATAGCACGCCCACGTGACTTTGTTTATACATGTATTATTATCTAGACCTAGTGGAGCTCGACTTTGTTTGCATTGTTTACTTGTTGCTTATTATATTCTTTACTCTCTTATCTTGTTTTACAGATTTTCTTCCAAAGTGTCTTGGGAAGGTCTTCTTATTATTACACACTGTGTTGGTTTAAGTTTTGAAGTTTTTGGTATTGGTTTTAGGGTTTTAGTTGTTTTTTAGGTTTTATTCTTTGCTTTTAGTTTCTGGTTTTGGGTTTAAGGCTTTTGTAAATAAATTCTTTTTGGTCCTTTTTGGTTTGAAATCTCGAATTGTGTCCCTTGTCTCTATTAATTCAATCTCCTTGCGCCTTTTCCTTTCAAAGATCCTGAGTTTAGTTTAGTTGTGGTAATTCCTTCCTCCATGGTTTTAGTGCGAGTCCCCCATACAGAGTGTCTATTTTCACGATTACACGTGCAGTACACAAAATATAACAGTTCTCACTACTTTACACCTATTTAATTACTTCTTACATTTTATTTTTATGCCTTTTTTCGGACAAATTTCGGACAAAAGAACGAATCAGACACAGTTTCCGACATCAAGATTGCTCCGCTGTATCTCGTAGTGTGCGCAGTCCTCGTCTTCACCAAACCCATCACTATCGACATCCGAAGCATCCACGAAGAACAAATGGCACGTCTGCCGTTCGCCGAAGTAGTTGAAGGACCGGCAGCGGCTATCTTGCAGGCAGAGGGCAGCACACTGGTTGACTTGTTTAGCCGGCAAAGCACGGAGCAGGGACTCGCTCTTCAGGCAGTAGTTGGTCAGCCTTCCGATGCCCCCTTGACGCAGAACCACTCTGTGTCTACTCACACGGGCTCGCTTTGAAAGACCTTATAATAAAGAATAGTGGGATGAGTAAAAACAACCAGGAAACCCAAATAGCAGGACCATTTTTGTAATGAAGTTCCAAAACAATTCACGCACATCCCTATGTAAATTGTTTTCGTTTTATTTTATGACTGGTGAGCGTTCCAAGCCTCAATTTAATATGGCTTAAAACATTGGGGTATGTTTCATCACAACATTTTAATTATTCTTCAGATCAGATTGGTATATTGTAATGAACTTTATTTCATTGTTTTCATTTCTACTTGCAAGTTCCAGAAATGAAGAGTTTGCTTCGCTTTCAATTTAATATGGCCGCCTCGTGAAAAAAATAGTCTATAACACGCGAGGAATCTGCTGATCATACGAAAATCAATCAAATGCGCCTGTGTAGGCTAAGTGACTGGAAGATTAATAAAATACGATGCGATCATCGTTACGTTAAAGCTTGTATTGATTTTTTTAAATATCAAGGTAAGGACAGGAGAATTCAATTTCCAAACTGATGGAGTTCGGCATGCATATTCGATCGGAGTATTACTGCCTTTATATAAACCCCAACCGGCCTTGGGGCTCCTGACACGTCAAAATGACCTGCAAGCCTAAATCGATTCTAATATTTCGACTTGCTAAAGAGGTCAAATGCGAATATCGAGTGCTCTTTCAACCTCATACCTCAGTTAAGGGCTTGGGATCGATGTTTGTAATTGTGCATATTTTGCGAGATATTAATTGAATTTTAGGCAGGATCGATTACTGTGTACGTTTTTCTTTGAAGGATGCCCGTTGAGAGCGTTCGAGTGCGGTTTATTTTTTGACAAGTGTATCACCGTAGTACATAATACAACTCATAGATATTGTATAGTCACCAACTTGAACGTACTGAGTGTTCGCATTTACCGAGTTGTAAACCACTTGGTTTCACTGTCTTGTGCAAAAAGAAACAACACTTTTTAAAAGTTGATTTGAGACCAAAACCGTAGCCAGACAAACTTAAGAAATCATCTTTATGATAGACATTTTGGAGATTGTGAGCTGAATACACACTCAAAGAATACTGGTCAGAGTGACCAGGAATCTAGGTTGTATTTGACCTAACCCTTTTCCGGGTCAAAAGTTACACTTTTCAGGCCAAAAGTGATACTTGCCTGGGTCATTTTTTTCTGGACTATTGTCTCTGGCTGTAATTCTCGTATGCCACACTTGATATGCTATTGAACCATACCTTCCTTCGCGGACACCGTCTTTGCTTTTGCCGTTGTCCTCGCTAGCGATTGCAGCGTGGTCGGCACTTCCACGGCCTCCATCTCGCAGATGAACCCTTTGCTGTTGGTGCAGGGGTTTTCGTACATGCCGTACGGTGGTACCAAGCGGTACAGGTTCATGCAACGGCTCGCATAGTACGGAGGGTCCGACGGACTACCGGTACGCCAGTCTAGAACGAGAGAACAGGACAATTTAGAAATCAGCATTGTGACGGATATGATTAGCTGTTTCTACAATTATGTTCACACTTTGACGTAGATGGGGGGAATAGGGAGGGGCATGGGGAGCTCCCTTGTTCCTGGCTTAAGTCATAATGAAGTGACTTTTCACTCGAATAGAGGGGATTTTTAATCAAGCTTTGTCGAGAACGTGTCAGTGCAGCTAAGTCATGCACCCTTGAAACAAAAGAAAATATATATCCATTCTTTTGATTCAGAGCGTTAAAAACACGGTCGATAGGTAATGAGTGCCCGTGGCCACATAAATATTCATTTTCCGCATTTAAACAAAAGAAAATGCTGGACAGGGGCCTGAATTGCTACTATAATTATTCATGTAACATTAAGCAGTTTTTGAAGCGGCAAATAATGCCTACCCCCCCCCCCCTTCTTCTTTTTAATTTTTCAAAGGCCATTGTGTGCTTTGCCCTCCCTGGAGGTTGTGTACGCACCCCCTCCCCCTTCCCAAAAAAACCCCAAATATACGGACCCATGGGCGTCGCGAGGGTGGGGGCATGGGGGACGCTTGCCCCCCCCCCCCCCCCCCCCCCAGTAAAGGAAAAAAACTGAAAAACGGGGAAAATAAGAAAGAAAAAGAGTAGCGAATCATATTGCTGTTAATTTAATGGGTTGGGGGCAAATGTCCCTGCCCACCCTCGAAAAAGGATAAATTGAGAATATGCTGGAACAGTACTGGGATGTCGGGGAGAAAATGTGCTTTTGCCCCCCCCCCCCTCTAAAAAAAAAGAAAATCCTGGTGACGCCCACGTACGTACCCCAGTAACCGACACTGCTCCCAGGATCAGACCGCGAGTAGCTAGAAGGGTCATCCGCACACGTCCACAGCTCTCCGGCACTAGTCGTGGAACACCTAGTCCAGCTGAACTTATGGTCTGTTGTAAAAAAAAAAAAAAAAAGGAAAAAAAAGAATTACCAGATATGTAATCAAGTTCATCACTTCTACAGGGTGTCCTGAAAATAATGGTACATGTAAACCCCGCCATTTTCACCAATTTACTACCGGAATTTACTGCAAATGTTTACACGATTTTGGTGGGGTTTACATGCCCCATTTTTTTTCAGGACGCCCTGTAAATCACAAAGTCGTATCAACAATCATTTTGCCTTGTACGAGGGACGCCAATGGCATCTGAGGCGAAGCCAAAAGTGTTATTTTTCCCATGGGAGTATGAAAATCATGGACTCTATCACAACAGACAACAAAGGTTTTACTTGTATTTTATTTTTTGGAATCTTTTATTTATTTCCGTCCCCGAGCTCTTTAACGCATTCGATTTTTTTTCTGTTAATATATTTTCATCTCGTATGTTCTACTCCAACCAAAGAAACCTTCCCCCTCCCCCTTTTTGATGTCTGCAAATATTAGAAGGGTTTTGTTTTGGGTACAATCAGATCCGTTTTGCAAGCAGATTGGCTGCCGGTCTGTGCAGAACGCTGACAGCCAATAATTCGAAATTGTAAAGAAATAATTCAATAACTAAACATGGGCCGAGTAATTCGGTTGATGTCTCTTTCAAAAGTGACTAAATTTTGTATATAGCTATATATATAAGAGCAAATTTAGAATAGGATTCTATTTTTTGGGATGAAACTCGAAAATAGCACGGGGAATGCATCTTTGGGTCCATGCAATGATTTTTTCTTTGAAACATATTTGTGTGCAGCTTCTTGCTCTTCTTAAATGTATGAAAAGTATTTGAAATCCCTTTTTGGTTTATTTTATTGAAAAGTTGTTCTTCTTAATAGACATTTAAAATTGTCCATGCTTTTCTGGACAACTGAGGGTGTTGTTGCTGTGATGTCATTTCAGGAAGACAATGTTCAGTTTGTGGGTTTTCTGTTAAAATTGTGAACCCAACAATTTGCTCATTGAAAACATTTATGAGAAAAGTTTGCTCAATGGGTTACTGCCATGTACAACCACAGCAACAAATCACCAAAGAAAATCTACAACAGCAAAGTATCCAAAATTCTGGCAACTTTTGGTGCAGATGCAGAAATAGCTGTAACATCTACATTGTAGAAATGACGTCACAATGTTGCTCATGAATATGGAAATTTGCATGAGCATAAAAACCAAGAAGGCACCAAAATATCCTTAAAAAATGGCAAAATGAAAATTGGCCTATATCACATGCATCATGGGTCCTACCCTGGGCGGAGTGACCTGATGCCCCTGGGGCATCAACAAACCTAATTGTTTGAATAAAAAAAACAATTTAGGGCCAATAACGTTCACCTCCTATCTAATCCTCATTCAACCCTTGCCAAATAAGCTGGTTCGATGAACTTTGCAGCCAGGGCTTCACCCAGGCCGTGTCAACAAACTTTCGACCAGGCCTCCTGCCAAGTCTCATTGAAACATCAACAAAGACCTGTAACTTGACACAGCCATCCCCCTTCATAACTGCATACCACAGCCGCCAGTCAATTATCTTTCCAGCGCACTGTCTGGCAACTGTCTGGACAGTGTCTGGCACGTGGCTTTTTGTTGTATCGCTATGAATAGGGTCTTGCGTAGTACGGGAAAGTACCTGGTGCCCAGAAGGCCGCTTTGACGAGTTGTTGTAAAGTTTTTTGTAAACGCTGCGCAGGGTTAAAAAATACCTCAAGGTCGTGCATTAGCTCAAGTATAGTACGGCGCGCGTGAGGTATGCTCGCAATCTCCTGGGTAGCGTTGCCCAAATTCTTAATACTATCTCTACCGCCGCTGCGGCATTTAATACCCCGCTTGCCAGGAACTCCTTTTTCAGGAGGTTGCAAAATTGCAATCATAAAGTAGTTTTTTGTTAAAACAAAACCTGCAAATTGAAAAAAAAATGAGGTAAAGGATCCATTTTATACGTGGAAGACAACTTTAATTATTTCTTATTTTATGGGGAAATCCCTTAAAGCTATAGTCCATCATTTGTAATTAGTGCATTTTGTTCGTTTGAAGCAACAAAAGTGTTCAAAATCCAATGAAGGATACTGAGCAACTAACCTGATGAAGTTTCAGCTAAGCTTCAGCTGTACATTCCGAGAAAAACAGCATTCTAAGATCTCAATTTCAAATCAAAAGTTACTGAATCATGTTTTGAATTGTTTTGAATTGCAGCTATACGCGACGTCGCGCACTGATCCGACGAATTACAACAACCGCGCGCGCGTGTGCGTCGTTCCAATACTTGTGCGCGCTGCGCTGAATAACAAAACGAACTACTAATTTAAATTTTCCTACGGTGCTTCTTAAGAATCACCGTTGGAAATGCCTTCTTTCGTTGATTACTTCAAAATGACAGCTTCCCAGAAAGAATAATTTCACAGGGAGTTTAGTTCCCTTACTATCTTTCAACCAAGTTTGTTTTTCAACAATAATTACGCCAGTTACTTTTCGGATGGCTGCAAATGATGGACTATAGCTTTAATTAGGTTCACAGAATAACGTCACCACTCAATATTGCAAGATTGATTCATAGATCCAGACCACTGCTTCACGCAATACGTTAACTGCAACGCCTCTTCCTCTCCCCTTCAAAAATCTTAAACTTCAACAACCCAGCCAACCCTGTGGAAAATCCTGCATCCGGCGCCTCTGCGCTCAGGGTATAAAGGGCAACACAAGGGGGGGGACTAGTTCAGAAACAGGATCTATAGCTGCTCCAACTGTTTAAGGCGAGTGGTTTAACACCTATACAGGGTGAGTAAAAAAAACACGAAACCCAAAGGCAGGACCAATTTTTGAATGATGTTTTGCCTGCAGCACTTTCAACATTTAATATAATTTATGAAAGCCCAATCAATGAGCTTTCTGTTAGTACAAGAGTCATTCAAATCACTCGTGTACTTTTCAAGTTATGGAATTTTAAACACAAACACCGTTTTAGGGCTCTGTCCACGGATCACAAAAAAATGGTAAGTGTTGTTTCAGCAAAACGAAAACAATTCACATGCATCCCTATGAGAACTGTTTTCGTTTTGCTGAAAGGACACTTATTTTTTTGTGATCCGTGGACAGAACTTTAAAACGGTGGTTGTGTTCAAAATTCTGTAACTTGAATTTTACATAAGTAATTTGAAAGATTCTGGTACTAAAACAAAGCTTAATGACCGGGCTTTCATATCCTAGATTTTGAAAGTGCTACAGGCAAAACTTTATTCCAAAATTGGTCCTGCCATTTGGATTTCGGTTTTGTTTTTTTGTTTTTGTTTTTGTTTACATTTAACTGACTCTGTATGCATAACACACTACATGTAGTCTGAGTATCACCCGTTATCCACGGAGCCAAGTCTCCTTTATGGCGTACGGCATGGCCTATTTATACGTAGACTATATAATGCATACCTCCAGTATTCTGCATCAAAGTGAAAGCAAACTCGTATTCTTCCGCGGTGTTTGTGACAATGAGATCTCCACCCAACCCTTTGCAGATCTCCCGCGCCTGCTCCCAGGGCACTTGGTACCAAGCCGAGTTCAGCGCGTAGCCAACGACGTAACACCTCCCGTTCAATGACTCCCATTTGTCGTCCGGACACCCTAATACCAAAATTGAAAGTGATTTCCGTGATTTAAAATAAGAAAATATATAACCATTATCTATTCGGTAGCTGAATGTAAAATTCATTTATATTTGTACAATTTAAAGGGCCTGTGAAATGTATTTTTTTAATGCAATCCTTGAAAATGCACTTTTGTGTCCCTGGCCCTTTAACCTTATTTTCAATTTTCATTTTGCCATTTTCAAGGGTATTTTGGTGCCTTTTTTGGTGCATTTTTAATGCTAATGCAAATTTCCATATTCATGAGCAAAAGTGTGATGTCATATCAGGCAGAAACCTCAATGTTGCAATTAGTTTATGCACAAAAAGTTGCCAAAAGTTTGGATATTTCGCTGTCGTAAACTTTTTTCATTAGCGATTGGTTGTTGTGTCAGTTCATGGCAGTAAACCAATGAGCAAACTTTTCTCACAAATGTTTTCAATGAACATTTATTTGGGTTCACTATTTCAACAGAAAAACACCTAATATGAACAGTGACTTCCTGAAATGACATCACGTTTTCATACACTTACGAGGATTAGAACGTAGCACAAAATATGTTCTAGAAATATTCACTTCATGACTTGATAAGCATTATAAAATGGTCATGAGAGCGCACAAAATTAATTTTATAGGGGCCTATTCACTGAAAGCCTTTTCGTGCATCTAGAATTTATGTGCTGAATTTGACTCATCGCGTATCGGAGTTCAGTTAATTCTACGCCGTGGCACTGCTATAGGCTCACATAAGTGACAGTCAGGGGCACGAGTCAGCATTAAAGTCACTCGACGGTCAGACAGTGAGATTGTTACAAACAGGACACTCAGCTGGACTCACCAATAAAAACAAAAGTCAGTGGGGATTTTCTTACCAATCAAGGCTGAGGCTGACCGGGAAATCACGCAGGTAAGAAGTATCCACCAAGATGATATTGCCATCATTCTCTCCAGTAGAGTGAAACCGTATCCTCTCAACACAAGAAGCGTGGCGCCGCGATGAATGAAAGTATCGCTGACAGGCCCTGATTATTATAGGCACAAATAGGTACTGTGCCTAAAATTCGGGAGCCTGCGCAACAAATTGAAATCAATGAAATTGCTGCTGGTGCCTAGTGTGGAGTAGGGCCTACCGAACACTGCCTGGCTTCCTATATGCAGATTACTATCCGGCCCTGATCGCTGATGAGCATTTATTTTAAAATGATTTTTTTTTCTCGGAAGTATCAATCATAGGCCTACGTCGTCGAAGACGATGGGTATCGATTTATATCGGACCCGTTTAGATGAGACCTCGAGAAAAGAGGCTTCCAATCAGCAAACGGAATTAAAATCCCATCAATTGTCCTCGTAAAAAAAATGACCTTAACCCGTAATTGAGGGTGTTATATCATATTTTTTTTTTCGTGCCGAGTGCATTATGAGTTCGTAGACTCATGTCTCGGCGGACGTTTTGACACAAAATTCCTGGCTAGCTAGCTTCCAGCACGGGTTGATCCGTCTGCATGTTTTTGTCAACCCCCCCCCCCCCCCCCCCCCCCCCCCCATCAATTGTCCTGGTTTATACAAATAATATTATTGGTCTGGTTTATACAAATAATATTATTTTCGGTATTTGTGGAGTTATCCTCCATAATTAAACGTATGCCGATTTTTTTCTTTTTCGTTCGATGTCTCATTTAAATGTTGATAACTTTTATATTGCTAGATAATTAGCAATTACGGACAGACAACTTTAAATCGGTTCCCAGAAATTAAGTTCCATCGCTAGATGCGGGCCGAACTGTCAAAGGGCAAGCGCTGACCAATCAGAAGCCCCGGCTTTTCCGCACCACGGCTGTCATCAGAACAGCTATCAGAGTGTAGTTCGTGTTATAAAAGTCGGGTGCCACTTCTGTCATTATGCTCGATCGCCTATTCAAGGGGTCTGGGTATAAGTTCCAATAAAGCACAAGAAATTCATGTGTGATTTCCTGAACGACTTGCAAGTTGGACGTGCAGTCAACGGGCATTTTTGTCACTATACAAAGAGTTGTAACACAGTAAATTGAGCGAAAATGTTGATCAAAGTGAAGGTGGGTGATCCTTTTACACATCGAATTTATTGTACATGTTTGTTTGCACTGGTTTGCACTGAAATGTTTGATTCAATGATTTCAGCAATGTGCATGATTTACAAATTAGGCCTACAGCAACCACGGCATTCATTCATTGTGGGGGGGGGGGGGGGGGGTAGACCCGTAAACAATGCGGTACTACTACACTAGTCGTCATGTGTTGTTGGATAGTCCATGGAGGAATTCCTCCATGGATAATCTAGACATTATTCAAAAGCCTGGATAGATGTAGAAAGTCATTCCATCTATAGTCACGAAGTTTAATGAGAACCTCCTGAAAAGTTGCGTTTCCTGTTGGCCTAGGCCAACTAGTTGAAATCTCTAGAGACTTTGTTTTACTTGATATTTGCTATTTTAGTATTTAAGCTACTTACTGTGTGAATAGCTTCTGACAAACTCCCCCCAAAAGTTCCCCTGAAAGTTACAGGATAACTAGATCATGATGATTGTCTAGACAAGATTGAGGTACTGAATAAGGTGTTTCACGGTAATATGCGCCATCTTGTTCACGGGGCAGAACGAACACGCGTTGCTAGACGCGGGCGTATTTTGAAATGACCGCCTGACCGCATGATGACTTGGAAGTGCCAAAGCTTTCCAAAGCTCCGTACATAGCAATGCGTGTAAAATTGCCCCCCAGGCAAGATGGTGCATATCGCCGTGAAAAGAAACACCCCTTGACTTCATCAGTCAAGAAATATGTTGAAGAAAAAAATGAATATTGGACAATGTGGAAAAAACCTGTCATTCTAAGGCATTATTTAGAATTAAGGACTCTCTATAATACTAATAGGCCACTGGACTAGACTTTGTCACTTTTGTACAGTAATATGCGCCATCTTGCCTTCGGGGCAAATTTACACGTGTTGCTGTGTACGTAACGTCCATCGAAAACTTCTGCACTTTCAAGTCATCTGCATTCATTCCGAAATGCACCCTTGTCTAGCATCGGGTATTCTTTTTTGCCCCGTGAACAAGATGGCGCATATTGCTGTGAAAGTGCTTTTTGAGGACAGCTTCACTGCAGCATGTCCCGTGACTGCAGTAAACAACTAAATACTGATTCTGGTAGTGTTCCTTTAATCACATGTATTTCAGTAAAAACATAACTGAACACCAATTTTTTGTTCTTTTTGTTACAGACACTGACTGGCAAAGAGGTGAGTCCAACATTTTTGGTTGATGAGATTTATAGGACGTCTGTATGGCGCATGTAATCATAGAGCAACATGTACAATGTAGCCCCATAGAACTAAATTGCATAGATACATCACTTAAGTAAGTAAGCACAATAGCTATCAAGCACTGTTGGAAGGAAAAAGAGGCAATGTCTTTGCACAATACTTGTTATCTATCCTGCAGATTCACTCCAGCTTTATTTGCGATAATTTTATGTTTTTTGAAAAACTTTTGCTTTCTTTTTCAGATTGAAATTGACATCGAGCCAACAGACAAGGTAAGCACAAATTATAAATAACTATTCTATTACTTCTCAATCAAAAACATCTGAAAATTCTGGCTTTTAGTAACTTTTCCAGGGAGCTGCGGGAGAACAGTTCTGACAGGGCTACCCTGGTCAAATAAAACAATAACTAAAAAAAAAAAATCATTTCTCCTCCCAGTTCAGAGCAGGGTGAGGAGCATAGGCCTCAAGGAGGGAGAATGAAGATGCCCCCCCCCCCCTTTCTTAGATAATTTTCAGTTCATGTCTCACATAACAACTCTTCATTTTCCACTTTTGATTGTTCCAGGTTGAAAGGATAAAGGAGCGAGTTGAAGAAAAAGAAGGCATACCTCCACCTCAGCAGAGACTCATCTTTAGCGGCAAACAAATGTAGGTATCACCACAAGAAAGAAACAGGAAAAACAGCAGGAGTACTGTTAATCAATCTAGAGATTTTGGTGCTGGGCTAGTGCTTTTTGACCTACACGAATCTAAACTGGTGGTCTAGGGACACAATTTCTTTTGTTTGTATCAAGTCTTCATGACTTCCTGTCATAGTGATATTGGTGCAAATGAACCCTTTTTTGTTCTGCACATTCACTGGATGTTGGTGCTTGCATAATAAGGCCAAAAAAAAAAATAAGTCGGTCTCTGGTCAGCGCGCGCATCGATTTTAATCATGCGCGTCGATCTTTTTTTTCCCAAAATGTTCCGTGGTAGCTCCAACAGCGCCCTCTATTTCCGCACCTCCTCAATTTTTTTACCAAAGAGCACCAAGGAATGGGAAATTGCACCAAGGCAAATGATCGAAAGCACCAAGGCAAATTATGGAGGACACCAATGTACATGAGGACACCAAAAAAGCAAAATAGTACCCACCTTGTCTGTACAATCCAAGCTTGAAGAAAGAAAAAAAAAGCAAAAAAAAAAAAAAAAGCCACGTGGCCGCGTCAATTCCGGAACTTTGGTCTGACCAGAGACCGAATTTTTTTTTTTTTGGCCTAACAAACCCAACACAAGTATATATGCCGTAACCGATCATGATCAGGTACATCAGCTTGTCAAGGATATCCTTAAATGTTCATAAACTCATGAACATTTAAGGATATCCTATATCTACTCATAGATAGCAAACTGCCCTCAACTGTTCTTGAAACAACTCTTGGATATTGCAAGATCAAGATTTACATAAAAAGGGATTGGTAAAAAAAAGGTAAAAATGTCCAAGATGCAATATTGGTAGTCTCTAGGCCTCTCACACTATTCCAAACCAGAGATTAATTGGGATTGGGAACACCTTTCACAGTAGTAAGAATCAAACACATGGCTCTACAGGGGTCTAGGTCCGGCCCTGGTCAGGACCAGGCTTGAGAGGCTCTACCTAAGAAAATCTAAAATCTGCAGCCAATTAGTGCACAACCTGGTTAACGCAAGTGTGAACGGTATGCCTTGCCTACCCATACCTGTGTTTGCTGGTCCCCAAAATAGTGGATCCATGTTGATTTCAACAAGGGTAGGCGAGACAACAGTGTAAAAAAGGGCTTATTACTTGGAGTACATTGTAGCTCTGGCAAAATATCACTTAATAAGGTAAGTTTATACCTCTGGTTCTTCTCAGAACCATTCTCTTAGTTGAGAAATTATTCGCACATGGTGTTTCCGCAAACCTTTCATTATTTAGTATCTCCACCATGCAAAGCCTCAAATCTTACTTAATGAGGTAAGTTATTGCGGTAGCACCATGTGGCAAAATCTCTTCTGTGAGTATGTGTGGTTCTGAAAAGAACCGGAGGGTATGCTCTGGACAGTATGCTCTGCCTGTCGTCTGGAGACTGAAGGATTCCAACGGTGAAGTGGGGTTATATGGTGCCTGGATGCGATGAAGCTTGAGAGGGATGCAAACGCGGGGGGACTCATGTAGGCCGTGGGATGCAAGCGATGAAGCGTGAGAAGGATGCAAAATGAGGGCGCTCAGTATAACCCCACTTCACCGTTAGAATCCCTCATTCTCCTGACGACGGGCAGAGCATACCGTCCGAAGCGTTGAGTACCCTCCGGTTCTTTTCAGAACCTCGCATACTCACAAAGGATGATTTGCCACATGGTGCTACCGCAACAGCTTACCTTATTATTACCCTTCACCATGCAAACCTTCAAATCTCAAAATATTACTCATTTGTTAGATTGGGTCAGTATCTTTAATCTTTCGTCCTCATCTCTGTATTTAGGAATGACGATAAGACAGCTCAAGACTACAAGGTCCAAGGCGGCTCGGTGCTTCACCTCGTCTTGGCCCTGAGGGGAGGGTTGCTTTGACCCACAGCAACTGATAGAGAACTTGGATGCAAATGCCCCACAATCAACTGCGCATCGATCGCTACTCAACTAAAATGTGGGAGTGGCTTGGAGGGGTAAGGGGGGAGGGGATTGTCACACAAGAGGCAACAGCTTTGAAATGTTATTTTCATGATTAATACAGCATGCATCTGTGTATGTAGTGGCCACAATGTTAAACCATCCCTGATTAACTTTTTTTTCGGCAGCCATATATATTTCAAGAGTACTTCCATCAGGGGAATGTTTGCCTTTTGAAAAGATTAAGCCCCAAAAATTTAAGCAGGCCACAGCTTTGTCTAGAACTACGTGGTGGCTCTTAGTAAGCTGCTTGCTCGATGCATGTTTAACCCTATGGAATTATTGCAGGGAAACTCCTGAATCCTTGAAAATGCTCCACTGTGCCGAAAACCAGTGAAACATTCTTTCGTGCTTCTCCTTCCAAGGGCAATAAAATCCCTTGAAGAATAACAGTAGCTTAGCTTTACCTCCCTCAATCCTACAAAATCCTCCAAAATATTCCTGGTGGATTTTGAAAGATGGGAAGGTTTAAGGTTTGAATATTGTACAGATACAAAACAAATAATGTAAACAAAACTTAGATGAATATTGGATAAGATTAAACTCTGCTAAAGGAAAAAAGAAACATTTTTATTACTTTCTTGAAGTGATCAAATTTGTCCAGAAGTAAACTTTGCCGGATATGACTCTCGAACTCTGTCTGAATTAAGTGAACTGTTTATTTAGATTTAAGTGTTTATTTACACTCTGATTTTTTTTTGTTAAAGGTCTTTTGGAAAAAATTGACTTTGAACAAAATAATAAGACATTACGTAAATTTTTTTTTTTTGAGGGAGGGGTTCATTATACATATTTTTTCAAATAAACCAAAAAAGGAAACTGACTAGGTTCACCAAAATAATTTTAAAGTTGAGCAACTTTACGGCTTTTCACTAGCACCCCTTGAACAAAGACATTGACAGAATGGGGAACCGTCAACAAGGGCTGGATAGCTCAGTTGGTAGTGCACCTGAACTGCAATGCAGAGGTGGCAGGTTCAAACCCAGTTCCAGTCAATTTCTGTGTTCAACTTTAAAATGATAATTTTTGTTTTCAATGTGATGTTGTAAACATGGACAGGCATTCTATTAAAGAGGTAGCAATGAGGTTTAAACCAATTTTTATAAGACTGTACTTGTTAGGTTTTTGTGCATGACAAAGTTAAACTCTATATTCATTCAAGTTGAATGACCATATCCATTGCAAGGGAAGACTGCTGAAAGTGAATATATACATTTTCGGAGTGAACAAAAGTTTTGGGATTTGAACCCAGAACTTCCAGAATACTGTTCCAGTGTTCTACCTTGTAATTCTTGCTTTCTATAGCAAAGACATTGACAAGTTTGGGCACCACTGCCAATGTTGGGCCTATTACCTACAGCACCAGTACAATAATCTAGATGTTTGGGGTTCGATTCCCCACCTTTTTTTCTACGTTTTCTCCAAAGAAGAAAGAGAAGTTTAATACAGCCCAGTGTTTGTATGTAGAGACATTTGTAATTGCTTAACTGTGCAAGACATTAAATAATATTTGTTTAAAAATATGTACACGTTTTGCCGCTTTTTGTTTAATAAATTATTGAACTAAAATCTGTCATGAGTTTGTACTAATAGTTGATTTATTGAATTGTGTATTCTTCTCAGTAGAACTGAGATTTGTGTATTCTTCTCAGTAGAATTTTGGGGGGTTTCGTCTTTTTCAGATGATAGATATGAGCAAGTTATTTTTCAGAAAAATTAGTGTTTTAAAAGAGGTATATAAAGGTATGTGGGCGATCACACGGCAAAGTCTGATAAAACAGTCGAGCTATTTTCTGTGGATCATGGGTTCATTGTTTAGACATACAATGGACATGTACACCACACCTTCCGGTTATGGGTATACCCAGCACGACATGTGACAGAGGGGTACTCCCCCCCCCCCCCCCATCTCACACGTCACACCCTAGACTATTGTTACCTAACACATCCCCCTAGATATCTCAAGAATTTCTGCGATTCTGATAACGCAGTGACCAACACAAAATAAGGGGGGAGGCCCTCTGTCACATATCGCAATACATTATGGTTATGGTGCGTATTGCTATAAACCCCCCCCCCCCCCCCCCCCCCCCCCCCCGGGCCCTTAGTCCACAACCCGTGCCAAATTTTACATCTGGCGTAAATTCATGAATTTGCCACTGGTTCTTATCTGACACGCAGCTCATAACAATATATCCGTCAGCCAATCACAAGCTTTGTTTTTTGACTGTCTTTTACAAGGTCCTTTGCGCTACAATCAATTTTGAACGTGTATATGATGTTAAAATAAGTTCGCGGGAATCAATCAGTCGCGCGCGCCGCAATTTCAGGACAGGACGTGTTATTATAAACAACAGAAAAATTATACGATATTGTGTTCAAATAATATAATCGGCAGGATGCCTCGCATTGACACTGATATCAAGCTGGACTTCAAAGATGTGCTTGTGAGGCCGAAAAGAAGTACGCTGAAAAGCCGATCTGAGGTGAGAAGCGCCACGGGCACGGCAGCGGCACGGGCCACGGCAGGCCGGCCGACCGGCCGGCCAGGCGGCGCCCGGCGCCCGGCCCACTGACCGGCAGGCAACATGTCATGTAGTGATGTAGCTTGAGTAACTCCATCTCTAATGTTTATCGCATAGCATTACAGCTGGAGTTACTAAAGCTAGTAGACAGAGTAGTGATGTACATTGTAGAAGCACGTTATCACTTTCACTGTTTTCAGGGTAAAAACATCATTGTTACCCTAGCTTGAGTAACTCCAGCTGTGACATGCTCATATTCATTCACATGTGAATGAATATGAGCATGTCAGCTGGAGTTACTCAAGCTATTGTTAACCATGGCATAGCCTACTGCATGTGTTAATGTACATGTAGTCCGAGTAACTTGGACCATGCTTGGACCCAACTTATCGCCTTTTTTAACATTCGGACATCGGTCTGGTGATAGTAGGGTCCAAGCTAATCTGTTTAGGCCGAGCAATACAATTCTGTCATTGACCCAAAAACCCAACATTGCCCAACAAAAACATCAGATTTCACCCTCAAAACGGCCTCCAAATTACCAGATATGCCACCTGAGGTAGACATCCATGATTAAGATGGTTGTAGGCCTACTGAAGTTTACTTGCGATCCGGATGAAAAGTGAAATTTCCCATTCAATTCTGAGAGCTCCCCTCGCGATCGTGAACACGTTAAATTTCCGACTCGAGTTTGAAAATGCGATGTGGCGTGCCCAGCGCTCCTTCAATGGTCCCCGTATCCCGAGTGCGATTCCGTTACCGAGCGCGATGCATCGATTATGATAATGAGCAGACTGGATCTCGTTTTTAAACACAAGTGCATTTCAAACGATGATAGGGAGTCAGGAACTAGCTTGAACTGGTTTCCGCTGATAGCTGCCCTACATGTAATTCCTGACTCCCTATCAATCATTCATCATTCGAAATGGACTCCCTATCGTGTAACAATGGGCTTGCATGATTGGTCAATCGTGTGAGAATGGGCTTGCATGATTGCTCAGTCATGCAGGAATGGACTTACTGTAGGCCAGTTTTCATTCTTCTTTGTCTTTTTTCATTGTCATTGAATTTAAACAAAAAAAGATATCAAAAATTCTTGGATATTCTCCAAACTTTCAGGCTACATTGAAATCCATCTACCATTTGAACAAAACCATTCAAACAGGAATTTTAATGATGCTAAACAAAAGTTGCATAGTTAACATTGACCTGTTTATTTATAAAAGAGGCCTACTCAGAATGTCCCCCCCCCCTTTTTTTTGTAGGTGGATTTGACACGATCCTTCATCTTTCGTAACTCCAAGAAGACCTACGATGGCATCCCTGTCATGGCTGCCAACATGGACACTGTGGGCACATTTGAGATGGCCAAGACGCTGTCTAAGGTATGGTTTAAGAACTTGATAATAACAGCCTTAATCATTGGACACAGCATGTGCCAAATGGGGTCGGGAAAAATGAAGGAGGAGGCCCTCCTTTTTTTCTCCAAGATGGCAGATTTTCCAAGATGCCAGATGGATTCTTCCATTTTCTCACCTCTTTTACTGATACAAAATTTTGCCCAAAGGAGCTGTTACCCTTTCTACATACATGTACACGTACATTTGTGTAGCTGCAGTTTTGTTGGAAACAAATAATAAGACAATAATAGTGACAAAATTTGCTAAGTATACTGCAATGGTATAAATTTAATTTTTTTTTTTTACAAATGTATAAGGAGGCGGGCTGGGAAAAGGAAGTGGGCGCCTGGGCGGAGATGAGAAACTGGTTAATTATTTTATTGGCGTAAGCCAAATTGACATTTCATTTATGCGTGCGCCAACTCTAGTACCATGTTGGATTAAATACGTCTCGCAGTCCAATACATGGCAAGCTTACAACGTCACATGGGTTTGTTTAACCACTTCGCGCTGGGTATATTGTTGCCGAAAAATTTCGAAAATTACAAAAGGCAAAATTTCCCAGCCAACAATTGTACAACAGTAGGCTGTGCACAACGGCCCACACAACAGCCAGCACGCGGTCCACCTCCACAGACTACATGGACTTTGTGTGTGTGTACAAAAGGCACGAGGGATTAATGTGCTTAGACATCACCCGGAGGCGAGTCGAGGCAATCTTGATGTCTTAACCCGTCAGCTGTGCCTGTGCACAAAAACAACCAGTGCGTTTTAACACGGCCTCTGGGGAGAACTGGTTAAATAAAAATTCTTTCCCTCGATTCTTTGTCCACACAAAATATTAATTTAGCTTGTAACACAAGTAGAAAATGATATTAATCAAATTTACAAAAAGTTATGTATCGGCAAACTTTAAAAAAATTTAATAATAAATGCACGTGTAGTTGTTAAAATAATAATATGATATTCTTTCTCACCATTTAGTCAATGAAATGTGTTGTGTTTTCAGTGGAGTTTTTGTTTTTATTTGTTGTAGCGTGGCTTGTTTACCTGCATTCACAAGCATTACACTACAGAGGAGTGGAAGCAGTTTGCAGCTCAAAATCCTGACACACTAAAGGTACACTCAATACACTAGTCAAAGTTTTTTCAAAGGCACATTCATGTCAACCTCGTTTCCAGGGCTTACTTTATTTTCAACATCGTTTCCAATAGTAAGTCTGACATCTTGCATCACAACCTTAATTTCACGCTTGCACGGCAAACTGGATGATGATGCCTAGCGGCGATATCCAGTCAACTTTCTGAGATTCTGAGATTCTGAGATTCTGAGTAAGCCCAGGATAGGAAACTTTCTTCCTGTTTCCTGATTCGAAACCGCAATTGGCAAGTCATGGATTTATATCTTGTACTTGGTGTTGTTATTTCCAACGTGCATTGCATGTTTTCACGTTTATTGTTATTATTACGTCCACACCTTCCCAAAAAATACTCCTTTCCTTTCCAATTCGCTCATATTAATATGAAATGTGATACTGCATATTGGCAGGATACATTGTAACATTTGAACTTTGGAAAAAAAATATGGATTTGTTTTTTTCGAAACTCACACCGCGAGGAAATGATTTTGTTTTTACTACAGATGTAAAGCACAGGCAGGCACCAGACTATTCCTCATTGCATACGTATCCAAATATTTTGGATTTGCAAATTATGCAATAAACCAGGGTGAGGGAGCCGATAGTGGTGGGAGCGTACTGCTCAATACCCTGGGAACGAGGTTGCGTACATGTAGGATCATGTGCATTTATCCCAAAAGTAAAATGTAATTGAAAAGGCTCACTTGGATTAAAGATCGTACTGGTACTAAACACCCTGTGAAATTATTCCGACTAGCTTGCTGTCGTTTAGAAAAAATCATGAAACGTAGGTGATTTCCAATAATCAGCCAATTGACACTGTACTGACTTCCCCCTGCAGTACATAGCATTGAGTCTGGGTACCAGTCAGAACGACGTCACCAAGCTGTCCGAGATCGTTGCAGCAGTACCGGCCATCACTTACTTGTGCCTGGATGTTGCCAACGGTTACTCGGAGATGTTCGTCCAGCTCGTGAAGGACATCCGAGCCAAGTTTCCTGAACACACAATCATGGTGAGAGAATTGCCCACGGCCAAATGCACAAAGTTGTATTTTTCATTCATTACCAGCTAAACTAAATAGCTGGTCTTTTCCATTGTCACATGAAATTTGGACTCCTATGAAATCTAGTGCCAGTACGGTTTTATTGGTTGAACGTTCACAATCCTCATGTACATGTAGGCATTCACAATACTACCAGAGAGTCAGTGTTTCATAGTCCTAAATTCACACTTTATCGGCACAGCTAGGTTCTGCGGCGCGTTGCACGCGCCAATCTCCATATGGGCCATTCCATTCAGTTACTCACATTACATTTTTGATGTACTTTTGAGTTGCCTTGGGCTGTAATTACCTTACTGAAAAGGTTTAATAACTGTTATCCCCATGGTAGATAGAGTAGACCTAGACCTACCTAAGCACCAAAGATGACATCCAGAAAAAACTGTTATGTATGATAAACAAGACGCACAAAATTGGTTACTCACGTTACGAAAATGTAACGTGAGTAACCGAGAGGGCCATAGCATATCATAGCATAGCTATAGGGGTGTTTCGAAAAAACATAAAGTACAGTAAATTTGTTGAACAAAATCATTGGAAATTTATAATTTTTAAATGTTTTGACTTTTGGACAGAAAAAAATTGACTTTTTGACCAAAGAGGTATTTCTGAATGGGAATAGATATGTACTTGGCAGGTATTAAACACTTTGTTTAAGACTGGTTGGAGTCTGGATGCTGATAATTTATACTCAGACTCCAACAGTTCTTAAAAAATAGTGTTTAAAACTGGCCAAGCACACATTTATTCCCTTAAAGGGAAAATACAACATTTGCAAACATCAAAAAATAAAACTACCAAATCATTTTGAAATACCTTGCTGGACTGTTACTTGTTAGTGAATGACAGTGTAAAGCATCCTGTAAAATCATGGCACCTGGTATACTGTCATTTCAAGAAAAGTGGTATTTTTGTATCAATTTCCAACGCTGGTCGGCCAACCAGCATTGGAAAAAAACTGGCTTTTTTCCAAATACTGGCCCCAATTGACCATCGCACTTGTTTGCAATCGATTACACACCTATGAACAGGTACAAGCCAGCTAGACTGGTTCCCTGACCTTACAATTCCCCAATGTATGTAAACTGCTCTGTTTCTTCTTATATGGAGTCAGGGAACCAGACTACAGGAAAATGATTGTTTTTCTTGGTTTTTATAGCATTTTCGAACCCAAAACCTCAAAAAAGTCAGTGTAACTATATTTGCTATATATGTCCAACCCCCAAATTCCATCCATTTCTGAAAATTACAGCAAAAGCAAATGATGTATATTCCCTTTAATAATAATAATGCATATTTATAATACGCACGTATCCACCACCAGTATTTGTGCTCCAGGCACTACATCATTATTATCCTGATCATTGGGCCAATTAAACATTCCAAAGATACAATCAGCTCACTGGAATATATATATACAGCTTGATGCTGCCATTTCAGCGCAGAACAGCTAAAAAATCAACCACTATAACCATCTCTGCCCTCACAGGTACCCACTTACTCCTGGGTGGAGAGAAGCAAAGAGTGACAAAGTGCCTTGCCCAAGGGCACAAGCACCATAGCTGCAGGCTGGACTCGAACCCACAACCTGCAGAATTACCCGCAGACCACATGTTAAGGCATGTGCAGAGGAAAATAATAAATTTAGTAAATAAAATTCCCAGTGTGAAACTACTTTTTTCTAGCAATTCAAAAGTTATTAATAAGACATCGACTTTTGTATGAGAACTTGAAAAATTGGCCTATTATTTTAATGGAATAATTACATTGCAAAATTTCAACAATTTTATGGACAGCCCGAAAATAATTCAGTTCACAACCCCTTTTAGGATTGAAAATGTAAGGATTGAAAATGTGGGGACCGAGGCCAGTCCTCTTCCAGGGAGGGGGATCTTTTTGTGCACAAAGATAAACAGAGAAAAATTAATGAATTTTCAGAGGGTTGTATATGCCTTAAAACAGAAAAATTAGTTTTTCATTAATACATAACATGAGTCTAAAATTTGACGGTAGAATAAAAAGTCAAATTTGTTGAACAGCAAGGAATATTAATTTAATTGAACCGCCAAAAGTCTGAGCCTTTGTTTGAGCGCATGTAATGCACATTTTTATGTACATGAAATTCACAGAATAACATCTGTCTATTTTGTACTGTGAGGTTTCACTGGTTTATTAAGAGAAGCCCAGCTCCCTCGCTGAAATGTCAAATGGTGCAGAACACATCCATTATCCCATTAGTATGTAATTGGGTTCGTCTGCCGTGCGGCCTCAGACTCGCATTTAAAAAGCACAAAATATTTTGACTCATCACAGTGTAGTTTTAAAAACCCATCAACAGTACTAAAAAATTCAGACACCAAAACAATTTATTTTCCAACAAGGATCATTGCCACAATGTACTTGTAAAAAAACAAAATCAACGAAACATTCAAAATTTAGAAAAAAACGGTCGTTTATCAAATATTTCTGCTCTCCCTGTGTTTTAGTTCCCGTCACTTTCCTGTGGATGTTAAGCACTTTAAAAGAATGACTGTTCATGTTTTGAAAACCAAATTGAAATTTAGAAAATGTAGACTATACAAGTTTCCAATTTTACATTTGGGCAATGACCTTTCCATGATTTCAGCCAAGAACACCTGCTGAGGTGGAAATTTGAAAAACCTGGCAAGAATCACAAACAGGTACATTGTCATACTGAGTACATAAACAAATCTTAGGGGAGGGGGTGGGGGACTTTTAGGGGCCCACGCCATTCAATAACGTGCCTCAGTGGGATGTTTTCAGAGCTCGGAGTAGTAGATTGCAGCCATGAATTGTAATTGACTTGAAACGGAGGGAAGTAGAAGGTTAATGAACTTCTTCTAAAATGTCAAGGTTCAAGGCACATACAATCATTTGCATATATCTCAAAAGTAACCTAGCAAATTATTATCAAAATGCTTATTTGGATGAAAGATTTGCTGGTCCTAAACACCCTATGAAATTATTCTGTCTGGCTTAAAAGAAATCAAGATATGTGTAGGTGATTTCCTACGATCAGTCACGGTCAAGTGACTGAAGAGTTCTATCGACGAAATCATGATCAAAAGGTTGTGCATGTTTTTTTTCCCACTGTTTTCTCGAAAAAGCGTCATTTTCACTGAGCTGAAACATCAACAGGTTGGGGTTTGAACATTTTTCATTGGATTTTGAGTGATGTTATTTAATATTTGACACAAAAAAAACATGAAAAGCAAATGATCGTATATGTGATGCGATCAAGCGAAATGAGTCGTTTGTCAACACTGGTCATTGTTGTTTTGTTTTTTACCGATTTGAACCATCTTTAGTTCAAAAATTATGGAAGTCTGAACACCAAGAGATGTGATGAAGTGATGTGATGAAGTGGCCCTATTTTGGCCTGAATCTCCAAATGAAAATTTTCGACAAACAACTCATTTAGCTTGATCGCATCACATATGCATTTCAATGTAGGCCTATCGTCTTTGCAGAACTTGAATTTAGTGATTTTTTGGGGCTGTTTTTAAAATCTCATAAAAAAAGTAGAGCATAAAACAAAGACATTGTACAAAGTACATAAATTATGAAAACTAAAGTTAGGGAAATAAAATACTTAAAAAAGAAAACTTGTTTAAACATTAAAAATCATTTGAAGACAATGTTTGGACACTTGTTTCTGAAAAAAAGAAAGATGCAACTTATTCAATACACTGTTTGACAGGCATGAGATTTTTCAGTCTTTTGTTTGAAATCAGACTTGTTGAATCTGAGAGAAAGACATTAACAGTATAGAAAGAAATTCATCTTTCTGACCTTTCATCCAGTTTTCAGACTTTTTGTTAAAAATGACAATCTCATCCTTGATGAACATGTCAAAGAAGGGGACAGTTTTAAGTTAGGTAAGAAATCATTTTGTAACCGTCCCATTTATTATATAAATAAGACAGAAAAGACAATTATTCTATATGGATTCATCTGTAAAATATTGGTTTCAGAACCCACGCATTCACAGCAGCTGCGTGTTCTTAATTGCGCATCAAATTGATCAAATCACGTGCAAATATTGTGAGCGAACCAATGCAGGACTGCATGCGTAGGTCATTAAGTAAAGCTTACGTGTGCCTTCACCGCCCACATTGGCAAACAGCCTCGCCGGACAATTTAATTAAGAATTAGAAAGACTTGGCAGCGAAATAGGAAGCCTAAATATCCATTATTGACATCCAGCTACACGGTAGAAAACGTAGTTGAGTTGCCATGGTCACTCAGTAATAAATGAGCTCAGTTCAATCAAATCAACGGACAGAACACTGTCAGCAAAACAAAAGGCAAATTAATTTCTCCCATTTTCCCTTCAAATTGTTCCCCATTTTGTTTCCAAATGATCTATTTGTAATTATAAAACAACAGTTGGACACATGAATGGTGCTTGAACTGCATGTATCTTATACATGTAAGATGTATCTCACATCACACATAATTGCAAGATATAAAGATTTAGAGTACTTTGCATTGCTTTTTGCATGGTTCCTTTAACATTCTTATATTCCTGTCTCAATGCACATGCATGTAAATATGGGACCATTGAATACAAGCTGTGCTTTCTAAATGGATCCCACTGCAGTATCACAATTACTTTGCATCTAGATTTCTTAACACATATTATATTTTGCATCAATTTTGTAAAATTTATTTAGTAAAATGGTACATTTGTATTTGATTTTCTCTAAATGATATTGTAATTTTTGTTTTGATACTGAGGAAATAAACAAACCTGAAACCTGATTCAGTAATTTATCATATCTTGAGACAAACACATTTCTTTTATCCCCCCCCCCCTTTGACTTCAAGATCATCAGTAAAATATGTTTGTGAAGGGCAAAACACAATATAAAAATCTTTAAATCGTGGTTGAACATGGCTTTCCTTGCAAGTTTGAAGCCAATGATACTTGTACACCAGTGCTTCAACAAAAATGCACATGTATATATTTACCTTTTTTTTCCATTTTGATACATTTTAAAAATGTCTCTGCAGGCTGGCAATGTTGTAACTGGTGAGATGGTTGAGGAGCTCATACTTGCTGGAGCTGACATCATCAAGGTCGGCATTGGACCAGGTAATCAGATCAAACAGGATTTCAACTCTCAAGAGAAATTAAGTTCGATTTTCAGATTTGTTGATATTTGTAATCTTTGATATGTCTACTACACATGTTCTAAAGAAAACTTATGAAAATCATGGTATAAAAGGGTTTTTAAGAAAAAACAATTGGCATCATTCACTTTCATGACCAAACGAGTCAAAACTTTAAATGCCCATTTTTGGTTCGAGTCCCACCTAACAATTTTTTTTTTTTGACAAGCGGTTGGACATCACTGAGTACACAGTTCTTGTAAAGTTACAACTGTTAGCGAAATTAAAAGCGACATCTCCCCAATGCAACTTTTCCATCCAAACTCGGTATTGTTTTCCCTTTTTGTGTTCAGGATCTGTCTGTACTACCAGGAAGAAGGCTGGAGTGGGCTACCCCCAGCTCAGTGCTGTGCTGGAGTGTGCTGATGCCGCACATGGACTGGGAGGTCATATCATCTCGGTAAATAATACACAAAAATCAGGTCTAATGCCATCAGCATAGGGCTCTGTGCAGGTTTGCGGTTTGGGTATTAGAGTTGATGTGAAGTCCTTCACTAGTCAATAATAATAATAATAGTAGATATTAATAAAGGGCATGCATCCACCAGGACTGGTGCTCAAGGCTACATCATTATTACCCCTGCTCATTGGGCACATGAAACATTCCAAATACCATGTCAGCTCCCTGGGGAGTATACAGCTACATCATTATTACCCCTGCTCATTGGGCACATGAAACATTCCAAATACCATGTCAGCTCCCTGGGGAGTATACAGCTACATCATTATTACCCCTGCTCATTGGGCACATGAAACATTCCAAATACCATGTCAGCTCCCTGGGGAGTATACAGCTACATCATTATTACCCCTGCTCATTGGGCACATGAAACATTCCAAATACCATGTCAGCTCCCTGGGGAGTATACAGCTACATCATTATTACCCCTGCTCATTGGGCACATGAAACATTCCAAATACCATCTCAGCTCCCTGGGGAGTATACAGCTACATCATTATTACCCCTGCTCATTGGGCACATGAAACATTCCAAATACCATCTCAGCTTCCTGGGGAGTATGCAGCTCGATGCAGCCTGTTAGGCGCAAGGAAGCTAATTCAATCACAATAACCATCTCTGCCCTCACAGGTACCCATTTACTCCTGGGTGGAGAGAAGCAATGAGTGACAAAGTGCCTTGCCCAAGGGCACACGCACCATGACCAATCACAGAAACTTGTGATTGACTTGTGATTGACTTGTGGTTGCCTTGTGATTGCCTTGTGATTGAATTGTGATTGACTTGTGATTGACTTATGATTGATTGACTAGTTCCTATGATGTTGAGCAGTACGCTCCCACCACTACCTGCTCTCTCAACCTGGTATTGGATCATTTGCATACTGTGCAAAACTCTTGCACATGCACATTAGGTACAGAATAATCTGGTGCCTGGCTGTGTTTTAATTCAGTGTACATCACATCGTTCAAGACATCAATTATCCTTTTTTTGCTTGTAAGGCAAGGCTTACTAAAATGCATCTTCTCTAGAGCGCTAACTTACTGTATACAGTGAAACTTGATTGAGGCACGTCCACGATGTGCACAAAACCTGAGGAATAACGTGCAGCATTTGTACGTACAAGAGCTCACAAAATCTTGAATCTGTTGTAAACATCTGTTGTAAACATGTGCATGAAAACGCAAAGCTTTGCCCCCTCATCAACGGTTGTTAATTGGGAGGTGCGGGGAAGACAGCCCAGAGACCATGGGAGAGACATGCGAATACACTACTGAAGACGCCCGGCCCCACGCGGAAGGTGTTACAGCTGTTTTTGGCAAATTCAGAATAGATTCAGCCATGCGAACTTCAGCAGTGCATTCACGTGGTGTTGTCCCTCCCACTCGGCATCCCAAAAGTGGTCACATGTCACATGTATAGTTCGTACACAGAGTCCGTGCGTTGAACCGTTTTCCCTGTTTTACTACCAAAAAAAATCAGTACTTTGTAGCTGCATTTAAGATATACAGGTTATTCCACAAAAAAACCTAATAGTCGAAAACCAATTAATAAAGGTATATTGCATGTGGGTGTTAGAGTATTTTCAAAGTACCTGTTTTAAGTCAGATAACCAATCTACCATACAAACTTTAATTCATTCAAATCGATGCATTGGAACAAACACTACATGCATGCTTCATCGAACTCAAGGGTTGAAAGTTGTCTTGGGCCAATTTCCTTGAAAGAGAAACCGCACAGTTGGAGAAACACACAGGATTTAGTACTTTGTTCAAGAGAACGTGTGACTTATTCTCCTGGGTTCGATCAGTAAACTTGATAATTTATTTTAAAAAGTGGCCCAAGTGGTTTTTCAAGTCCCGTATTGTGACTGCTGTATCTTTTCAACAAAACGTCCTAATCAAACCTACTAAAAAACATTTGGAAGACCAAATCTTTCTCCTCAGCAATACATTAGACACGATTTTGAATACTACCCCACTTTTCTTAAAACATACGCATGTACATGTAGGTTCATAACATCTAAAAGATTGGGTCGGTTGAATACATGCCTCTGAAAAACATGACCTCCCTGGAAATTAAAGCACTTTCGCAACAAACCTTTGAATTTTTTAAGCGTGCGGATAAAGCAGAGGAAAAATAGTTTACAAGCCAAGTCATCTGGCAATTTACAGCTAAACTTAAAGCTACAGTCCATCATTTGCAGCTAACCGAAACGTAAGTGGCGTAATTATTGTTGAAAAACATACTTTGTTGAAAGATAGTAAGGGGACTAAACTCCCTGTGAAATTATTCTTTCTGGCAAGCTGTCATTTTGAAGTAATCAATGAAAGAAGGCCTTTCCAACGGTGCTTCTTAAGACGCACCGTAGGAAATTTAAATTAGTAGTTCGTTTTGTTATTCGGCGAAGCGCGCACAAGCATTGGCATGACGCACACGCACGCACGGTTGCTATAATTCGTCGGATCAGTGCGCGACATCGCGTAGCTGCAATCGGCTCAGTGAGAACGTGTCTCGGACGCTGAATTCAGACCCAATTCAAAACATGATTCAGCAACTTTTGATTTGAAATCGAGATCCTAGAATGTTGTTTTTCTCAAAATATACAGCTAAAGCTGAGCTGAAACTTCATCAGGTTAGTTGTTCAGTACCCTTCTTTAGATTTTGAGCACTTTTGTTGCTTCAAACGAACAAAATGCACAGATTACAAATGATGGACTATATCTTTAAGATGATATTTTTCGACATTTTGGTAATGACTTTCCTGGTGACATTCCACATATTTTTGTGGCAGTGGTTCATCAAAAACTCAACTTTAAGGAACACTACATGAACGTACATTAACAATGTATTGCACAAATCATAGTTAAGATAATACAACTATTAAATAACCATTCGTCCTGCTACTTGTCAATTTGTTTTACACAAGTCATAATTAGAACCTTACAGCAATTATATGTACATATCGGAACATGAATGTATCAGAAAATTTACCCGTGGTAATTTACTGTGTGATACTGACGAATACAACTCGAGTGAATTGAATGATCAAATCTTGTAATCAAATATGAAGGCACAATTGATGTTAATGTCTTACCGCACCCCCATCCCTCCTAAATTCACCCAACTGCCCTTATTTCTTTTAACCCTGCGCAGCGTTTACAAATCAGTGTTTTAAATCAGTGCTTGTTTTTGTATGCGGTGTCTGGGGTAAATACAGAATTCATAAATACAATTTGTTGTGGCGTGAGATCCGAAAACACAATTTCTTTCAAAGTTAAAGTGTTACAATTTTAACCATCCAATATGCAGTATAACATTACATGTTATAAACAAAATTGAAAAGGAAGGAGTGTTTTTGAGGAATGGACATAATAATTCACAACAATGGTTAAATTACGTAATACATGTAAACTGGAATAAAAAAACACCAAGTATATGATACAAATCCACTCCTTGCTATTGCGGTATCGAATCAGGATACAGGAAGCAAGTTTACGAGGAAACAAGGTTACAAATAAAGTAACCTCTGGGGACGAGTGTGGTTTTAAAAATCACAAACTCTCTGAATTTCCTTTTTTGTTCGCAGGATGGAGGTTGCACTTGCCCTGGCGATGTTGTAAAGGCATTTGGTAAGATTGGAACTCAACTAAAAACTTTATAAAAAAAATTTAAAAAAATATATAAAACAATTAAGAAATATAAGTTTGACAAAAAATTTAAGTGCCAACTCCCAACACTTTGTGAAGTTAGAGTCCTTTGATGCTACATTCCATTTTTATGCCCCGCGGCGAAGCCGAAGGGGCATACTGTTTCCGCCTTGTCCTTCCGTGGGTGGGTGTGTGTGTGTGTGGGTGGGTGGGTGGGTGTGTTCCTGCATGGCATTACGCCTGAGGACAGACAACAAAAGGAGCACAAAGGGGCCATTGATCCTCGAAGGAAGGTGCCTATTGTCCTCGAACGCAGGTTTGTGTGCTTAGTCTATGGGAGAGTGTTATATTACAGGGACAAAGGAAAACACAAAGCCAATCCTCGGAAGCATAGCAAAAAACGACTGAGCTTGTCTTACATACGCAGTGTGGACTTCCGAACAAAAGACGTCCACATAATGTAGGTAGCAGCGACGAAGTGTGGACTTGCCCACGTCCACACAGTGTTTCCCCATTTCTGGAAAACAGGTTTAGAGGCATTTTTGGGTTAGGTTTATCTGTAGCAGAATGAAGAGAAACACTAAAGGGAATCATTGAAAAAAAATTGGGTTGTAAGAGTTTTCACAGTTTGAGAAAAATGAGTTTTTCCACTGGTGTTCCTTAACTACACGAAAAGAAAGGAAAGTCCACACTACATGTAGGTATGTGAAACAGGTGTGGGGGTGGGTGTGTGGGTGTGTGTGTGTGTCCGGACAAATCTTGTCAGCGCGATAACTTGAGAAATTCTTAACATATGAACTTCAAATTTGGTTTGTGGATTGTTCTTGGTAATCCTAAGAAGCCTTTCGCATTCGGGGCCAAAAGGCCAAAGGTCAAGTTCACAGTGGCTAAAACAATAGAAATCTTGTCAGCGCAATAACTTGAGAAATACTTTACATGTGAACTTCAAATTTGGTTTGTGGATTGTTTTTGGCAATCCTAAGAAGCCTTTCGCATTCGGGGCCAAAAGGCCAAAGGTCAAGTTCACAGTGGCTAAAACAATAGAAATCTTGTCAGCGCAATAACTTGAGAAATACTTTACATGTGAACTTCAAATTTGGTTTGTGGATTGTTTTTGGCAATCCTAAGAAGCCTTTTGCATTTGGGGCCAAAAGGCCAAAGGTCAAGTTCACAGTGGCTAAAACAATAGAAATCTTGTCAGCGCGATAACTTGAGAAATACTTTACATGTGAACTTCAAATTTGGTTTGTGGATTGTTCTTGGCAATCCTAAGAAGCCTATTGCATTTGGGGCCAAAAGGTCAAGGGTCAAGTTCACAGTGGCTAAAACAATAGAAATCTTGTCAGCGCGATAACTTGAGAAATACTTAACATATGAACTTCAAATTTGGTTTGTGGATTGTTCTTGGTAATCCTAAGAAGCCTATTGAATTTGGGGCCAAAAGGTCAAGGGTCAAGTTCACAGTTCACAAGCTAAAACAATAGAAATCTTGTATTTATTCTGAGATTATAATTCATATAAAACCTACAGAAGACACTAATGCTGTCAATGAATGTTCCATGTGACCAAGGTACATGTAAGTTGATGTTAAAAGAGTGGTGTTATGTCATGGGAACAGTCACGGTTGCGGGGCATTTGTGTTTGTAAACACACCTGACTTGTTATAGATGAACTTGAGGGTTCATCTGGCAGATGTCTGTTAGCTGTGTGCACAAGTGCTCCCTCAGTGGTTACAAGAGTTTAGAGGGACTTTTGAATGCTTATTCATAAATATCTGAGACAGTTAACCAATTCCTATTGATCGAGAGCCGGTCACTTGGGTGGTGTTAGAACACCGCTGCGTTCTGCGCCACATTGGGCAGTACGCGCCGCATGTAAATGCCATTAGAGCTTGAATTAGTGTGTCCGACACAAGGCGCTCTCACAAGTGGTCACAAAGAACCATCTACTGTTTGTGCACGGTGTGTCTACAGATATATCACATTATGAATGATATTGACCTTTTTTACGTAACAGGAGCCGGCGCAGACTTCGTGATGCTTGGTGGTATGTTTGCTGGCCATGACCAGAGTGGCGGGGAGACGATCGAGCGCAATGGTAAAAAGTTCAAGTTATTCTATGGCATGAGCTCATCAACTGCCATGAATAAACATGCAGGAGGAGTGGCGGACTACCGGTGAGTATGAGCATTCGACCAATGTGTAATGTCTGTTTGTGTTTATTGACTCATTTTCTTTGTTACCTAAACAAAGATTTGGGAGATACTTACCAGTCCTAAATTCTGTATGACTGTACACACCAGAGCTACTTGTGGGGTACTGTACAACAAAGGGAACGGTACCCCACAAGTGAAATCTTTAGAAAAAACGGTACCCCACAAGTGAAATCTTTAGAAAAAGGGATACAAGGACAACAATGCAAGTACCCCAGAACTCCCATCCGCCTTTGTACAAGTACCCCACAAGTAGCTCTGGTGTGTATGTCCGTACATGACTGTATGACCAATGGTGTGCAAACCAAAACCAAAACCGACCCGACCCGAAACCGACTTCGGGTTGGGTCGGGTCGGTTTGTCCATCTTTTCAGTCGGGTCGGGTCGGTTTCGGTTTTGCATTTACATTTTCAGGTCGGGTCGGGTTGGTTTAGCCATCTTTTGGAAAAAAAACGAAATAAACCAACACAGTTGAGAAATTCAGGTGATGCAATATTATTGACAGTCACTGTGAATGCAGCCCATTGTGGTTTGGCCAACGAGCGCACTATCAAGTTCCCACGGCATTAATTTCTCCAGTGGGATCGGGACTGACAGTGAAATAGATAGACTGTAACAGTTTTCATGAAACTGCGTGGTGATACCATGCGTTTGTTCAATAAGGGGAGTTACTCTCGATCAACCCACCGAGTATGACATACAGAGAGACGATGGTTTTGCAAAAGAATTCATGCCACTTGGGTAAGGGCAGGCACAAAAAAGTCATCACTTTGTCCAAGCCAGATATTCGTTTTTTTGTCGGGTCAGTTCGGTTCGGTCGAGTCGGTTTGAGGGAGTTAAGATCGGTTTCGGTTCAGATTCGGTTGATATCTCAAATGTTTTGGGTTGGTTTGGCCTGGTCAACCCGACCAGGCCAGATATTCGTTTTTTTGTCGGGTCAGTTCGGTTCGGGTCGAGTCGGTTTGAGGGAGTTAAGATCGGTTTCGGTTCAGATTCGGTTGATATCTCTAATGTTTTGGGTTGGTTTGGCCTGGTCAACCCGACCAGATGCACATCATTAATGACCAAAGACCCGTATGTATGCTCAAGTTTTGGTTCAGTTTATGAAAAAAATGTATAACTTCTACATGCTTTCATGGATTTTGATGAAACTTGGATACAGTGACCCTTGGGTGGGAAGACACAATTCTTCATCGGATTACTAAGGTCAAATGTTATGTAGGTGTCATTTGAGGTCGTTGTATAAGAATGCACAAAATTTGACTTTTTTTTTTTTAAGAACACAAAACATGTAGGGGAAAGATTTCCATATCTGGCCATCACTTGTCACCCTGTGCTTAAACCCTATGAGACTGGTCTGAAAATTTCTAAGTGTTTTCTTAGTAATTACTTCGATATTTTCCCTGCTAAATTTGACTTTTTGGGACATGCATGTATTAGCACTTTCCGAAGGCTGATAGGTCACTAAAGGGAGAAATTAGTGATGGCCAGATATGGGAATCTTTCCCATGTAGGGATCGACTGCAGAGCAAGTCACAATCAGGTCTCTGTTGTGATATGGTTTATGTCAAGTACCAAATCAAAGCAGACATTTGTATAATGACTTTCGGTTCCGTGTGCAAGAACCCCTCCAATGGATAAGAAAGGGAGAGTTGGGGGAGACCACTGGGAGAGACATTGGAACGCATCGCTGACAACGCCTGATGCTCACATGAAGACACTATGGCTTTGTGCACATTCAGAATAAAACAAGTCGTGCATACTTCGCGCCATACACGCGCAAACCTGTATGTACGTGTTCTACATTATCCCCGAGGACCGACACACAAAGGGAGAACAACAGATCCTTTCAGTCCTTGGGCATGGGGTGTTTTGTTGAAAACGGTCCTCTATTGTACGGTTATGTGCTTAATCTACGGGAGAGTGTTATTACAGGGACAAAGGGAAACACAAAGCATTGTCCTTGAGAGCTTAGTAAAACACGACTGTATGCGCACGCAGTGTTTACCCATTACGGAGTACCGAAGTGAATACGTCACGCGCACAAAATGTGTGTGAAAGACATTAGCGCGTGATTCAGCCCGTGAACCAACACGCGCGCGTACTCCATTCGTGTGTACTACACTTTCTGGTTCTAAATGACGTCACACTTCGTACTCCATAGCACTCAAAAGTGGTAAAAAAGTGCCCTCTTTTGTCACGCACGTGCAACTCATCCCACAGTGCAACTCATTTTCACACAGCTTGCCACAATTGTAGACTTCAATAACATTATCCTTATATTCTTTTCAGAGCCAGCGAGGGTAAGACGATTGAGGTTAAATACCGCGGGGATGTGACAGACACCGTGCAGGACATCCTAGGGGGACTGCGCTCAGCGTGCACCTACGTAGGGGCGGGCAAACTCAAGGAGCTCAGTAGGCGGACGACATTCATCCGAGTCACCCAACAGACAAACGATATCTTTGGAAACGCAACATGAACATGTTTCAACCCATGGCTTGACTTCACCATTCTGTTCCTTATTATTCTGGTCTGTATTTGAAAATTGGATCTGGGTCTGCCCACACTAATGGGTGCAATTGACTGCAGATGTCATGTTTAAATGTCACCCACCATGTACCAGAAGATGAATTTTAAAGAAAGTTTGTAGTGGTGTGCTGAAGCAAATGGATTGTTATTTAGAAACTTCAAGATTTCACTGTTTCTTCAAAGGTAAAGGTAATGTATGCACTGCAGTATACATGTACAGAACACGTTTCTGATTAGCCAATCTGAAATCACTGGGCTTGCTTCAAATAATTGAAGGTTTTTGCACAGGGTGATATCACTACAAATAATGTTTATGGATGTAGAAATATCAGATTGTGACACACATGTATCACAGTGTGGCACAACTGTATCACACTGTGGCACAACTGTATCACACTGTGGCACAACTGTATCACTAGTGGCAAAACTGTATCACACTGTGGCAAAACTGTATCACAGTGAGGAAAAACTGTATCACACTGTGGCAAAACTGTATCACAGTGAGGAAAAACTGTATCACACTGTGGCAAAACTGTATCACAGTGAGGAAAAACTGTATCACACTGTGGCAAAACTGTATCACAGTGAGGAAAAACTGTATCACACTGTGGCACAACTGTATCACACTGTGGCACAACTGTATCACAGTGAGGAACAACTGTATCACAGTGAGGAACAACTGTATCACACTGTGGCACAACTGTGTCACACTGTGGCACAACTGTATCACACTGTGGCACAACTGTATCACAGTGAGGAACAACTGTATCGCACTGTGGCAAAACTGTATCACACTGTGGCACAACTGTATCACAGTGAGGAACAACTGTATCACACTGTGGCAAAACTGTATCACACTGTGGCAGTGTTGTAGGTCTCGAGACCGGTCTCGAGACCACTTTTTGCTGGTCTCGGTCTCGGTCTCGGAAGCTGTGGTCTCGGTCTTGGTCTCGGTCTCGGTCCCCTTTGGTCTTGATATTTTGGCTGGTCTCGGGTCGAGACCGGCAATATGTAGCTTTTACAGCTCGATCGATTACTTTGTGTTCACTTCGTTCAGTACCGTTGTTATTTAAAACATTTGCTAGCCCGTAGATCAAGCTTGTTATATATCGCGGTCGGTTTGGACTAGACTGCACGTTGGAAAGTCCCGAAAGTACATGTAAAACTGCAGCAGTACCAGTCACTGAACGATTTGGAACAAGTTCGGCATTTATCTGTTGAGTCGGCCACATAAAGCAAAGTATAAACTTGTAACAATTTATGCAATAAGGGTCAACCATTTTCGGGGACTGTGTAGTTTAGCCCACCCCTGTGGGCGTAATCACTTGCATTTTGTATTCTGATAATAAATGAGGTGCTTCAAATTAGTTATATTTTCGACCCCACACAATGTTTTCTTTAATTTGGGACAGTATTTTGAAGAAAAAGTAAATTTTTCTACCTGATTTTCCAGCTTTGAACTCACACACTCTTACCAGTTACCACTCACTGTTGCCATGAGAGTGTATAATGAGACCCCATTTTCTGGCTGCTCATTTTAAAGTACCCCATTATTTCTCAAAAATTAAAAATCCCGTTCAGAAAAAAATTAAAAATCAATATCTGGCACATTCTGGCTACCACCTCGCAACTTGTGGGTCTACATGTACAAGTCCACATTCTATGACAAAAATTTAAAAATTAATTCAACATTTTCTAGCTCCCATTTTTTAAAATCAAGTACACAAGTCCTGTTAGAAGTTAAGTCCTAAATTTATTTTAGGAAAAATAAGGCAATGTAAAATTAAAATTGCATCTTTAAAGATCCGTTAGAAGTCATAGCTGAAACCAAGGGGGTGACTGTGGAGTTTAGGATCCGAGTTCCTATAACAGATGAAACATCTACCTTTAACTTTTTACTTTTGTCGCGATTGGGTGCAGACAACATGTCAAAGCCCATATTTCTTAAGTGGTAACTACTTTTTGCTCAAGTAAGGTGTCATGTATCAATTTGTCAACATTGCCACTGGTCAAAATTTTGGTCTGTATTCTTTGTGAATAGAAAGGTTACATTTTTCAACTATAATAACGTGTCTTTTTTTTTTTTTTTAGACTATTGTTATTTATTATCAGCGGTCTCGGTCTCGGTCTCGGTCTCGGACCATATTGGTCTCGGTCTCGGTCCGCCTTGAAGGGGCTGGTCTCAGTCTCGGTCTCGGTCTCGAATCTTCAGGTCTCGGTCTTGGACTCGGTCTCGGACTATCCGGTCTCGACTACAACACTGCACTGTGGCACACACAGGCGCAACTGTGTCACACTGTGGCACAACTGTATCACACTGTGGCATAACTGTATCACATTGTGGCACAACTGTATCACACTGTGGCATAACTGTATCACATTGTGGCACAACTGTATCACACTGTGGAAGAACTGTATCACAGTGAGGAACAACTGTATCACACTGGCATAACTGTATCACATTGTGGCAAAACTGTATCACAGTGAGGAACAACTGTATCACAGTGTGGAAGAACTGTATCACACTGTGGCGCAACCGTATCACACTGGCATAACTGTATCACACTGTGGCAAAACTGTATCACAGTGAGGAACAACTGTATCACAGTGTGACACAACTGTATCACACTGTGGCACAACTGTATCACACTGTGGCACAACTGTATCCACTGGCACAACTGTATCACATTGTGGCACAAGTGTATCACAGTGTGACATAACTGTATCACTGTGTGACATAACTGTGTCACATTGTGACATAATTGTATCACACTGTGGCACAACTGTATCACATTTTGGCACAACTGTATCACAGTGTGACATAACTGTATCACACTGTGGCACAACTGTTTCACACTGTGGCGCAACTGTATCGCAGTGTGGCACAACTGTATCACCAGTGGCATAACTGTATCACACTGGCAAAACTGTATCGCACTGTGGCAAAACTGTATCACAACTGTATCACACTGTGGCACAAATGTATCACATTGTGACATAACTTTATCACAGTGTGACATAACTGTATCAGATAATGATACAACTGTTTCACAGCGTAACACAACTGTATCGCAGCACAAATGTGTCACAACTTGATGACAGTACTGTATTATCATAGTTATTGTATGAAATTATAACACCAGTGTAGCTCAGCACAACTTTATGACATGTTCAATTGACATGTACATCATGGCATTATAAAACTATTCCAGAATATGCGTGAAATATAAAGTTTGACTCAATTTTTTTTTTTTTTTTAAGAAAACAAGATGTCAAAAAAGAGATTTCGTAATCTTCAGAGTTTTGAGTAACATCAATCGTATGTCTGGCTCCAAATTTCTGTCTCACAAAAAAACTAATTCCAAGTCAACCAAATATTGCAACTATTTATATGTGCATGTAAGTACTGTTTGGTGAATGTAATACGATTTTTTTTTGGGTGTTTGTGGGTAAACATTTGTGTGCTTCCCAAAACTTAAAAATGTAATTTTGAATTTGAATGAGCTGTAAAATAAACGAAAACTGAATATTGCATTTTTCTGAGTTAATCTTGTTTGTATTCCAAGTTTAAAGCAGGTGTGTACATTGTAGCAACTAGAATGAGCTCCAGACCCAAAAGCCCCCCAAATCATATATAATTCACTAGTCTGAGTTGTTGATCTATTTACAATTCATAGTTTGCTTCAAAATATAAGTTCTGGAGCCAGTAAAATAGTGGTAATGAAATAAAACAAAGTTATTTTTGAATGAAATTTGTGAACCGAGTCAAACCCACACACACACACAAAACAAGAAAGAAAACAGGATGCATACCAACAACTTATTCTTTGATTCATTTTATTACACATGGTAGATTATTTCATAAATATACATGAATATTTGTCCATAAATTTTTCATGTTATAAAAATGCTAAGAGTCCTCTACAGTTTGTATATGTACTCCTGATAATTTCACGTTGCCTTTTGAATTTAACGGTTACAAAGTGCTGCAGAAAAGACAAAATTTCTGACGAAGTACAGAAATGCATTTAAACAGAGGTTCACATGAAATCCCAGACGGAATTCACCCTTAATTACCATGCAACTACCCTGTCATGCAGTGAGATTGATTTGAATTATACAATCTTGTGCAGGCTGAGACCATACAGACTCATTCCCAAGATGCATCATTTTCCCAAGATGCATCATTTTCCTCGTCCCATCCGGTGTCTAACACCATCATGCGGGGCAGTTAAAAAAAAAAAATTTGTTGGCACTGAATGAACTTATGCATAATTGTCTCATTTTCTCACATATTTAAAACCCTGCTGCAACTCTACATTCAGGCATGCAACTTTTCCTCGGATCAGCTGATTTCCTCTTTTTTCACTTCCAATGTGTGCCATTGAAAACAGAAAAACACTGTACAAAGTCTTGGAAAGATTTGAATTTCCTCTTTTTTTTGTGACTTCCCAGTTACATACCTGTACATTGTTATATTCAATTTGATTTACTTTTATGCCCTTTTATGACTACATTGTACTTCTCTAGATATTGAAACGACAACTTGAGTTTTATGCAGCATCATCTTTACATTCATACATATAATCCAGACAACTTATTTCACTTTGAAACAAACTCCGATGGTCAAAGATTTCAGTGTACATCACATCGTTCAAGACATCAATTATCCTTTTTTTGCTTGTAAGGCAAGGCTTACTAAAATGCATCTTCTAGAGCGCTAACTTACTGTATACAGTGAAACTTGATTGAGGCACGTCCACGAAAGATGGTGTAAATACAGATTCCTATTAAACTTGGGCATGCGAATCAACATGTGCATCAAAACACAAAGCTTTGCCCCCTTGTCAACGGTTGCAAATTGGGAGGCGCGAGGAAGACAGCCCAGAGACCATGGGAGGGACATGCGAATGCACTACTGACGCCGCCTGATTTTGATTTTGAGCACTTTTGTTGCTTCAAACGAACAAAATGCACAAATTACAAATGATGGACTATATCTTTAAGATGATATTTTCGACATTTTGATAATGACTTTCCTGGTGACATTCCACATATTTTTGTGGCAGTGGTTAATCAAAAACTAACCTTAAAGGAACACTACATGAACGTACATTAACAATCTATTGCACAGATCATAGTTAAGATAACACAACTATTAAATAACCATTCGTCCTGCTACTTGTAATTTTGTTTTACACAAGTCATAATTAGAACCTTACAGCAATTATATGTACATATCGGTACATGAATGCATCAGGAAATTTACCCGTGGTAATTTACTGTGTGATACTGACGAATACAACTTGAGTGAATTGAATGATCAAATCTTGTAATCAAATATGAAGGCACAATTGATGTTAATGTCTTACCGAACCCCCATCCCTCCTAAATTCACCCAACTGCCCTTATTTCCTTTAACCCTGCGCAGCGTTTACAAAAAAACTGTACAACAACTCGTCAACTGCTGCCCTCTGGGCAGCAGGTACTTTCCCGCACTACGCAAGACCCTATTCATAGCAATACAACAAAAAGCCACGTGCCAGACAGTGTCCAGACAGTTGCCAGACAGTGCGCTGGAAAGATAATTGACTGGCGGCTGTGGTATGCAGTTATGAAGGGAGATGACTGTGTCAAGTTACAGGTCTTTGATGATTTTCAATGAGACTTGGCAGGAGGCCAGGTCGAAAGTTTGTTGACACGGCCTGGGTGTAGCCCTGGCTGCAAAGTTCATTGAACCAGCTTATTTGGCAAGGGTCGAATGAGGATTAGATGGAAGGTGACCATCATTGGCCCTCAATTTTTTTTTTTTTCAAAAAATTCGGTTACCTGGGGCCCAAAGGGTGACAGGTCACTCTGCGCAGGGTTAAAAAGGGCGTACTTTGCAATAGGAGCAAGTCACAAAAGTGTGCCACCAAAACAAAAGCTAATTTATGGAAAAAGAAAAGTTATGTGAACCACAAAAAAAAAAAAAAGGAGACATCTTAGTGCCTTAATTTGTAATTCGTATACTGTGCGCACAAGGATTAAACTGTTTTTACATTTTTATAGCATGCACCTGAAATGTGATTTTTTTGTCTTTAATGAATTCACATATTTACAAGACTCCTAAACACATTTCTTTTCCTGCGGTTTGCAGAATGTTCACTAAACAGTTGGAAAGTGACATTCTGGAGGCAAACCCTTCGTGATAAATTATAATGAATATGAACCATTTTTACTAATAGAGCCTTTGTCCATCTCATGGAGACTGTAAGCAGTAAGCACAGCAACAGGCACGCTTACCTCAGAGGAAAAAAAAATTGCTTAATTCAGTGACGTGAAACTAGAGATCTCCATGCGCACGCAACTGTTAGTACATGCACACTGTGAAATGCTGCTTAAGGTAAGCACAATTTTCTGTTACATGTATGATTAGCACAAGTATCCAGCTTACTGTTAAAGGGGCACTCACAATGTTATTTGGCTATGCGTGAATGAGGAACCTGTGAACATGGTGAAATATGAAATTTATTGACCGACACATTTTGGAATGGCCCCAGGTTTGCTGAGCAATGGTTACCAGCTGAAAAAACTGTGTGATTCACGTATACAGATCCTGACTGGTTCTCTGTTTATATGTAACTACATGTAGTTCTGTGAACTTAAGCCATGGGCTAAAATTCTCATTTAATAACTTTAATAAAAAAAGTTTTCACAATTGTAATCTTGTGAAACAAAAAAGAGATTGGGTTTTAATACAAAGGAATGAATCTGAGCATCTTCCCCCTTTCTTCAAAAATATCCTTTTTCTTTAAGCTAACATTAATTCCTCTCATGCAAACAATTTCAACATGTTAAATGAAAGCCCTTTCAGTGCACAATTTTCCATGGCGCATATTACCGTGAAACACCTTATTGTGTAATGTACACTGACTGATGTACAAAAAGTTACAAAAAAAAACGTTCTTCCCTGGTTGGTCCCATAGATTGAAAACCACAACAACAACAACAACAACAAAAAAGATTCCTTTTTTGTTCTGTTATGTTTGCTCCTTTGGTCAATACACAATAAGCCAATTCAGTTTTCCAACTGGTATGGGCATCTACACACGTACATGTACATCTACATAATTGAAGATTTTAGCCTTGGGATACATTTTTAATACTCTTTTTAGGTGATTTATGATTTGAATGCAAGTGGCATATTGAACATCAGATCTTCGTTTTTTGTGCATGTGCCGTTGAATTAACATCTGTATACATCAAAATTAGTCTTGTAGACATGAACTAGCACGTTTGTTTATGGTGCAAATCGAGGATTGTCTTTTGTTCCTCTTCCCTTTTCCTTTGTACTTTTTCGCAACAGCTCCATTGGTTTTGTGCACATTTTCCAATCGAGGTCTTCCTCGATTTGGTTCCCGTCTTCGATTCACCCATGATGTTGCACGCGTGTGTCCTCGATTTAAACCATAAACAAACGCTTACGTACAATGTACATGGGCACGTGTACACATGTACATGTATGTCTATATCAAGGTGCTGTAATCATGTGTAATGTTTATAGCCGTTCTAAAAACAAAAAGATAAATGTGTATTTCTGTAATTTACACTGCAAGTCTCCAATGAAGAAATTTTAAGCGTTTATGTACAAGTACATGTACATGATGCTACTTTAAAAAGGTATTACAAGTAAATGTACATGTAAATATATAATTTTGAAACAAAAACATTTAAAGAAAATCATTCTTTGGCAGTAGTTGAAAATTTGGTTCGACAAAAAAAACATGAAACTGTTAAAGCTGTCCATTTTTAATCCGCACACAGTTACAAAATACAGGTAAAATCAGGTTGCCGTGATGGCCATGATAAACCTTCAGCTGTCAGTGAGTTTCAATCAGGGATGGTGGAGTCCGTCGCCGGTCCCTGCAAGTCCATCACAAGTCCTCCTGTACCAGTTCAACTCGTAAGCTATTTCATTGAGCTTTGACAAGAGCATTCCTTTGTTTCTGTCCATCCACTGTTACTTGTGACTGGACTTCTGATGGACTTCTGATGGACTCGACTACACTTCATTGGTTTCAATGCAATTACCAGAGTCCATCTCAAGTCAATCACAAGAAAGTTCACAAAGTTGAGCAATGGCAAAGGCATGCCTTTGAGACAGTTCAGTTGAACAGCCTTCCCGTTGGACTTCGGACCGGATATCTTGCACTAGACATGCCAGGACTTGCACTTCTGGCAACTGCAACTACATGTATCTGTCAGTGTCTGTAGTGTCCTGGTTCTTCTTGTTAATGTTGCTGGCGATAGCCAGAGCACCGCCTTTGGCAAACCGCACAAAGTTATCCCCAACCAACGGACCCATGGCGTACAAGCCGGGCTCGACGGTAGACTCCATCGTGTACGGGTTCACCTCGATGGGGTTGTGCTGGTAGGAGATGGGGGACCCATCACCCCTCACGCCCAAGTGCGTACCACTGTTCGGTAGGAAGGACAGGTCGGGCCGTGAACCAATCAGAACCACTGCCACCGACACCTTGACGTACCCGCAACTCTCGGGACCCTTGATGGCTACTCTGTGTCCGGGGTAAAACTCGTGCACCGTGTGCTGCGAGAGACTGACGTAGCTCCTGTCTGTGGCCCCCTCCTCCCGTCCCTGCTTCTGCATCATGAGATGCACCCTGTGGTACTCCGGGTACACCGATTTGGGCAGCTTGGAGAAAATCAGTTCCTTGTCAAAGGCAGACCGGCGGAAGGCGTGCACGACAGGCACGCCGGTGTTGATGGCGGCTAGGACGGCATCTGCGGCGTTAAGGCCGGACCCGATGATCAAGACCGGATCGGAGGTAGAATGCACATCTTCCCGCTGGATGGCAGCCTCCAGATCCTGGACGCTGTACAGGACGTAGGGCAGGTCCTCCCCGGGAACCTCCAACCGGTTCGGGATGCCCACCATTCCCGTGGCCAGGATCACGTTGGGCGTCAGCACGGTGAAGGTATCACTCGCGCTGACCTGCTTCTCGCAACACGTGGTGTCCGAGACAAAGTGACCCTTGACCTCAAACATGTTCTGACCTTCAAACTTGCGGCAGCGCTGGCACTGGATCTCCGGCTCGCCGCTCTCGCTGTTGATGACGCGCCGTCCTTTGAGCCGCTGTACCTGCGTCACCAGGGTGTACGGACGGAAGGACTTCTCCAGGCCCATGGTCTCCACGTACTCCTTATAGTACAACCCCACGTCCCCTAAGGTTGCTCGGGTGTCGCTGTTGTTACACTGCTTGCCAACACGTTTCCTGAAGAAGATAAAAGAAAAAAAAATTGAAACTAAATAAATAGTGCCAAATTCTTACACAAATATAAACAATGTTTGAACCTTCTGCTTTGGAACAAAAATTCAGTATTATATGTGTCACACTCAGATTTTTCTTATGACTCAGGTATGCAACTGGGAATTTAGAAGAAGAAAACAGGATATTCCAAACCACACAATGCTTTGTGCACTGTTTTTCAATTTGTAATGGCATTCGTGAGAAGTAAAAAAAACGAGGAAATCAGTGGATCTGAGGCAAAGTTGCATGCCTGCTATGTGAAGGGTTTGGAAGGGTTAATTACCTAAATGATGTGTGAACAAAATGTCCAGTTATACAAATGTATGTACATTGTAAAGTTGTAAGAGTTAAATTGTAATTGGGCGGGAGTGGCAAGTTCAAGAGTTAAAATTACCAAAGTAGAGAAATAAAGGGAAAAGTTATGAACAGCACAAAGTAACGGCTCTCCATGACCTTGAAACCTCAGGGCTCACAGTCTGTATGACAAAAGACCCAGAAACATGTACTTTTTAAACAAGTCCAAGTAAACGATAAAGGGGTCTTATTCCACTATGACATGTATCTGTTACGCCCCAACTTGACCATGACTGTCCCATCTGAAGTTGGGACCGATGGTCTTAGTTGGGGTATAACATACAATGTATCTGTGAAAATTAAATCTAACAATACATAGAAATTGCTCCGCCTGATGTCTTACTGTAACCTCATCAGGGCTCGGCGACTGGGAAACAAAAATATATCCAAGTCCAAGTGAGTTCAAAATGTATGACCTACACTGTACCTTAACGGGAATATACAACACTTACTTTTGCTGTAATTTTCAGAAATGGATGGATTTGGGGGTTAGTATTTTATAGTAAATATTGTTACCATGACTTGTTTAAAGTTTTGTGTTCGTAGATGCTGGAAAAACCAAGAATACAATCAATCATGTTCTTGTAGTCTGGCTCCCTGACCCCACTTAGGATGAAACGGAGCAAATCATAGATGTCAGGGAGTTGTAAGGTCAGGGAACCAGTGTAGCTGGCTCGTACCCGTTCATAGGTGTGTAATCGATTGCGAACAAAATGCGGACTACCGTTACCTAAATATGGTAAATTGGGGGCAGTATATGAAACAAAACACCAGGTTTTTTTTTCCAATGCTGGTTGGCTGATCAGCGTTGGAAATTGATACAATTGATCAGCACACCAGGTGCTAGATTTTACAGGATGCTTAAGCCTGTCTTTCACTAACATTTCAGTAAGGTATTTCAAAATAATTTGGTAGCTTTGTTTTTTTTATGTTTGCTTGCACACTAATGCCCATACCCCAACCAACATGACCAATGCCATTCAATGGTACTCTACAATGGCCCTTGAAATGCTATCATGGAAAGAAACCCAACTTTTGTGTTGCCGTGATATAAATAGGAATAAATGTTTACTTCTGTTTTCTGTGTGAAAGGTTCCACAGCCGCTCCGATCAACATCTTGTTGCAATAATGTTTGCCTTAATATTCTAACCTTTGGAACACCCATACTGGAATTTGTATCCTTGTGGAGACATCTGTTTGTTCTCGTGTAGTTAAGTTTTCGAGTTTGAAAGTGAAGTTTCAAAATGCTCTTATTTTAACCAGAATTAATTTCCTGGGCTGAAATTCGGACTTAATATCCCTTTCCTAAAACTCTTCCATTTGCGACAGATCAACCCACCTTGGAAATTCCTAGTTTTTTGAGTAAAATCCATACATCTATCTCGTGAAAACCTTGTGGAGACGTATTCATCTATAGAAAATGCCCTGTGGAGACATATATAATACAATCGTTTGTTCCCTATTGAGCGCACGTCTCCAGAGGGCACGGTGTATCAGATCCAAGTCACAGACCAGACCAGAATGCTACACAACTGCTGATTGCCTTAAAAGCCACAAAAGCACTGAATACACACCAAAGTACATGTACATGTACAAACATTGTATGCTCAACAACCTCAAGTGCACAAACAGTCAAGTTTGAATATAACTAGGTCCACAGCAAAGACAACTTAGATTTGATTGATGATAAAACATAATATTGTTATTTTCTCAATGTCATTATTTCTGAGAAGGTCAAAGACTGAGAGAGGTGTGTCCTGTCAGAAGGGGCTTGTTTCAGAACCATTTGGGCAATTCCACGGAGAAGTGGACAAGACTGAAATTTGGAAAACTGAGATATCTTTAGAACTATGAACATCAAAACCTCAACTGTGGTATCAAATTAAAGAGGACAACAGGACCTTTCATTTGAGTGTTGTCTTTTCTTTTTTTTTATGGCAGAGAGAAAAGTTAATATTTAATGCAATAAGCTATTTTTTACGTTTTATTACATGCATTAGTTTCCCATATGTTTTAACTTGTACCACAGATGGGCAGATCAACTGTAACGTGATTAACTGTACTGTACATGTAACTAGGGCCAAAAAAAGAAAAATGTTGTGCTTCCGGTAACATCACCCCAAAAAATTAAGGTTCAGTCGGTCGGGATTTTTTTTTTTACCTGCATCAATGTTCAAAATTAGCGGGAGCAAGGGGCTACAATGCCCCCATTAATCTCCAAAATGTTCGTATAATTCTCTGATGTCAAGAGACTGAACGTTTCGCCATGCAGACATTTCTGGTTCAAGTGGTGCTACCAATACATTGCTAGAAATTAGCCATAAACTTGCCCATTTGTAGATTTTCCCCCCTGTTGCTACATATAACCCTGTTTAAACATAACCCGGTTTAGAAAAAAATGTGCCAAAAATGGTCAGATTTTGTACTACGATCACTGTAAAACGTTCATAGTAAAACATGTACCCAACAAGTCCCTTTTTTCAGGGCTTTCACCTGCTTGTATATCATGAAAGTGTGCTGTGCAGCACTTTGGAAGATATGATTTGGGAACAAACCTTTAATTCGTCCCCCCACCCCCAATGATTATGCCAAAAGGAAGAACTCCACAAGATGTTCAAGTTACTTGAAGCTTTTAGGGTGACCACAATGTACTTTTGATTTGTCTACATTGTCTTCTGGTGCAGCCATCAATGTACAATCACTGGGGCATCTTCAAACCGCCATTTAAATATAAACTTACATATTTAAAGCCGGAGTCCATCATTTGCAGCTATCCAAAAAAGTAACTGGCGTAATTATTGTTGAAAAACTTACTGGTTGAAAGATAGTAAGGGGACTAAACTCCCTGTGAAATTATTCTTTCTGGCAAGCTCTCATTTTTGAAGAAATCAACGAAAGAAGGCCTTTCCAACTGTGCGTCTTAAGAAGCACCGTAGGAAAATTTAAATTAGTAGTTCGTTATTCAGTGCGCGCAAGCATTGGCACGACGCACAGGCGCGCGCAGTTGCTATAATTTGTCGGATCAGTGCGCGACATCGAGTATAGCTGTAATTCAAAACAATTGATTCAGCAACTTTTGACTTGAAATTGAGATCCTAGAATGCTGTTTTTCTCGGAATATACAGCTGAAGCTGAGCTGAAACTTCATCAGGTTACTTGTTCAGTATCCTTCATTAGAATTTGAACACTTTTGTTGCTTCAAATGAACAAAATGCACAAATTACAAATGATGGACTATATCTTTAAATACTGTATAAAATAGCCCACAAGTTGCTTGTAGCACGCAGCCACATTAGAAACACTTGTACAACCCTGTCACTCATATCAATCATGCTACGCCTTTGTGGACACGAGCCCTCTCTTATTGACTTAGACTCGGCCTCTCACCATCCCATCAACGACCTTTGATCAAGCACTTGATGACAGCCATCTTTAAGAATCACATTGCAATTGAAATGTCAATATTTGTAAGTAGAGCCCGCTTTTATCGAAAGGGTCAATTTTCCCACTCCATCAAAATCACCACAAGTGTGCGTATCATTTTTTTTTAAATTGATGTTTTCTGAACGCTTAATTAAGCTTTATCAAACAAATCTCCGCTTAAATGCAAATTTACTTTAAGACTCAATTTACATGTACTTGCATTTTCCAAAGAAAGTGAAACTGTACTGACGTAAGGGAAGTGTGGGTTTCTTTTACCAAAATTTCCAAAACTTAACATCATAATTCAATTCATACGTAATTCAATCCTTGATTAAATGCACATTTACATTGAGACTCAATTTAGTTGCTCTTTCCAAAGAAAGTAAAACTGCACTAACGTAAGGAAAGTGTGGGTTTCTTTTACCGAATTTTCCAAACCTAAACATAATTTAATTCATAGTCTTGTACATGTGTAGTGTCAGGGATTATCCTTAGCGGTCGCCCGCTCGCCAAATGCGAGTGAAAACAGCGGCGGGCGAGTCAAAACCCTCCTCTCAGTAGTCTGACGGGCGAGTCAAAAAACTGTTAAAAAAAATTAAAATAACGAAGTTTTCCCTACAGTATTTTTCAATCAATCAAAATAAAAAGTTAAGGGTGATACAACACATGAATACTTTTGCCACGCCGACCGAAATAAAAACATCAGTAGTTCGAATTCGTATCACTCCATGTATATTCGCAGTGCGCTGTGCATTGAAATCCCAACGACGAACATGAGGCGAATCAACGTGTATTTGCCATTACACATTGTGCACACATGCAGCACACGTGATTTACTTCGTCTGCAGTCCACACGGTACGGTACGGACGTTAACATCGTATTCGTATCATACAAGTATTACAACGTGGTGAGGAGAAAACTTTCATGACAGTCTGCCAAAACTTGTGCCCGAACGGATTCTTGGGATGATTTCTTGAACACTATCAAACGAATGTACCAAAAAGATGAGGACAATATGAGATTCGAGGGGCCTACGTGTATTTTGAATGTAAAGACTAGTGAATGTAAAGTGGACCGTGCTCCGGAAAACGTTATGGATTGACGTGACCAGCATAAGTTCGTGGGTCGCCCGCCCGCAGCGCTTCTTGGCTAGGCACGCTGATTGCACCATTCTTTGCCTGTTTGCTAGAAATGCATGGCGCGCGCGAGAGATGTTTTTTTTTTAAATACTGGCCTTCTCACTCATTTTCAAACAAGTTAAAACAGTTCAGTTACTAACTTGGTAAACTCCCATTAATACCACGACTGTGTGCAATGTTTTCTTGTTCCTCAAGATAACGCTTTTTTAGTTCGTGTTTTATCAAAACATGTCGGAAATAGAACACCTAAAGCCTTAAGTTCGGAACGAAGCAAACTGCATAAATTTTGATTATAACTTCTCCCCCTATTTGATTCCTGTTAATTAAAGCCTTGCTCTATGTTAAAGCATGGACGATTAAAGAAACATTGACATCACTTAAAAAGGAACTACATGCAATATTATGTACATGATTAAGATAATTGCCGATTGTATTCATATTGCATAATTTATTATCAAAAATGTTATCAAAAATGCTTATGGTGATTTGATTGAAAGTTACTATTAAAACATGTGGGCTAGTGAAAAAGGTTGCGGGCCAGTGAAAACTCTGGTTTACTGGCCCGGCCGGCCAGTAAAGGAAAAAGTTAAGGAAAACCCCTGGTAGTGTACATCCTACATTCTTACTATTATCTGACCTACACATGTAGCTGAATTCAATCCTTGATTAAGTTGCGGACTTGCCTTCAAGCACTGTTAATATTCCATTTATTTCTGTGAGTGATTCATCCTTTCCTCATTTTAACATTTTGCATGCTTCCTGGAACTCCTTAACAAAACTTACAAGATGAGAGACTCCTTTTAAAGATGTTGCCTGAAATATTTGCTTACAAATTATAAAATTTGCATTTCTTTTTCAAAAGGTGGTCTTTTTTTTAAAGAGACCAACTTAAAAAAAAAAAAACTAAACATCACCGCTGTATTATAAAGTGCAAAAGCTGCATGGGTGTATGTGTGAGTTTGTTTTTGCATTCAACAGGGGACGTTGAACAATAGAGGACAATAGGGTCCCCGATTCCCGAAGGTCCCCAATTTACGATCATGTACAAAACATATGGAAGGTCTTCCTAAAAAGTTAAGAGTACAAACAGAAGAGGGACAATAGGGGGTCCCTGATTGCAGGCAAATACACACTTGTGTGTTTGCGAGTCGATCGTTCACAAGTTGATTGCCTGTAAAGTGGGCAAAGCTGTCCTTGCCTGAGAGCAGGGGAGGAGGCAAAGTGTCTCAGGGGAGATGCTCAGAGGTTTCAGGAGAGACGCAAAGCATCTCAGGGGAGACGCAATGATTAAGACGTGATCCAAATTCTGTCTACTCTACCTGTATTCTGTGACCCAGTCTGAGAAGTCGACTCCCGGTAGCTCCATCCACCTGCCTTGGCTCAATGTGCGCACAGAGTCATCCATATCCTGAACACAAGCGGGGAATGAAATTACCTATCTTCAGAGAGTGTGATCAACTCAACATTTTCTTCTCATGTCTAAACCTCAATGGCAGAATTGTGACAAGCAACCAATAGATGGAATTTTTAGACATCACATTTCGAGAGGCATTCAGCACATGCCGGTGCACAAAATGTTTACATGATATTAGAAATTGATAAGCATATTTGCCCTGTGATGCCCTGTAACTCATGGGGTACAGCCCCTATAAAGTAAAGCTCTAAACGGGGTGCAGCCCTGCCAAGCACAGCGTTGGGTTACAGCCTTCATTACATAAAGCCTCGCAACTCAAGTGGTTGAGCTTGGGATACAGCCCTGTACCTCCTGGGGTATAGCCCCGTACCTCATTGAATACGGCCCTGTACCTCATGGGATACAGGCCTGTACCTCATCAGATACAGCCCTGTACCTCATGGGATACAGCCCTGTACCTCATCAGATACAGCCCTGTACCTCATGGGATACAGCTCTGTACCTCATGGGATACAGCCCTGCTCCTCATGTGATACAGCCCTGTACCTTATGGGGTACAGCCATGTACCTCATAGGATACAGCCCTGTACTTCATGGGATACAGCCCTGTACCTCATCAGATACAGCCCTGTACCTCATGGGATACCGCCCTGTACCTCATGGGATACCGCCCTGTACCTCATGGGATATAGCCCTGTACCTCATCAGATACAGCCCTGTACCTCATGGGATACCGCCCTGTACCTCATGGGATACAGCCCTGTACCTCATGGGATACAGCCCTGTACTTTATGGGATACAGCACTGTACCTCATCAGATACAGCCCTGTACCTCATCAGATACAGCCCTGTACCTCTTCAGATACAGCCCTGTACCTCATGGAGTATTACTCTGAATTAAAACTTCATGAAGTGCAGACCTGATACTCCTAGGGAACAGTAACTGTTTAGCATCATCTGAACATTGTTGAACACAGGGTGAATTATGGGCCTGCACCTACTGTATCAAGGTGAAGTATGTTGTGTGTACTGAAAACCGTGAGGTATTCTCCTGCATATTAATGGGTCCAACACTGCACCTCATGACCCACTCCTTCATCTTATGAGATACACACCTATACATGTACTTCATGAGGTACGGGCCTGCACCTATGGTGTCACAAGCAATAATGCCTCTTTCAAGTACCAGTCCAACCACCTACCCTCCATGATCCTCCTGGTGGGCCCTTGCCCAGCACCCTGTGGGTCACCGCTTTGGACGGGTCGTGTCTCCATTCCAGCCGGGATTTCTCATCGTCCACTAAGTCTGCGTTGGGCTGGTACAGGTTGTCAAAGAGAAGAGCCACTGGATTGTGGGATCTGCCTTCCAGACCATTACTCAAGAACTCCAGGTCCTAACAAATGAAAACAAATGCAATGCAGTGACCTATACACAAAATTTAATTCAGGGAACAAAATTAGAAGCCGTTTTTTAAGTGGAAACACGGTCATGCGCACGCCGCACACATTATTAAAGACAAGGCAGGTGTATTTGGTAACCCCATTGTTTGAAGGAGCCTGAAGTGCGTGCGGACTACCCGAGTATGAGGCTGGTTCCACCTTTAACCCCAACCGCCCTGAATCCTTCGAAATCCTCTTTGCCAATGTGAAGGAATTTGGAGGATTGTGGTTACATGGCAAAAGTGCGTTACTGATTTCGTAGGATGCAATTTGTCAAGGTCTTGGGCCGGACCTTGCGTTGTGTTTGCTCAGCCATGCATAAATATAGGCCCGGATTACAATGTATGCTTGAAATCCTCCTCACTGCTCCGAGATGTCACTGACCAAGTCTCAACATATTGACAGTCACTGCCGCAGGATTTTGCAGGATTCAGGCAGTGGTCACCCCTCCACGGACCATATTCAAGAAGTAATGGACAATTTTGCAGGATTAAGGCTACTGGGGTATATGCTATTTTTCCATGAGGCCAATTGGAGGATTTTGCAGGATTGAGGCTACATCCTAGCAAAAAGGCTTAGGGAGTTAGGGTTAAAGTGGCTTCTAATTTTTTTCACCGAACTACTCTCTACATATAGTTGTATGATGTAAATTTAGTTTGATTTGAACAATTTCAACAGTGTACACATAATACTGTAATCAGCATCAGAGGGAAATTCCCAGCAACACTGTGAATATCGCTCCTTGGAAGTGAAACTGAATTGCTGCCTGCTGAATTTCCCGTTGACTGAGATTGACGAGAAAGAGTTTGTACTTCCTGATACGATCAGTCAAAGCAAACACTGAATCCTACACAAAGTGATTGAAGAGCTCTAGGCATTGACTTTTAACCCTAACTCCCTAGCATGATTTATTACAGTAGGAACCATACCCATCCTGGCAAATTCCAAACACCATATGGGAAACTGTGCACACGTATTTCTGACTTTGATTCTGGAGGTGTGCCAACCCAATGTAAAAGACTGTCAGTTTAGGCCTGGGGTACTGTACCCATCCTGACAGATTCCAACAAAACATGGCGTTGGGGTTTGATGGGTTGAGTTCTGTTAGGGTTAATGGTCAAGATTACTTTGCAGCCTCTTTTCATCAGCCCAACCGTGCAAAGGGCCCACGGTGCATCAACATATTTGCACTCCCATACGATGTAGTTCTAATAGTCTAGACCTTCCTGAATCCAAAAAATAATAAATAATAAACCTTTTTTTTATGGCCAGGACAGGGTATTAAGGACAGTGTTCAGAAATACTTTGGGTTATGTTGCCAACATGACAAAAGCTACAAAAGTCTAGTTCAGTCAAGCATGATGACTGGTGACAATGTATGAACTAAGAAATTCCTTTCCTTTTCATGCAGGACAACAGGAACATGTCAAAATGTCAAAATGTGTTACAGGCAAAGAAACTGTATGACTGCCGAGTGCATGAATATAGTCACATGTACATGTCATGTACAGTGTTACATGTACATGTACATGTACATCAGATTTTAAAATGTCTGTCGCAATGCAAATTAACATCTCTTTTGTTTAAGTTATCAGGACAATGTCGCTGTTTTTTCTAAATAAAAACATACGAACAAGCTACATGAACAGACTTCATTCGCAAATATCAGTCGGCACTGCTTTTAAATCAGCAATACATTGTAACTCAATAAATATTTACCCCACTGGAAGGATTTTGTCATTATTGGAAAATGGAAATCTAATCTAAATCTAATCTATATTTTTTTCGAAAAGCTGTGAAAAAGAGCAAGCTCTGAGGGTTTATTTTTTGTTGGGGGGGGGGGTCACCCTGTATAACTTCATTTTTTACCAAGATGAATTTTGTAAAAACGGGTTGTTACCAAAAAATAAAATTACATTACAACATTTTTTATCTATGACTGACAAGCTTCCTCATTTCGCAATTCGCAAAAAAAATCCCCCCCCCTCAACTCACCTGCTGCAGAATGGACTGTTCCTCATTTTCCAGTAACCTTGCGTGTAGATATGGGTCCGGATGAGGATCGCCGGTGTAGTAGGGCCAATTACCAGACAATAGGTAGGATAGGCTTATTCCTGATGGGCCATTCCCTGAATAAATAAATAAATGAATAAATACTGGGGTGATATAGTGCACATATCTACCAACAATTAGGTCCTCAAGGCACTGGAAATAATGTTTCTTATTAAAGAAAGGTAAATTAAGGTTTATGAGAAATATGAGACCCATGAATGGTTTACAAGGTGCTGCGCAGCCACTGCCAGAAACACTGGGGCAAACCCCTTCTCTTAGCGATAAGTGTTACTGGGTTCTTAAAAAACCGTAACTCCCTAGGGGGTGTGCAAAATTATATTAAAATTGGAGGATTCAGGACTGTTAGGGTTAAGCAACGTGCATTACACAACGTGCATTACGGGACCTACGGCTTTACGTCCCATCCGAAGAAGGAAGCAATAATGGTAAAGTTGCCTGCTCAAGAGCACAAACACCAAGTTCCCACGATCAGGATTCGAACCCATGTTCCACGGCACACGAGTTGATAAGAACAAACAAAAGTTGTCAGGAACAAATGCGGATTCTTGTACAGACATAGTGGTGGGATTTAAATCCGGATTTTTTGAATTTGGTTTATATTAAAACAGAATTTTGAAGTTTTTGTAACAGAGTACAAAACAAACACATTTTATCAACTCAACACTAAAAACACAACCTTTTTTTTTCTGGCCTAATGTGTGCGTACATGTACATGTACGTTTATGTGTACTTGTTCTACTCCCCCCCCAAAAATGGGCCTCTGTAGTAGGTTTGTGTGCTTAGTCTATGGGAGAGTGTTATAGGGACAAAGGAAAACACAAAGCATTGTCTTCGGTAGTATAGTAAAACAAGAGTGTATACAACATCTATGGAAAAAACTGAATGAATTAATGAAAACAGAAACGAATTATGCAATTCATCTACGTATCGGTACATGTACATGTCGTACCGATTCATGTACTAATAATTACGCCAAACCCCAGTCATGCCAGTAATTACAAATGAAACTACGGTACATGTAGATATTTTTGTTCTCAAAATGTTTTGATTGTCAATTGGACAGTACAAAATCGTTAAATGAAATTAATTGAAATTGGGAACAGCTTATGATGTACATGTACATGTTCTTATGACAAAAAACGTCAATTTAGAAATGGATTAAAGATATAGTCCATCATTTGTAATTTGTGCATTTTGTTCGTTTGAAGCAACAAAAGTGTTCAAAATCTAATGAAGGATACTGAACAACTACGTAATAGTAATAAAGAACAACGTAATAGAAAACTTACATGTAATCTGTGGACATGTAGGATTTACCTAGATCACTACTAGCTGGGAGGTCTTTTTGACCCCTTTTTCAACAAATTTAGACAGCCCATTTTGTTAAAGATGCTGCATAAAAGTAAGTAAAGTCTGTCCCGAGCCAATGTGGCTCATCAGGCCGGCGTTTATCTCCGGTTTCAGTAGCATGAAACGACTGAGAATATTTCTACTCCCCCTGGATGGGATGCTAGTCCATCGCAGGTTACTCCCCAGCTAATGCCGGTACCCATTTATACTCCTGGGTAGAGAGGGGCAAGTGGGGGTGAAGTGCCTTGCCCAAGGACACAATATATGACCAGCGGCTGGATTCGAACCCCTGACCCTCTGATCATGAGTCACGAACCCTAACCACTAGGCCACACACTCCCCCTTTTTGACCCCTTTTTCAACAAATTTAGACAGCCCATTTTGTTAAAGATGCTGCATGCACATGTTTTAATGTACTATTTGTAAAATAAATGAATTAGACTTCTGAAAACAATAACAATTTTATTTGTTTCATTTTTTTAAATCTAATATAAAGGCAACTTTTCAAATTGCTGTCAAAAAGCCTAAATGTGTCCCTAGAGCCTGGGACCTGAACTGAGGATATGGGAAAGATTCGCATACCTGGCCCTCACTTGACACCCTGTGCACAGTGACGAACCGTATGAGACTGGTCTGAAAATTTCGAATTGTTTTCTCAGTAAATACAAAACAATTTTTTCCATGCTACATTTGACTTTTAAGGACATATTAAATCACCTCCTGATGGCTGATATGTCACTGAAGGGAAAAATTAGTGATGGCCAGACATTAGCCCCATAAATGTGGCCAATTTACTGGACTACCTCCGTAAATAAAGGCCACACTTCCACAATGTCAAAAAAAAACATGTCGAACTTTGTCAAATTTTGATTTTAGCATTAGGCTTAGTTTGTTCATGTAGTTTATTTTGGCTTTAGAAGCATACTCACCCTCTTTAGGCTAATCAGAAAGTGCTGCCTTTTTCAGATGTCCAGTTTTCGTGCAATTTCCAGATTCGTTTGCACACGTTTGCGTATCAAAATTTCAACGGGAAATTTCACGAAAATAAGACATCTGAAAAAGGCAGCACTTTCTCATTAGCCTATAAAGAGGGCGAGTATGCTTCTAAAGCAAAAATAAACTACATGAACAAACTAAGCCTAAATGTAAAAATCTAAATTTGACATAAGTTTGACATGTTTTTGTACATGGTGGAAGTGTGGCCTTTATTTACGGAGGTAGTCCAGTAAATTGGCCACATTTATGGGGCTACCCAGATATGGGATTGGGAATCTTTCCCTGACTTGCTAGCAAAACAAAACCAATTGCCTAAAAAAACACTTACCGATTATAATAGCCGGTGAGAAACAATGGTCGAGTGCGCAGTAATTTCCGTTCAAATCTTCGTTTGACGATGAGCAGTTAAGCTTGGCCATTCCTTCCCAACGCCTCCAGAATATCGCCCTCCTCTGCTCTGGTTCCCGTACACTCCCTCGAAATAATAAAAATGTCCAGGATTTTTCTGGGCAGGTCTTTTTGGCGCTGATTATTAGTCCGTTAATCTCTTGATGAGATAGATAACCTTTTGGTCTGACTTAGAGTCAGCTTATTAAGTCCAGTTACATGCAGGTCGGCTGATGTCAAATGCCGCAAGAGATTAGTGCCTCTTGACATGTGCTGATCACATGGCACATGGGCCTCACACCACACTGAGCAGGGATCTGTCAACAATGGAGGGATTACAAAGTAAGTGTAAGTATTGTTAGGTAAGGACAACAGGGGAGGGCCAGTCAATAGATACAATTGCGTAATGCAGCCAGAAAAAAAGGCGGGCTGAAGATGATGGCGTAATGAAAGCCACCGGTACAAGAGTTTACAGACATGTACACTGTAGGTACCGGTTGGTATGAGCACAGAGAGAGAAACTTAAAGGGAAAATACAACATTTGCAAACATCAAAAAATAAAACTACCAAATCGTTTTGAAATACCTTGCTGGACTGTTAGTGAATGACAGTGTAAAGCATGCTGTAAAATCATGGCACCTGGTATACTGTCATTTTCAAGAAAAGTGGCATTTTTGTATCAATTTCCAATGCTGGTCGGCCGACCAGCGTTGGAAAAAACTGGCTTTTTTCAAATACTGGCCCAAATTGACCATCGCACTTGTTTGCAATCGATTACACACCTATGAACGGGTACAAGCCAGCTAGACTGGTTCCCTGACCTTACAATTCCCCAATGTATGTAAACTGCTCATCTGTTTCTTCTTATATGGAGTAGGGGAACCAGACTACAGGAAAACGATTGTTTTTCTTGGTTTTTATAGCATTTTCGAACCCAAAACCTCAAAAAGGTCAGTGTAACTATATTTGCTATATATTTCCAACCCCCCAATTCCATCCATTTCTGAAAATTACAGCAAAAGCAAATGTTGTACATTCCCTTTAACAAGAAAAATTATCAACTTTCTGTTCCAGTATCTGCAAGAAGCGCAACTTAACCCTAACTGCCTAGCGTCTTCTACTAGGAACTGGACCAATTCCATCAAAATCCATCAATCACTGTGCGTCCAATACAAAACTGTACATGACATAATGGAATTCACCACTGACGCACTGGTTGATCGTGACACCCATGGACTTGCTACACATGGCTTTTATACAATAGCAGTACAGAAAGCTAGGCAATATCAATCGGACACCCCTTCTGCTTCAGGCCATTAGGCCCAAGTCCATCATACTCCATCAATATTTAGTCACGCCAGGCCTTCTGGACCAAGTCCCCCAAACTCCACCAAAATGGGGGGATGGATTTTGATGGAGTTGGGGTGGTTAGGGTTAATTTAACAAACACATTTTAAGGGGCTCACAAGTGTGTACGGTACGTGTACACGTACATTGTAGCTTACAACTTTCATGACTTTTTCATAAACTGTGTGGGTTTTTTTTCTGGTGGTGTGCCCCCCTACCAGTAGCTTGTACTGTGGCCCCCCTTATGCCAGGAGCTGGCGACGGCGCTACCCCTGCCCGCTACCTTTTTTCCCAGCAGCCTCCTGTATTTTTCTTTTTCTTTTTTTCAATTCATACATTTGCAATATATTTTGAACATAGAAATTATTGTCAATATGTTGTCTTTCTATTTGTTTCCACAAAATTGAAGCTACATGCACCATATATGTGATGCGATCAAGCTAAAATGAGGCGTTTGTCGACCCCAGTCAAATTTTTTTTCTATAACAGATTTGAAAAGAGCACAATCTCCGCATTACTGCTGTGAAAACTGCATGCTGATACCAACTTTTGTTCAAATATTATGGAAGTCGAAACACCAAGAGATGTGATGAAGTGATGTGATGAAGTGGCCCTATTTTGGCCTGTATCTCCAAATGAAATTTCCCGACAAACGACTCATGTAGCTTGATCACATCACATATAAATGTAGTAAGGGCCATGGCTCCCTTGGACACCATTTTGTATCAGCAAAGTAGTCAAGAAAAAAAAGCCGAAGAATCCATCTGCCATGTGGGGGGGGGGGGAGAAGAAAAAAAAAGCCTGCCTCCTTCAATTTCTTTCAAAAAGACCCGATGAGAAACTATTTATTTTGTTCACTCGGCCTACCAGTAATTCCATAACACAACAAACTATGGATTAAGAACATGTGGCTAATTAAAATAAAGCATCAACTGTTGTTTGTTAAACCATCTGTCATTAACAACCCACAAAGGTCTCTGGCTGCAATCAACCACAGAGCCTATGAATCGATCAACCAATCAATGCAGCAAAAGGCAGTGAGGCTGAACGAGGGACACAGCATTTGATTATTCGATACGCAATGTGCCATGTCATAAGCTATACAGGGTGAGTTAAAAAAAAAAATGAAACCCAAATATCAGGACTATTGTTTTAGTGAACTTATGCATGTAGCACTTTTCAAAATCTAGGATTTGAAAGCCCAATTCATAAGCTTTCTTTTAGTACAAGAATCACTCAAATCACTCATGTACTTTTCAAGTTATGGAATTTTGAACACATCCACCGTTTTAAGGTTCTGTCCACGGATCACAAAAAAGGTGTGCACTCTTTCAGCAAACGAAAACAATTCACACACATCCCTATGTGATTTGTTTTCGTTTTGCTGAAAGAACACTGAACTTTTTTGCGATCTGTGGACAGAACCTTAAAACGATGGCTGTGATTAAAATTCCGTAACTTGAAAAGTACGTGAGTGATTTGAATGATGCTTACAAAGAAAGCTTATGAATTAGGCTTTCATATCCTAGATTTTGAAAGTGCTACATGCAGAACTTCAATAAAACAATAGTCCCAACATTTGGGTTTCGTGTTTTTTGTACTTGCCCTGTATTTCATTGAACTGTACACAAAGCAATCCATGCAAAATCCAGAAGAAAAAAATTACACAGCACCCAATAAATACGCTATATGGTACATATTCTTCATGCCGAGTAAAAGAAGGGTCCCTTTGGATAATTCCTTTTTCTCCAACAACAAAAACGGGACAGGTGTAAACCAGTTTGTTCTCTTCAGCCAACATTCGATCTGGGTATCGACCACATTCAGTACAAGTTTCACTGATATTCAGCCATGCATGCAAAGGTTACAGGCCTTTCTTGGTGACTACCCAAAAGCGCAACCAACGCAGAGGGATCTGTCTGTATATTACCATGATTACCAGACAGATCAATATATTTTCAAGTGAACTGTGACAGAGTCGAGACTAGGGGAAAGTGAAAAATCCGCGAAATTATCAGCATAGGGTCTATGCCATACATTTACTCTGTCAGCCATTCCATGTAAGGGTCATCACCAAACTCAAAAATTGAAGTGAAAGGAATAAATTTTTGTCAGTTATATTTGATAAGAGGAATATTGAAACCATCTAAATCTCAAAAGATTTTTTAAAATAAATCATTTGAATTAAAATTTCAGCCTCCTGAACATGGATGAATTTTGTGGGCGAAACGGAGGGTCAGGGGTATAAATCACAAACTGAGGAAGTAACTGAAGCTCATTCATAAGATTGTGCTTTATCTGCACACATTTGGTAGCTATTCCAGTCTATTTGATAAAACATTGAGAATTTTTCCAAATGTCTTCAGTATTTTCCCACTATTTCATCGTGAAAACACCCTCAAAAATATGTCATGCGAGTCACAAAATAGGACTTTTTTTCAGATTACTTAATAACTAGAGAGGGATTCAGCTAGTGTTTGATATTTGTAAATGAAATAGTGGTGGTCTATCAATAAAAGTATGAATATTCTTATTTGCTCTACATTCCTTGTAGAAAAAACTATCTCAAGAATGTCACGCGAGTCACACATGATGTATGTCATGCGAGTCACCAGGGGCGGATCCAGGAATTTTCGCAGGGGGGGGGGGTTTCATCAGCCAAAAACTCTGAAAATTTACACACGTTTTTTTCTCCGGACACTTGGCCTCCGTAAAATAAAAAACTGGGGGGGGGAGGGGGGGGGGGCTTGTACCAATTTCAATTGGGGGCGCTGTTCAAATTCGACGAAAAATTATTAACACATTACAGAATGGTGTACCGTATTTTGAACAGGCGGACATGAGACCAGTATAATGTTTTTAGGGGTGTCACGGGGGGGGGGGGGGGGGGGGGGGGGGGAATCGACTTATTCTTCAGGAATTTGTTTGAGAATTTTTTTTTTGGACAGAGATGGGGGGGGGGGTTTGATCCCCAAAACCCCCCCTCTGGATCCGCGCCTGGTCACAAGCCAGGAATGTTTCATTTACATGTAATACAAAGAAACAATGCCATAGGCCCTATTAAATTACAGAATTCGAATTAAGTCTTTAAAAGCATTAGTTATGTAACAAGAAATTGAATCAGTTTTTTACAAATTGTATATACAGTCGAGTCTCGTTAATACAAACTCGTTCGGACCTAGCCAAATTGTTTTGTTATATCAGAATTTTGTACTAAGAGGAACATCAGTCCCATTCATTGTGCACATAAATGCACAGTCGGGACTAAGGCTTTATGTTTGTTATAACCAGAATTTTGTATTAACAGAGTTTGTACAAACGAGATTCGACTGTACTGTATACATTCCTATACAACTGCATCATTAATTGCAGCTCGATCTTACCATTTAAGGAAACTGTGACTCTACATGACCAAGAATTACAACTGTTTTCCTGAAATAATCACCCGTGGATTGATGACATCAATTCGTAACTTAAATTCCAAAACATTTTTTTCTCTCTATGTCATTGTTAAGGATATTGTGTTTAAACCAGATTTCCACCCCCAACATTTGCCAAAGTAAAGGGATAAATAGCAGTTTTCACACTCTTTCATAAGGTATTCACAGGTAAATCATTTTTATTAATATAATATTATGATTTGATTTGTTATACTAAAATTACAGTTATAATGTGAAAGTGAAAAGCTACTGTGTCACGCGAGTCACGCATTTGTGTCACGCGAGTCACATTTTCTTCAGGCCATTTCTTACAACAAGGGATATTTGGCACAATACAACTTATGCATGTATTGGGTGAGGGTATTAAGTTCTAAGTTCAGTAAGAATAATTTTAAGAACACTGGTAGATCCATAGGAAAAGCTATTTGAGTCAAGGGATGTCAAAAATCCCTTTTTCTATCCTGTCACGCAAGTCACGTCAAAGAAACTGTGATACATGAAAAAATAGCGATTTTAAAGTAATCATATAAAGACTAAACCATAAATTCACAATGCCCTGACTCAAATACATGCTAATTTGAGTTGAATAAATGCCAGGTTAACAACAGTAATGCATTAAAACTTAACATTTTGTTCAAATGTCACGCGAGTCACCATGGAATGGCTGCTGTACAAATGTATACATTTGCCTAAGGGCACCCCTAAAATACCAGTTTCTTTTGTTTGACAAAAATCTTTAAGTTCAGTAAAAAAAAAAACCTGTACAGTAAAACTTGAATTCCACACTTCAAAAGGGATTCTTTTTAAACAATCCTGAATTTAGGAAAAATCCAGACAAAAATCCTGAAATGAGGAAAAGTCCTAGTCCTAGTCCTCACCCCAGCAGTGTGACTGTATTACGAAATGAACATTCACGAAACATTGAGCTACAAGTACCATTATCAAGCAAATTTAGATAAAATGCATTATACCTAGATAATAGTAATAATTTCAGTGCAAGTGCAGAAGTCTGCCCTCAACAGTCTTCTCATAATCGCATTTTCAGAATGTACACTTGTAACGCTTAGATGTACAATGTATACACATTTTTAATCATGAATGAAACTGAAAGAAAAACCTTGTCAATGCTAAATTTCTGACGTCTATACAGGGTGGATAAAAAAAAAACTGAGATATTATTGCTAATTGAAACAGAAGTAGGGCACATGTGAATCAAAGGGAGATATCATCTGTTAGGGTTGAATCTCCTCTTTCAAACGACACCCTGATCATGTCATTACATGTACATTCACGGTTGACTGAGCAGTGACCAATTTTATGAAAAGGTCTATTGAGAGACTTGCGCCACTTTTCAATTGTGGTTTTTGTGGTGTCATTTGTCACACAGTGAAAGGCTATGGTTGCCAATCAAGGCAGCTTTGGGGAAGAAAAGAGATTTTAACATGAAAAGTGGCGCAATTCTCTAAATAGACCCTTTCATAAATTGGTCACTGCTCAGTCAACCATGAATGTAATGCACAACGTGACATAATACCCTTTTGGGGGAGCTGGTCACATATGTTTACAACGAAAACAAGTTTTAAAAATAATATGCATATTTTTAGAAATTTGGTTTGACAAGAGTTTCTTGTTTAAATAAATAATATGAACCACTTCATTATAATTGTTCCAAACAATAGGCCATAATTGGAAGTATCAAAGTTCACGTACCGGTAATACAAGTAAAACCATGATAGGCCTACATGTATTCCATTTGTACACAATATTTTTTCTTATGGATAATACTGGTATCAAATGTCAGATCGTAGTTTATCCTAGTGGACAAAGTTCACTACACTATCGAGATAATAAGTCACTTAAATGTTTAACCTCTTTTTTATATTTAAAACAAGCCTTTGCCAAAGTACGGATCACATAACAAAGTTAAAGGGAATATATACAACATTTGTTTTTGCTGTAATTTTCAGAAATGGATGGATTTGGAGGATTAATACAGTATGTTATAGCAAATATTGTTAAAATGACTTAATTCACGTTTTGGGCTTGTAGATGCTGGAAACAGAACAAGAAAACCAATCATGTTATTGTAGTCTGGTTTCCTGACCCCACTTAAGATGAAATGAAGTCATTTTGACTTTGGGGAATTGTAAGGTCAGAGAATCAGTCTAGCAGGCTTGTACCCCTTCACAGGTTTGAAATCAGTTGCAAAGAAAATGCGGAATTATTAATTAGGAAAAATTAGGAACAGTTTTTGAAAAAAAATCCAGTTTTCTCCAGCGTTGGAAAAATACAATTTTTCTTAAAAATGTCAGCACACCAGGAGCCACGATTTTACAGGATGCTTTAGACTGTTATTCCCTAACAATTCAGTAAGGTATTTTGTGAAAATTTGATCATTTTGTTTTGTGATGTTTGCAAATGTTGCATCTTCCCTTTAAAGGGAATATTATACAACATTTGCTTTTTCTGTAATTTTCAGAAATGGACGGATTGGGGGGGGGGGGGTAGTATTTTATAGCAAGTATTGTTACACTGACTTGTTTGAAGTTTTGTGTTCGTGCACAAATGTAGATGCTGGAAAAGCAAGACAAACAATGAATGTTCCTGTACTCTGGTTCCCTGACCCCGCTTATAAAGATGAAACTGAACAATTTAATGACGTAAGGGAATTGTACAGTCAGGGAACCAGTCTAGCTGGCTTGCAAACAAAATGTGGTCTAACTAAATATGGTAAATTGAGAACAGTATATGAAAAAGGCCAGTGTTTTTCCAATGCTGGTCGACCGACCAGCGTTGGAAATTGATACAAAAATACCACTTTTCTTGAAAATGACAGCACACCAGGTGCCATGATTTTACAGGATACTTTAGACTGTGTACACACTAACAGTTCAGTAAAGTATTTTATAATAATTTAGATGTTCTGTTTTTTTTATGTTTGCAAATGTTGTATATTCACTTTTATTGTATTAAAATGTACTCCATTTTAAATTTGTAACACTGGTAGGTAGTATAAGTACCTGTTGGGTACTTTGTGTGTGTCTAGGGGAAATTCCACGCAAAAGCAGAGTCACGGCTGAAAAATGGAAAATTTATGATATTGTCAGAAAGATGTATCCTAACCTCACATGTGGTATCAAATTAAAGGGGCCAACACAAGACCTTTCATCCAATGCGACGGTTAAGTGTATTTTTTTGGTCCAAAAACTAGATTGCCTCAAAAGTGGAGGTTTTCATCTGTGAACAAATTTCAACTTTTAAAATGTACTGCCATGCTCTTCAATAAAATTTGAGAATTTTTCTGCAATCAACATTCAACCCATATATTTTATTTAAATGAACAAAAAAAAACACTTTTTAATTTTGAGAACCAGTTTTACCTGTGACTGTGAGAGCAGATTTACATACATGTACATCGAAGCAAATATTTTAGATTTTGTAAAGAATTTCTTCAATACCTAAACATGGAAAACCTGATTTCTTTGATTGATAAATCATTCAAAAGGGAATTTTAATCATGTAAGTTTTTCAAATTAAAAAAAAAAAATTATGATTGCAACTTGAACTTTTTACCCTCCTGCTGTTTGAACAGTCACAGACAGTCAAAAAAATCAAGCCTCTTCCCCTGCCACACCTTTTAGTCTTATACTGGCTGGTCACCAACAGTCAGATCATATTTAAAGCAAGCACTGTGACTGACAAATTCAGTCAACGGACAAAAGCAGGCATAAAGTTGGCACAGCTGGCTTATCAATCACCTACAGTCAAAGTACCGGTATATATAGTCACAGCCAGTCAATCCTGCTTTATGTAGGCTGGGAGCTCTAATGTGTTGAAAACGGTCACTTGATTGATTTTGACTGACAGGACAACTTTGCACAGAATGTACAATTGCAAAGGACGGTTAATATAATTATAGTACACGTAAACATGTATCTAAGTACATGCATTTTGAAAATACAGGCACGCAACTGAAAATTTAGAAAAAAAAACGAGGAAACTCCAAACCACACTTAGACTTTGTACAGTATTTTTCAATTGGTACTAGTATTCATGAGAAGTCTATAAAGAGGAAATCGGCGGATCCGAGGAAAAATTGCATGCCTGAAAATAATGAATACGTTAAATTGTAAAAAAAAATGCATGCAAAGTTTTTACTTCGTTGATGAGACACTTGTCACTGCCGTACTTACGTGGCAAACAAGGAGGCTCTGAAGCTGTACTGCTACATGTATATCATCAGGTATAGCTCAGTGCTGAAGAAGGGTAGCGTGTCCAAAGACAGAGTAACATTTCCAACAACTTTTTTTATATGCCGTCTAGTACTTTTACAGTGTACATGTACATGCATAGATCCTCCATGTCATCCGACAAATTTGCATGTTTACATATTGACTGAAGCTAAAATGCAAATAGATGCCAGGCCAAATGGTCTCTGATTGGATGTCCTGACCGGGCAGTGTTCACTTGGTGACAAAGGGGTGTAACTTTGCAATCGGAGGGGAAAGCAACAAACATACTTGACGCTATGTAATGCAGATCAGGGATACTGTACAAATGTCACATCTTAACTGAAATGACAAAATCAATACTCACATTTGTGCTCTGAAGCACAGCTCCCTTTTCTTCTGCCACCTCAAACAATCAGGACTGTTCCATTCACACACGGGTGTGTGGGAAAAGCTGAGGGACATCTATGCTGACCCATATCGTCTGACTCCTGTTCCTTCATACCAAAAGAAATATATAATTTCTCAGATGTCAGAAACGGTACCAATTCTTGAAATTCAATACGGTAATTTTTTTTTTCACTTTTTACCCATTCTTTCTTTTGAAATTACATTTTTGTACACTTGTAAAAGGTCAACGACAAACGTGACAAATACTGAAACTTTTTTCAAATTTCCTAAGACAAGGTGACATCAGAATACTTTGCAAAACGTTTTCTGTCCCTTTATAGGAACAATTGAGAGTTTCAAATTGTTCCTTGACCAGTTCACACTGGGATTATTTTGACATTGACCGGACCCAGACGCGGGATTATTTTTCATGAACCGCGATGCCAGACGGGTTCAGGCCGTCATCTGCAGGTAGCACACCCTGATATTTCTGGCCTCGCTCGCTGCGAGCGGGGCGCAGACAGATATTTCCCGCTTTGCTCTTTGCGTGTTTATCCGTCATCGGTTCCAAATCCTGCAACACCTTTGCGTGTATACACATCATCCGATTGGTTAATAAAGACAAGTTCACAGCCACAGTTGTACAACTATCGTTCAATCTAATATTGCAGAAGCCCTCGTCCTAACAAAGCCACGAAATAAGAATGCGCCGGAACAACTGGATTATTCTACTAAAAAGTCCTTTCTTTCCGTTGGTGTGGACATTTTGGCACTGAGAAAATGATCTCAAATTTATGCTTGAAAATTCAGCTTTTTGAATGAGAAAGTTATTTATGAATGCCCACTCTTTAACATCTAGTGAACTAAAGTACTGTATCGTATGATGAAAAACAATGAATTTTTAAATTAACCAAAATAAGAAAATATCACGCTATTCACGTGTAACACTTATAAAATATCACTTTTAAATTGGACATCTGGTTTAAAATCAGCGATACCAAAACAGAAGTATTATATGTGATGCGATCAAGCTAAATGGGTCGTTTGTCGACCCTGGTCAATTTTTTTTTACAGATTTGAAGAGAGTACATTCTCAGCATTACTGCTGTGGAAACCGCATGCTGATACCATCTTTAGTTAAAAATATTACGGAAGTCTGAACGCCAAGAGATGTGATGAAGTGATGCGATGAAGTGGCCCTATTTTGGCCCGAATCTCCAAATGAAAGTTCCCGACAAACAAACTCATTTAGATTGATCGCATCACATATAATACAAAGTAGGCCCTATGATGCATTGTTTCTCACCTCTTCCCTTTTTTTATCCAAAAAAATCACAAATCACTTAACCTTGTAATTTACTGAAGCTGAAAATTTGGTTTTGATTACAAAGTCCAGTACATGAAGCTCATCAATGCTCAGGTAGAACATCTTTACATTCCGGGACATACCAGTATGCACCCTTATGCTTAACTGTATAGTTACAGCATGCAGTTACTTTATGCTGTAACTATACACTTTTAGCATTACAATGTTTAGCATAGATTAACATGTAACTGCACTTTCTAGGCCCAACAAGTATGGAACGCCAAAGAGGCATTTAATGTGATCATCGAATCGGTGATGGACTTTTGCAATCGGTGATGCATGTTCACGATCGGTGATGGACTTTCGCGATCGGTGATGGACTTTTACTGGTGATGCATATTCACGATCGGTGATGGACTTTCGCAATCGGTGATGGACTTTCACTGGTGATGCATATTCACGATCGGTGATGGACTTTCGCGATCGGTGATGGACGTTTACTGGTGATGCATATTCACGATCGGTGATGCACTTTCGCGATCGGTGATGGACTTTTACTGGTGATGCATTTTCACGATCGGTGATGGACTTTCGCGATCGGTGATGGACTTTTACTGGTGATGCATATTCACGATCGGTGATGGACTTTCGCAATCGGTGATGGACTTTCACTGGTGATGCATATTCACGATCGGTGATGGACTTTCGCAATCGGTGATGGACTTTTACTGGTGATGCATATTCACGATCGGTGATGGACTTTCGCGATCGGTGATGGACTTTCACTGGTGATGCATATTCACGATCGGTGATGGACTTTCGCGATCGGTGATGGACTTTTACTGGTGATGCATATTCACGATCGGTGATGGACTTTCGCGATCGGTGATGGACTTTTACTGGTGATGCATATTCACGATCGGCGATGGACTTTCGCAATCGGTGATGGACTTTTACTGGTGATGCTTATTCACGATCGGTGATGGACTTTCGCAATCGGTGATGGACTTTTACTGGTGATGCATGTTCACGATCGGTGATGGACTTTCGCAATCGTTGATGGACTTTTACTGGTGATACATATTCACGATCGGTGATGGACTTTCGCGACCGGTGATCAACTTTGCAATCGGTGATGGACTTTTGCAATCGGTGATGGACTTTTGCGACCGATGATCAACGACCCATCACCGATTGCAAAATCCATCATCGATCGCCAAAGTGCATCAGTTATTGAACGTGCATGCCGCTGTGGCTTAGGGTTTCTCGTGTTGCCCCTGACGGTGATATTTGTTTACGGTGTTTTTGTGTTTGAAAGTGTCTTTCTCATATGTGAACTGCATTTTTTTTTTAAATTAATGTGCGTAAAATGTTTGTTGTTGGTGTATGCCGCTGTGGCTTTGGGCTTTGGTGCTGCCCATATTGCAACCAGTAAATGCCCAATCGATGGTATCCGGAATAAAAACACTCCTCTGTGGATGTGGCATAAACACAATGATTTGTTTTTATCCAATAAATGGTAAAACGTTTTTTTGCACCTGATGATTGATGGGTGGGCCATCGGAGACAGCATATGGCGGGGTTATTGGGGGCCTGACCAGGCATCCAGGGGGCACAGGTATTCAATCACATCATCATCATCATCATCATAAATCCATCTAAAAGCCAATCTTGGTATAGATATGTGGGGCCCTCTGGTCACTTAAGCACACTTAAGCGAGCACATGATGGACAGTACACAGAGGAACTTTCCTTGCAAATGTTTTTCCACCACCACCCCTTACATCCGCCAGTTATAGTGCTCCAAGGTTTCGAGAGACTATACAAATTACAAGGATTAAAATGTTCGCAATTTTTAGGATACAGACAGCCTGCTCCTCATATTTATGGGGCAAATGAAACCATTCAATCCCTTGTTTTTCTATTTTGTTAGGCTAATTTGATACTTGCCGTAGCGATCTCACTGTGTCACGAGGCTATGATGTTTTCCTGACTGAATGTACATCTGTGGGAAGCTATTTTTTGTTATTCAAGTTTAATTTGCATTTGTTGTCATTTATTGCCACATATATCTCATTTTCATATAGGCCTACATGTATTTCATTTATTGTCAAGCATATTGTGTATGCCGTGGCTTTGAGTTTCTTGTGTTGCCCACTACTGGTCGGGCCTGGTGTTGCCCCTAAATTGTGTTAATACGGTTATATGTTTTATAATATGTCCGTTCTCACTTGCGAACTCCATTTTTTGTAATGTCCGTGAAATGTTTGCAGTTAGTGTATGCCGCTGTGGATTTGGGCCTTTGGTGTTGCCCATATTCACATAACCATAACAATTAACAACTCAAACGGTATATGCCATATCACAGGTATCCGGAATAAAACACTCCTCTGTGAATGTGGCATGAACAGAATGATTTGTTTTATAATAGGCCTATACCCTTCGGGAGACACTTTAGCGTCACACACTTAGAGGCAAAATATTATCGTCGCAAATAGACTCGATTGCTCGTGGTCGAATTAGTAAATATTACCCGGCGAATTAAGGTAAAATTGGAGTTACGGGTCATTAAAGTTGGGGGGAAAATGTGAGCACTAGTTTATGGGAATGTTCCCCAAATAGCCAATTATGGGTTATTATAAGTTATTATTTTTTATCATTATTATTAACATTATTATTATTTGGGTTGATTATCACCATCAAGCAGCTCAGAAGCTGAATTGCACAGTGATTTACAGTAAAAATTAAAATGAATTAAAAATAAACACATTTCACGAGAAATCGAAACACATTCAAAATGCACAACAATCCATTATTCTCAAAAACATATATACTCGGATAATAGCAATTAAAATTGTATACATATGAAAATCCTATGTTGAACTATTGATGAGTCTGGGCTATTTCGAAATCTCTTGGATGAACTGGGATACTCCTTGAGTGTTCTACTCGATCTAAGATTCATAGTGTGCCAACTTTTTGATTGAGGAAACCACTCATTAAATTTGCCTGATTTAAAAGCACCTAGAGCAAAGTTTGTACACATAGTGGTTCTTCTATCATAAAGGTGATCCAGAGATAGAGTAATACGGCAAACTCTTTTGGATCGACTAAATTAGATTGGTCTGTTTGAGTGTAATGCTTGAGTGCCAAACCGGCGATGCGTTTGCTAGGACTGGTCTAACATAGGGTAACAAGTTCTTTGAGTAAAACCAGTTTCTTTCAGTTTCCTGAACATGAATAATTTTCTATTAGCTTTACCAATCATCTCAGCAATGTGTTTCTCATGTCCTTAAATTTGAGTCCGAGTATTTTTTTACCAATACGTGATAAAAGGTTCTGCATAATATGATGATTGATGTGTGGGTCATTGGAGACTGCATATATGGCGGGGTTATTGAGGGGTCTGAGCAGGCATCCAGGGGGCACAGGAATGCAATCACATCATCATCATCATCATCATCATCATCATAAATCCATCTAATGGCCAATCTTGGTATAGATATGTGGGGCCTCTGGTCACTTAAGCACACTTAAGCGAGCACATGATGGACAGTACACAGAGCACTTTCCTTGCAAATGTTTTTCCACCACCACCCCTTACATCCGCCAGTTATAGTGCTCCAAGGTTTCAAGAGACTATATCAATTACAAGGATTAAAATGTTCGCAATTTTTAGGATACAGACAGCCTGCTCCTCATATTTATGGGGCAAATGAAACCATTCAATCCCTTGTTTTTCTATTTTGTTAGGCTAATTTGATACTTGCCGTAGCGCTCTCAAGTGTCACGAGGCTATGA